AGTTAAGAATTCTTCGCTGGAAAAGATCATTGGTAAAGACACGAGTTTGTTAGTGCACGCGGCTAGATAATACTAATATTAGTAGTCTCTCTCTATATCTTTAAAACAATATTCAAAACGTACTGATTCACGTATTAACTGGTCAATCCCTTGCCTCTTTTTTTTCTAAGCGACATGTACCACCGTTCAGATGTGCTTTAAGTGCAGAGGTTCCCGTACGCTTATAACCTGGATGAGTAAGGGTTGCAAAACACCGCTTACACATAACCTTGGGCTCGCCAGTCTTCTCGTGTGCAACCTGTTCAAAATGCTCCCAAAGCACTGATGTTTTTTTTCCCATCCCAATGTAAGCTATCTCGGCATTGAGAGTTCAATCCAAACGTAGTTGTTAACCACCATTCCACGAATTGTTTCCGGGAGTCATCCATCTCAGGTTTAGTAGCATAGAGAATCCAGAACTTTCGAAGTGTAGATCCGACACGTTCAAGTGACTTCGGCGCATAAGAAAATCGCGGAGGGGAGTAAAAGGAATAGAAGTCACAGTTGGTTGACTGCTTGGTAAATCAGGAAGGTCATCTGATTGAAGAAGATCGGGATTGATAAAGGAATCAGAATAAAAGGATACTTGGGACTGAGACATTGTCGTAAGTTCCTAAAGATTAGAAACTAGAAATAATAAAGAGACATCAGGAGAAGAGAAAGGGAGAGGGACTTACAGGAATTCCCCTATTATTTAGGAGATAAACAGGTCGCAACCGCGAGTTCGACCTGTACAAAACTATACTCTATGTTAATTGGGTGACTAGCGATGGTAGTGCGGTTTTAATGCGGTTTTAACGCGGTTATCTTGCGGTTATCATGGATAACCACAAGATAACCGCAATGGAAAAAAATCACCAAATTCAAGCAATTTGAAATAGAAACCTGGTTTCTCCTGAATTTTTAAGTAAATATACTAATTTAAAGTAAAATATAAGTATAATAGGCTCTTCTGTATTCTTTAGTAATAATTTTTATCTATAATAGCCTGATTTAGTCAACCTACGAAATCTTATAAAGTTCATTCAGTGAGTGTACTAACTTCTGTTTGTATAAAATATATATTTTTACAACAACATCCTGATTTCCTTAGTAATCTTAAAATCTCAGACAAACACCACTTACTAGCTACGTAAAATAAGAGGCGATATATCAATATTCGGCTCGTTATTTAAGAATAAGGATCAAGGTGAGCGGTAAAGTAGATATCTATATATATTACCATGCTCTATCGCCCTCCCACGACCAAATATAGAAGATAAAATAAGCAAGAAACTGCACAAACCAACATTGCAAACTAATGCTACAATAACTCATGCGTTGCAAGGAAGCAATATTACTTGCTGACTTTGGTGAATAGTGATGCTACGATCGGGCCAGGACCTCACGGCAGTGATATAATGCCATGTACCTTCTTGGTTACTTATAATATACCAATGGTCTAGTGGTAATGCATTAGATCTAGTAATCTAGAGGTACTGGGTTCGATTCCTAGTAGGTGCTTGTGTCTATATTAGACCATCTGTACTGCAGCTGGCTAATATAGACTCGTCCAGTGCCTAATCCTATGGAGGACCTTTAGATATTTTTATTATTTTCATGCTTTTATTTAACTTTTAGGGCAAACAAACATACTTTAACAGGCGAAATGCCTTGCTATCTAATAACTAGATATAACAAAGAGGAATCGTTAAGATAAAGAAAGTAAAGGGGAAGAATTGTGTGTTCTTATACTACAAGAGGTTATATAACTGCAATAAGCGGACCAATCATGTGCGCCAATTGCAGCGAAGGCGAATAGGAGTAATATACGGGCGTGGCCTGCAACACATTCCTTGTCTTTAAGTTTTCGGAATAGCTTATTATCGTACACTCCCAGGAGCATATTGCCTGGGTACACGTATATAAAACGTTAGAGGAGCTACAACCAATAGGGGCAATAGGGACAGTAGGGACAATAAGAACAACTGGCCTGAGAGGTTAACCGGGCTCACTGTATTAACCAGAACAGGTGTATTTTCAAATTAAAAACAAGAGTATGTAAGCTGCATAAGTGTCACCTGATATGCTAGAATTGGTTAAAGAAGCGAGAGTTATGCTAGTGCGGTTTTCATGCGGTTATCCATGGGTAACCGTGGTTAAACCACAAATCTGCGGTTGCGGTTGCGGTTTTCAAAGTGATATCCAAAACCGCAAATCTGCGGTTGTGGTTTTGACTATGATACCCAAAACCGCGGTTTTGCCGCAGTCTAATAGAGCCATGTATATTGCAGAACTAATCGCTGGCCTTTAAGAGTTCAGGCCCGCGGGTGCGAATATAAACACTTCGCACCTGACTAAGCATCTTAGCTAAGGATCTAGCTATCGCGCTTCCGAGCGCTCCTAACAAAAAGGCTTTAAAAAAACCTTTTTAAACTATATTACAAGCTGTAATAAATAAACTATTATATTACTACTTACAAATAAATAATTAATTTAGGATTTACTATGCAGTTGTATTAGTTCTAGATCTAACTTAATATATAAATATATTTTATAAGGATAACTAGTTAAAGGATAAGCAGTAATATTAGAAAGGTAAGATTTTACTATTTTATAAAAAATGTTGAGAATCTCGGGGAAGAAGCTATGTCGTGAGGTGCTAGGATAGCAGTGACTGGATAGTATATTAAAACTATCGTGCAATCTAGTATCGCATGGTGAGTATATTCCTCTATCTAAAAGAGAGAGCGAAGATAAACACTTCCTCATGTCTATGTGTCCTTTAGCCCCTTGCGTGCGATATATCAGATCCCTACAGGACTAGGATATACAAAGGTGCCTTAGGCATCCTGATTTCCAACAAAAAAAACTATTTTTAGTTTAAGCCGCCAAAACAGCTCCTAAAGATAAAGAAAATATTTTTTTAATTAAGGTAATAATATCTAGTAACAGCCTAACACTTTTACAGCTAACTTTGTTCTAGGATATTAATGCTTTATTCTGCCGCTAAAAGCCAACTTAAAAGGTTGCCACACAACAGAATAAAATAAAATAATATCTGTTTAACTAACTATGTTTATACAACTCAAAGATCGATATTCTTAAATAATAAAGATTTATTAAGCTAATCTACCCCACTGTTGCGCAAATAGCTTGTAATATTCTTATAATATTTCCTACAGGTGTTGTAATTAAACGCTAACTTAGTATTAGTTGTGATATTTATTAATACTGCTATAGGAAACTTCAAGGGTCCACTATTTAAAAAATTATAATTCTAAAAAATGCTAACCCAGCTCATATTAATTAAGTTCTTACTAATAATAAGTATTTGTATGCTAAATGGGAAAATAAAAAGGCTGTATAAAAATATAAGAGTATTATTACTTGCTAGGTAATAACTAAGGAGAAGGCACTTATATAATTATTAATATTTAATTACTTTAGTATAGAATTGGATAACTATTTACCAGCGGCAAGAACTTAATATTTTAAGAATTGTTGTTAAGTTGCTAAGCCGCTAAAATTAAAGTTATTAAAGGTGTTAACTGTTATATTAATCTATTATTTTTAATTTATAATTTATAATATGTCTTCTAAGTAATGATTTATCTTTTAAGCCTCCTATTATATTAGACCAGTACTAAACCAAATATTTATACACTAAAATCGGGAAATTCCCGTTTTAAAGTGGTCGGAAGGAGATTTCCCTTTATTTTTTACCTTTAGGATAAGATTTTCCTCCTTTTATTTGCTTCTGGGAAGGGAATTTCCCTTTCTGACCTTAATTCCCATGGGAAATTCCTATATGGAAATGGGACGGGAAACAGGACCTGATTTCTAAGGTAAGTGGGAAAGGGAATCTCCTATTCCAAATCCCTTCTAATGGGAATCCCTTCCCAAAAGGCTTGGCACGGGGTGGGAATCAAAATGCAATTCCCATGGGAATATGGGACGGGACTGAAACTCGCCCGGGATCCCGAATCCCGTCCCAACGGTCAGCCTATGTAACCCTATCTAGTCACATGATTCTGGTCCACCAACGGCCATATTATTTGACAGCATGTTATTAAGCGAGCTGAACAATCTTCCAGACATGCAGTGCGGCCCCGGTTAGTCGATACTGCACTTTCAGGAAAATAATATCGACTAACTGCGAATATCGTCTTACCGGAGGGATTTACATATAAAAGAGAGAATCGGTGCTATAGATTTCTATCGTCTAAACGCGAAATTGTACTAAGCGGGGTATCGACTAAATGAGGTTGGACTGTAGTAAGGAACGGGCCGAATCAGCCGGTAAGTCTGGAGCCGTTGGCTGCAGTTAGCGCCTTATTCATATCGCGTTAGGTCCGACTTCTACTCCGTAAGGTTAGTTCCCGGTGGAGCAAGATACAGAAGCCAGGAGCTATTCTGCGCGGATTGGCCGATGGACCTCAAGGAGTCAAGCTCGCAAAGCCCATGCAGGGCTAATGAATGTAACCCTGCAGTGTACCTCTGCCCGCAGCGCCAAGGCTTGGCAGTCAAAACGAGCCTATTCACACTCCGTTCTGTTTAGATCGTCTTGGCACCCATTCTTGGCGCGCAATCTCGCCGTTTCAGTATTTTAACTGGAGGGATGCGGGGATTATGTACCTAATTTCAGCCCTAACCTGCGGTATATACCGTTAGTAGGTGGTGTATGTCTCGCTTCGCCCCTTCCTGTCACAGAAAAGGTTTGTCCTTGTAACCCATCGAGTAGCCTCGGCGCCAAGGATTGGGAGATTACCGGCCTAATACCCTTATTTTATTTTCTCTGCCAACACACGTTTATTACAAATATTCTCATTTGCCCTGCCCGCCTAATCGTCGGGTGCTTGCTAGATCCTCGCCGTTCTCAGAGTGGAAGGAGACCCTTTTCTTCTTATTTCCGACCTCGGCCTTCCACTTAATCAAACTCGTTGTGAAATTCAATCCCTGCCCCGTCGAGCCACTTAGCTATGCACTTTCCCCAAGCGAGGTGGCTCGGATTACTGGGCGTCATAGTCACCACTGCGTACGCGGTCGAAGTGGACTTGGTCTTCCCTCGCAACGAAACGTATTCGCCAGCCGACTGGTTCCCTATTGTCTTTGCTGTGCAGAACCCGCAGAGCGCAGAACTCCTCAACCTCCGCATCTCCTACGACATCCGCAAGGGCAATGACAGAAACAACGACACCACCCTAATCCATGATCTGCGCTGGGCGAACTGGTCCAGCAGCGCGGACCCTTACCTTGCATACCAGTACCTCCAGTACCTCAACACCACGGGGCATTGGTCCGTGACCTGGCGGCTCCGCTGGCAAAGCTGCGACGAGGAGGCGCTGGCAAATAATGATGAAAACGGCGGGGTCTTCGAACACTATTACTCCTGGGCGCAGTTCTTCACCATCGATGATTCCGCCCCCAAAGAAGTAGATCTCGTCGCGGTGACCGCCAACGCCATCTGCCCCGAGGACCGGAACGCGATTGCGATTAATGTGACCGACAGGACCATGCATTCGCTCCCGGACCTCAACTCCGCGGGCCGCGACACTTGTGTCGTTACGGCGAACTCGACTGCTAGTACCACACGCACCGCCCCTGACCCCTGTCGCGTCGCTATTAACGAGGATACCGCAGCGAGTATGACTGCCGTTCAGCAGAAACGGCTCTGCGATGGTCCGAATCCGCCCAATAACTGTCCTAATGAGGAGAATGGTGCTCAGCAATTGGCTGTACTTAGTATATCTTGCTTCTTGTCTGCTTTCGGAGTTGTTGGGTTTGCTTTCTTGTAGATGGATACTTTCGCTTATGTTAGATCTAGCCCAGCCTTGCTTTTCTTTCCTTGTATTTGCCCCTATAATTTTGCACATACCCCCCGGGACACAACCGCTTTGACTAGGTAGTTATTACAGGGGCATCCATAATTAACAGCATAGCAAGTAGTCGCAGCATAAGCTCTCCCCGGACAATAATAAATAAAGAGTTGCCTGTAGTGCATGTGTGAGCCACCTACCTACTTAATCAGCAGTTTCCCCCGAAGCCCAGAATCCACGCCTCTTGTTCTCTCGCTCTCTCGCTCTCTCTTTCTCTCTGTCCCGCCTACTAACCCAGCTCATAAAACACAACTAAGCGGGCGGACCAAGGTTACCCATTGCCCGTCTTCCACGCAAAATACCTACCACGCCACTATGTAGCGTAGACGAGCTGACTATAGTAAGGGGGGCCGAAATCATTTCATGCATGCAGGCCAAGCCCTGTATCTGTAGCTACATGTATATGTACGGAGCATACACGCCTGGTGCGCCCCTGGATGGAAAAAGCCGTCCCGCAGCCCGCCAGAGAAGCCCTATAATCTACACTAATTCTCCCCAATAAAGTACCTGATATTCACATCCCAGAACTCCATCGGGATTCACCAACCCGGTCAGATAACCCGCGGACTAAATTAACCAGATTCAGGCGTACCTACAGTAGTCAGTAGTTACTACTTATATAGTACAAGGTAGTTGTAAGTAGTCTCTTGGCAAATGATACCCTACACGGCTGCACGGCACAGCATACTCTCTAGGCCGCCAGCTGAGCCAGCCATACCGTACAGAAAACGCCCTAAAGTGCCAGGACACAGGTCAGTCACAAGTGGGGCGGACCTCGCGCAAATAGCTTAACCGCTTTTGGAGGTCATGTGATGTGCCGCCAACAGCTCTGTATTTAATCCACTTTGCGCGACCTAAATTTTTTATTACCTTACCAAATCTTTACACCGCCCTCTAAACTTTCTAACTACTTACCAACTAGTTACTAACTAGTTAATAAACCAAGATGCTGAGCGTCCGATTTTTAACGCAGCTCACCAACAATTGCAAATTCCTCTATATTATCTATATTATTAAATGGAAGATAATTCTACTAGTTCTTTATTAATTTAGGTAAAGCAGAGTAAATATATATATTGTGCTTAATTATATTAGCGCAGTTTATATAATATAAAAATATATATATATACAACCACCATCAGGAGTATACTGCCCCCGAGGTTAGCAAGATTATTAACCAGTATACCAAGACTAACAATGTGCGGTAATTATTATCAGCGGGGTAATATAATTGCAAAAGAAATTTTATTTAACTAAGTAGGACTATCGTATTCAAAGAAGTCAGGTGGAACTGATATGGAACTGCTTTGTAACTGATTAGGAACTGGTATTAAACCAGTTCCTGGGGGTAAGCTATCCACCGGGGGTGGAATAATGCCTTGTGAAAGTGACAGCTGTGTAATTACTTTGTATCTAGCCAATTAAGCTACTTGCCATCGATATTGTAGATCTAATTCTCGCTGATAATAGTGCTAACTTATGCTGTTTTTAGAAGCAACTTAACGAAGTGAGGAACCTCTCCGTCTATGTAACTAGTTAGTAATTAATACTTAACTAGTTTGTAACTACTTTAAGCTTACCTAGAACCTCTTCCCCTAGATGGTGTTTGACCTCGTGATCTTGAGCTAGATCTTGTACTTGATCTAGATCTGGATCTGGTATTGGATAAAGATGGGGAACCTGAAGAGTTATATACCTGGATAGGTTCTTCAACACTATTAACTAGGGCAGGAGATAAGGAATTGGATAACTGTTAACGGCGCTTCCGCTCTATATAGCCGGTTAGTAACTAGTTAAAAACTAGTTAAAAATTAGTTAATAATACTTACGTTCCCTGATCAGGCTATTTGCATGCCGCTGGGCAATAGTATCAGTGCGGTAAGAGTGATGAATATTATAATTATTCCGGCTTAGATACTAATTAACATCCCGTGAATCAAGCTGGTAAGCCCTACATAACCAGTTAGCAACTAGTTGGTAAGTGGTTAGTGCTTAGTTATATATATACCTTTCTACAGCTTTAACTAAAGAAAGCTTTTTCCCCCACATATATCCCTTTTAATGTGACTGTTCTCCAGCATTGGTATAAGGTATAGCCTTCTGAAAAATAGTGGAATCCATCCTAGAGCAGAATTTATTAAGACCAGCTGCAATAACAGGATTAGCTTTATAAGCAGCCTATTGTTCGACACTTTCATTATTATTTTTATAGACTGGTTATAAACTAGTTAGTAAACAGTTTTTAAGTAGTTATATAATAGGTAAATATACTTAATAATTGTTGAATAAGATTATAATAATCCGATCGGCTTTGACAATCTAATAAAGATGCCATTCGATTAAAAAGCTCTGATCCACGTTTCTGACGGCCAATGGCTTGATTAATCCCTCTTAAAAAGTGCACTCGACAGAATATTAAAATATTTATTAAATGAAAATCAGCTGGGCGATGTTCTGGGTTAATAGATGTAAGATATTGTCCAAGCCCTTATTAACTAGTTAGCAAGCAGTTTATAACTAGTTTTATAGTACTTAAGGTTAGAAATTTACCTTTCATCTGTCCATCATCCATATCAACTACGAGGCTCTCAATCCCAGATCCATGAAGATATTTAAATCGTACTTCAGATCCAGAAACGTAGCTAAATAGGTATTAGTAACTAATATATAAGTACTTTATAAGTAGTTAAAAACTAGTTAGCAACTAGTAAAATATTTAACGTACTTAATTTCAGCTCGGGGTCTTTAAGGTCTTGGATAAGCTTTCGAATATCACTCATAATTTCGGGAGGTGCCTTAGAAGGTGGAGGTGGAGGATGCACATGCTTTCCATGTGATGTAAAAAGTAAAAAAGGACACTCAAGAATATCCTTTGGTATAAGAATATTAAATACAACATCACAAGGCATAATCTTCAGATCTTGTACACCGTTAGGATGGTCAAATCCTATAAGCATTTTTAAAGTACTTAGCAAGTAGTTAATAACTAGTTAAAAAGCAGTTCTTACCACAATGTCCTCGACGTGTGTGAACTCCCTCAATTACTCCACAGCTTCCGGATACAGGAGTAATATTCTGAGTGAAAATATTGGACAGAAAATTGAGATCAGTATCAGTTTGAAATGCTAAAGATTAAAAAAAATGATCCTTATAGTTAGTAGGAGTGGAATTGCTGCAAGTAATATAAGAATAATAGACACCTGCAATACTCTGCAATTAGTTAATAACTAGTTTAGAAGTAGTTTGTAAGTAGTTTATAACCAGTTACTAACCTGCTGAGCTGGCTATTTAAATACAGGAGAGTAGCTCTCTAGCCATGAATAACATGCTGAGTGCTTTTTAAAGGCACGCTGAATACCATTATAAAGACTGGTAATAAACCGGTTAGCAGCTAGTTAACAACTAGTTAGCAACCAGCATTACCTATATGCCTTTCGCTTTCTGATATCCTTTTTACTTAACTTAATTTCTTGTCTTATATCTTGAATTAAATGCCATGTTTTATTATTAATTTTGTAGTGATGCAGATGTAATAAAGTAGGATAAAGATTAAAGCAAACCTTAACTCCACTACATTTATATTAACTTCGAAATACCCCAACTTGTAGGAAAGGACAAATAGAAGAAATTTTTTGATATCGCTGCCGAGAGGAATATTAAATCTTAACCAGTTAGTAACTAGTTATAAAGTACTTAACAAGTAATTACTTACCCCCTTTATAATATTCTTAACGTCAGCTGGCCTCTGTGGACTAAGTGGTATAATATAGGTATGACCACCTTCACTTGACTCAGGATATTTAGGAAGAGCAAGAGAATACTTGATTTTATAAGTAATTAATCGTGTTTGCATGCCATTTGTAAGAACAGTAGGAATTAGATCCTAATAACTAGTTAATAGCCAGTTATCAAGTAATTATATTATAAAGGTAATGTAATAAATGCAAACCTGATTTATATTATCTAAATCCTTAATGTCTGAGTCCTTATTCTGACTGGTGTTGGCAATATCGCTCGTAGTACTTATCTTAGTACAAGAAACTAGTTGATAACTAGTTACAAAGTACTTAAGTACTGGTTATGTGTTTTCGAAATTCTGCCGTCGGGAGCAGGAGATGGTAAAGTAATGAAAAATTTAGGTCGCGCAAAGTGGATTAAATACAGAGCTGTTGGCGGCACATCACATGACCACCAAAAACGGTTAAGCTATTTGCGCGAGGTCCGCCCCACTTGCGACTGACCTGTAGTCACAGTAAGTGCTAGGTGATAATGCGCATTAGCCCCAAATGACGCTAGAGGCTAGTCAAAGTAGTTACTTAGGTAGTCTCTTGCACTAAGGTCTTCCCCTGCATAATGGACTAGTTGTACTCTAAGCAGCTGACCTGGGCCACCTGGCCGCATGGTTGCCTGATGGCACGGGGGCTGGGGCACATCGATCCTCCCTATTTGCCTCGCATCGGTTCGGTCCGTACCTGACGGAGTTAGTCCGAATTTCCGAACTCAGAGTTGAGACACAGACTCACAAACTACAGTGCATACTAGTGTGGATTGTGGAGACTCGAGTGTCCGGGCCTCCGTCAATTGCCAAGTCCACCTAACTAGATTTGAAGAGTAAAGTACCTACTACAGGTCAAGGATAACAATGTAGTCTACCTAGATATCCCACCCTCGCGTAAAGGTCAGAATCAGATGCTCACTTGCCTCGGCGGGGGATATCTTCTACGCTATCGTATTTTGTCACTAGGGCCCCAGTACGAGGTCCAAGTTTTCAGTGCCCGAGAGAAATTGGGCCAAGGATTGTTGGGAGATTGGTGTACAGCATACCGTCACTGGCGTTGGGTTGATAGTACGCTAGGTAATGAACAGCTTTGTTGTATTTGGCTTGTAATTGTTCGTACCAGTGCCATTCGGCGTGGGATGAGCTGAGCTGAGGGGATGCGATGCAACGTCCAGTCGAAGCTAAGGATCGAAATTTTTTTGGAGGCTGTGAAGGAATGGAATTAGTAAGTGAGGCTCCGAGATTCCAGTGGCTCGAGTATATGTAGTATAAATCGCCTCCGGGGGCATTTTATCTCCCCGGGTTGATCTGTGCTTCCACTACGCTCTTTACTCCCTTCACAACCTATACCCTCTTTTCTTTCCTACCAATACATTCTTTTTTCTACTTTTTGTTCTTTTGTTTTTTTTTCCATGGTGGCCTTGACCTGACTCAGCGCGACAGCAGCCCTCTTGCTTTCCGCATGGCCACCTGCAGCCACCGCAACCCCGGGCTTCCGCAAATCGGCCAGCCCGAGATACCGCAGCAGTGCCTCGGTCTGCCCTGAGCGCTGCAGCGACTCCGGCCCCAACACGGGAAATTGGTCCGTGTACGCGGACTTCAAGCAGATCCGCAAGTGCAAGGAGACCAAGTTCTACGACTTCTCGCTGTTTGACGATGTTGATAATCGTAGCGGAACCCACCGCATCCAGGCCTGCTCGTCGTACGGGCCGGACTTTGCCAGTCTCCCTGCCTCCACTGCGCGGATTGCTTCCGCCGAGTCTGTTGATGTTGAGTTTGAACTCGGCTGGTGGCATGAGGGGTTCGGCCTGGCGGGTGCTGGACTGCGGTCGATTGTTAAGCAGATGCGCCGGTATACCGAGGGTGGGCATGGGCTGACGGACAGGCCGTTTATTATCTACGGCCAGTCTGGACAGGCAACGATTGGCCTGTATATTGGGCAGGGTCTGCTGAACCAGGGGCTCAGCGAGTCTGCGCTGAAGCTGTTCCAGGATAACCTTGACAAGCTCGAGGTCTCCACGCCAAGCCTGGCCATGCAGCTCTGCGAGGAGGGCTACGATAGCACGCACGTGTTTGGTATTATGGCTACCAGCAATGGGACCTTTGCCCCATCCAAAATGCGATCAAGGCCTGGGAAATGCGACGTGCCTGTCGTTCTCGGGGTCCACCAAGTTCGCTAGCTCGGCCAAGTTCACTACGCCGCTTCTGAATGAGAACCACACGACTACCAATTCAACTATCCTGGCTCGCAACCTGGCTCGAAACCTTGTTACCCGGGCCGACGGCGAGTGTACAGCTGTACAGGTTGACGCTGGCAACAGCTGTGCAGACCTGGCAGTGAAATGCGGCATCTCAGGTGCCGACTTCACCAAGTACAACCCTGGCACTGATTTCTGCTCCAAATTAAAGCCGAAGCAGCACGTCTGCTGCTCCAGTGGAGATCTTCCTGATTTCCGCCCCCAGCCCAACCAAGACGGCTCGTGCAAGGCATACCAGGTCCAGGCCAATGACAACTGCGACAGCCTTGCTACGGAGTGCAGTCTCAAGATGGACGATCTCGAGGAGTTTAACAGGAATACTTGAGGCTGGAATGGCTGTGAGCTTCTGTTCAAGAAAACGGTCATCTGCTTGAGTAAGGGTACGCCACCCTTCCCTGCGGAGATTTCCAACGCACAGTGCGGTCCGCAGAGGCCAGGCACAAACCCACCAACGGATGGCTCGGATATCGCCGATCTCAACCCTTGCCCGTTGAACGCGTGCTGCAATATCTGGGGCCAATGCGGTATTACCGCGGACTTTTGCATCGATACTAACACCTGCGCCCGGGCACTGCCGAGCCAGGCACCTACGGGTGTATCTCCAATTGCGGTATGGATGTCGTCAAGGGCTCTGGATCGGACGGGATTAAGATCGCCTACTATGAAGGCTACTGCCTAAGCAGACAGTGCCTGTTCCAGGACGCCTCGCAGATCGATACCTCGCAATACACGCACCTCCACTTCGGCTTCGGCACGCTGACTAACTCGTGGGACGTCAAGACTGGCGATGAGCTGTCCACCTACCAATTCGGCGAGTTCAAGAAAATCTTTGGCGTCAAGCGGATCCTCTCGTTCGGTGGCTGGGACTTTTCGACCATGCCTGGGACATACCAGATCTTCCGCAACGGTGTCAAATCTACGAACAGGCTCACGATGGCGACAAAGATTGCCAACTTCGTAAAGGAAAATGACGTCGATGGTGTCGATATCGACTGGGAATACCCCGGAGCGCCTGACCTCCCTGACTTCGACCCCGGTACAGAGGAAGACGGTCCCAACTACCTAGCCTTCCTTGTCGTTCTTAAGAACCTTTTGCCCGGAAAATCCGTCTCCATTGCCGCCCCTGCGTCCTACTGGTACTTGAAGCAGTTCCCCATCAAGGACATTGCTAAGGTCACCGACTACATTGTCTACATGACCTATGATCTCCACGGGCAGTGGGATGCGCATAACAGCAACTCCCAAGAAGGCTGTAACACATACAACTGTCTGCGTAGCCAGGTCAACCTGACAGAGACAAGACAGTCATTGGCAATGATCACCAAGGCAGGTGTCCCTGGCGAAAAGGTTATTGTCGGTGTGACGAGCTACGGGCGATCCTTCAAGATGGCGGACGCAAATTGCTGAGGCCCCGACTGCGTGTACACTGGCGACCGCTTAAATTCCAACGCGAAAAAGGGCAAATGCACTGGCACAGCTGGGTACCTTGCCGATGCTGAAATCGCCGAGATCATAAAGGATTCCTGTCGAGTCGTCAAGAGCTATGTCGACACAACCAGCAACGGCGACGTCCTTATTTATGATAAAGATGAGTGGGTCGGCTACATGAGCGCCGCCTCCAAAAAGACGCGCACCTCCCTGTACGCTGCCTGGGGCTTGGGAGGCACCTCTGACTGGGCTAGCGACCTGCAAACGTACCACGATGTCCCCAAGCCGGCGACAAGCTGGGCCAACTTTATCCAACTTGCCAGAGCCGGAGAGGACCCCAAGACAGACCACACGCGGAACGGGAACTGGACTGACTTTGACTGCACAGACTCGGTTATTGTGGATTTTCTTGACTAGACGCCCTCGAAACGGTGGAGGTTGATGGGTGCAGATGCGGCATGGGACGACATTGTCCGGATTTGGAAAGACACCGATTCTCAACGCGCTGGTGTTAATTTCACCCAGTCAGTCGAAAGTACCACCCACTTTGGGGGTCAGCAGGGCTGCGGTGACTTGACCACTGGAAGCTGCAGCACCGTGGAGTGCGAAAAGGGTGCAGACAGTGACACCTCGGGCCCCGCGGCCCAGTTCATCTGGAACTCGCTAGCGGAAATCCATGGAATGTACAAGAGCTACTATGACACCTTGTTCAAGGCTCTCACCGTTGTCAGCACGGCGCTCGACGATATGGAGAATAAGTTTGCGCCTATTCCGCCGGAGGAAGACGACACCTGGCTCTTGATCCTTATCGACATGATCACGCTTGGCGCCCTGGGAACTGCCGGCCCATTTTTCAACACGGTTCTGAAGAAGCACGATTGGTTTGCTGGGGAGACCGGCAGTGCCCTGGATAACGCAAAGGATACCGCTATGACTCTTATCGGACAAAGTACAACCATCGCCAAGGACGCATTGCCTGGAGGGGACGCGGCTAAATGGACGCCGGAGAAACAGGATTAGTTCTCAGCCTATCTGGGGCAGGTCATCTATGGCTGGGCTAATATTACTTCTCTTGCGCTGGAAAACCTCTTCAGCGGATCCGACGAGGCGATTGATGCTCTCTGGGAAGCCATGTCCGATGGAAAGCTTATCGAGGGTAAGAAGGAAGGCGAGCTCCCCGCGACTGGAAATGCCCAGAATGAGCTGCTCGCCAATATCAAAAAGTGTATTATTAGCTTCGCCCTTCCCGCCCTGTGGCGCCAATCTGGATCGTACACCTTTATCATCGACGCAGGTCACGCTTGTAATGAAGACAAGGATCTCAGCGACTATCTTGACGAGGACACGATGGACGCCACGGGTGTCTGCGTGGACAACTGGCAGTACTACCTGGCGTATCCGGACGGTGATGCGACGAAATGCACCTGCGAGCACGTCACCGATGCCGGCCCCTGTCAGACAATCTACAGAGACGACAAGTTCTCTGCGCCCAAGGGAATTAAGTACATCTCCAACGGGAATAACTACAACGGCATCACGAAGACCGAGCTGGTCAAGGGCTCCGTCCGCACCTGGCAGACCCGACCAACGATGCCACTCTCTCCGACCTAATGGACGTCGACGTCACCACCCCCGGCTTCATGCGGATCCCTGTCTGCAGCCCCGAGCGCGCCTTCCAGTCCTGGGACACGGCCAACAAGGACTCGAGCCCGAACTGGCCCTGCGATATCCCGCCGGGCAAGGACGAGTGCGGGGACTCGACCTTTGTGGACCAGACTAGCGACGAATCGCCGAAGGTTGAGGACTGCCGCCAGATTATCAAGAACATCGAGGGCGATGGCAGCACCGACTGGACCACCCAGGTTATCGGCCATAACCAGCGCAAGATTGCCAGTCATGCAAGCTGTCATTTCGGTGTCGAGGCTACCAAGACTAACGGCAACGTCAACTTCAAGGTCGGCGGGCAGGATGTCATCGATATCATCAACGACGCTATTGCTCGGTTTGCTAGGGACGGGCTGATCGGTGCAAAGGGTCATATGAATTGCAACGGTAATATAAAGAGCCAGCCGGTTCTGTGGGGGATCTACTAGGAATATAATATCTAAGTAGGAGATAGTTCACGATCGGCAAGTAGCACCAACATCTAAAACAAACCCATGCCAACATAGACTGGTAGTTTTTGTGAGACAAAGGGTGATAATTGGCGATCAAGATCTCGCGATAATAGGGAAAAGCGTGACAGAGTATGAGATTCCATATTATTCGCTGAATAGGGTTCCCTCTCTTGTACTCTTCACGTCCTCCCCTTGTCCGTAGCACCGTCAAGTGCGATAGTGGCTGTTTTCCGATGAGCATGTCTGGAATCATTAGTATGTCTTCGCCGTCGAAGCGGGGCACAACGGTACCGTGGGTTATCTTACTTTGCCTCCTTAATTAAAGAATCCAGTCGCTTGTAGAGTAGATCAAGCTGCTTCTGGTATTCCTCGAGTACGATGCTTTTATTGTTCATCGACGTCTCCGATTGCGGGCCCATTGTCATAAAATAAACGACTAGATGAGATTCTATTTATCGCAACGATAGCTTTTCAGTGACGGTTGAGCCTATAGAGGGCGTCTATAGCACCTTTTATTGGAGTTGCCCTTTTAACTTTGCTCCTGACGGCCCTTTCAAGACTCAATCACGTTAGCTAGATATGCCATGGACGAAGCCAAGGATTCCTCCGAGATGGCGTTCATTTGTATAGAACAGCATCTCTTGCATTAGGGAATATACCTCCCTCGCAGAGCCCTTGTGAGATCGAGCTGGATATCTGACTGTTAATTACCGCCAAAAGCGGGACCCACAAATACATGGACGCCGCAAGGACAAAGAAAGAAATGGCCTTTCTCCTCAGATATTGATGTGGCAAAGATGATGTGGCCTCATGCCGTACTGAGTTTTTTTCTCGATATCCGTAGGGTAACCGTGCACGCACCACCCTTCCGAGCGTTGGTGCTCCCGGTCTCAACTAGGCTGACCGTTGGGAGGGATTCGGGATCCCGAAAGGGTTCAAGTGCATTTTGATTCCCATTGGGATTATGGGACGGGACTGAAACTCGCCCGGGATCCCGAACCCCGTCCCAACGGTCAGCCTATTACAGTAACAGCAGGCCTTAAAAAGTACGGGAACCTTTTTAAAGCATACAGAATTCCAATAAGCCTCCACTAATCCCGTCTGTTTATTATTTGGAGAATTATATATCGAAAGTATTATCCTAGAGCTTTTAAAAAGTGATGAATGCATTTAATACTTTACAAAATAAAAGCTTTATAGAACAAATTTTAGCCTCCAACATTAGGTCCCTTATTCTGCAACGTTCAATTCCCCTGTACATTGAGATTGAGCGACTGATAAAAACTAACTTAGGTAATTGAAAATCAAGAACAAAACAAAGACATCAAAAGCACAGGATAGCAATAGGAAACACAAATTCACAAAGTCACAATAACATTCTAATTCAATTTACCACTCCTCAACATACACCAATCCCATTCGGATCCGCCATCAATCGTGCCTTAGGATCCAGTAACACACGATACTCCTGGTCTTCCCTATAGGGCGGCTTGTCTTTCGCCGAGAAGATGGCATTGTGGGCAATTCCGAACCGGAAATGTTGCTGTGCGCGCTGCTGCCGCGCCTCCACCCGTACTCGGTAATCATTGTAGGTAGCCTCCTCTAGCGTGGCAAAGAGATACTTAGAGTGGACGCACAGAGCCTGAGCACCTTTCTGTCCAAATCCAAACGAAGTGGCTGAAAACGCCTTGATCCCAGTGGTCTGGATGCTACGATTCGGGCAGACGATGTAGTCATTCTCCAGCACAGGGTCGATATTGTCTGCGTTGCGGTTACCAGGAACGAGGCCAGTGTGAAGGACCTGGAGACCACCATTGAGCATCCAGGCACCGGCGGCGCCCTTGGAATGGCCGGTGAGGTATTTCTGGAAGATGCCCAGAACAGGGTTGCCGGGGGTGCGTCCTAAGTGTCGGAGCTGGCGACTGATCATGTCAATTTCATTCTTCTCGTTGAGTACGGTCGATGTGCCGTGGAAGGAGACGACGTCTAGGTCATTCATGGTGAGATTCCATGTTGCCAGAGCTCCTCGGAGGGGGGATATTTCGCAGTCATTCTTCCAGAAGTGGTTGCCGAAGGTGTTCAGGGCGTCCTTTTCTTGACTCTGGGCTTCCTGGCGAACATAGCGAAGGCGCTCATTTATTTCCTCCATTCGTTCTTCAGTGTAAGGGCTAGGATTGCTGTGCTTGAGATCTGCCAGTTCAGCTTTAGCGACGCTCACCTCCATATCGACACGCTCTTGGATATGTTGCCGCGAAAGATTGAGTCTCCGGCGTCGATAGGCAATGTCCAGCATAGGAGAGGGGATTTTGCGCCGTGATTCTCTGGCATTTGTCAACAGACCCTTTCCTGGGGCCGGAACAGAGCGTCCAATCTTGTCACTGGCCGTTCCAACCCATGCGACGATACCCTGGATGGGAAGTCCCATGTCCAACGCTAATCGGGCGGACGTGATCACTTGCACACCGCTGCCTTGCGATTCCACGAATCCTGCTCGTGTAGACGCTGCAGGTCGAGACATCTCGCTCGGATCGCGACCTTTTTCCATATCAGCCTCGCTACTCACAGTGGCTTTCATTTTCGCGAACTCATAGGACACATCCTCGGAGAAATCGTCAAAGCCACCCACTAGACACATCTTTGCCTTGCCGGTCACAATTGTTTCGAATCCAGACTCAAGCGATTCGATCGAAGTGGCACATGCTCCCACGGGCGTTCTCAGGGGACCCGTGGAAGACAAGAGAAGCATGTTGATCCAGGCCGCGGTGGTGTTGATAAATGACTCCTGGAGAATATCATTCTGGACTGGCTTCTCAATGAATCGGTCCTTGTGCAGTTTCCGAAGCGCTTTCACACCACCTATTCCAGACCCAATACAATTGCCAATCTCAGACAAATGCAAGTACTTGTAAATCTCGAACGGATCACTGATACCTGCTCTTAACAGGGCTTCCACAGCCCCGATCACGGCGTATAGAGTGGCCGGATCCACCTGGTTCACGAGATCCTCCGTGAAGCCATAGGTACGGGCGTCCCAGCCGGTGGGAATCTGTCCAGCAACTGCGCGGTCGAACCGCATAGCCTTGGGTATCATCAGACATCCCCCCTTTAGCAGCCGGACAGTGCACTCTTCGCCATCCGGGATTACTTCCACCTTGTCTCCATGTTCGAGCTGAAGTTGCTCTGCGGTTTCCTTTGACACCTTCATGAGTGGCATGTCCTCGTCCAGAACCACTTCTTGCACGAATTTCTTCTTGAGAGGGTTGTAGCCGTCGTGGAGTTCGGGCTCAATTAGACGAATGCCAGTATGCTTCAGGATGTGTTGTTGGAATCTGGTCTTGACCTCGCTGTCTTGGATGGGCTCCTTGGTCTCCGAGACAATCCAGCCCAGGTAATGGGGAGATCCGTTCAGAGGCCCGTTGTGGTGCTTGATGAGGCCCATGATCCATGCCATCTCCACGTACCCTTGAAGAGAAAACTCCCCATTCGCTTCCATCTCCCACCGCGTGCGAGAGTTGCCGTAGGGACCGACTTCGGAGAACCCAGTCACGACCACCACACGATCGAGATCCACCATGCCACCTAACTGGCCGAACAAGGGTAGAATCTCAGTGGGATAGTCTGGAAGAGGTGGAAACTGCATCTCCGGAACAGCTTTCGGCACTCTCACTTTCGGCGTCTCTTGACTTGGCGGGGTGTTTCCCAGAGCCAGTCGTTCGAAGGCTTGTTCTTTCGCCAATGCCTCCCGAATCTCGCTGGTCTCCTTCTGTCTCTGCCGGATAGTGTCCACCGCCTCTTTCAAGTTGGGAAACGTGCTCAGACCTCCGCCCAAATCAGCCTTGACGGGCGCGATCTCACACTCGGCTGCAATAGGAAACGACATTAACACGAGAATGTAGTAGGCCATCTCCGCCTGGGAGAAGGTCCTCACTCCGAGGCTCTCGATCTCTTCCGCGACAAAATTGTTGGCACTCATCAGACCCGTGCCGCGAGTCCATCCGATGACCACCCCACAGATGGACAGGTATGTGCCCCAGGACTCGGACCTCCATCGATTGAACAGAGTCTCGAGGGCAATCTTTGACTCCGCATAGAGTCCGTCGCCACCGAAAATGCCGTGGTTTGGCGATAGGGGTAAAAGAACCTGAGTTGGGTGGCTGTCAAAGCCTTTGTCGTGTTTGTGTCTCTTGATCGCTCCAAGGAGCCTCAACAGATTCGTAAGCATCAGTCTGTGTGCCAGCTCCGACTTCGAATCAATATCGTCGATCTGGCGTCCACCTTCTGGTATCGCAGCGAAGGGAATAATATGCGCGAGATCCCATCCCAGACCCTGGTCGGAATCATAGATATAGGAGACCAATGACTCGGTGTCCTGCTGGCTGGCTTGGTTGAACGGCATGAGAATGAGTTGGGATCCCTGGGCTCCTTCTTCGGCGTAGATCTGCTGATACGACCTTGTAGTTGATTGCGAATAACTGCTCGTCGTAACCAGTACGCGGGCACCTCCTCGGAGCAGACCACGAACAATCTCGGTTCCGATCGAATCCCGGCCAGCTCCGATGACGAGGATTTCTGTATCTTTGAAGGAGAGAAACTGTGAGTCTGTCCGGTGTAGGGCAGTCATGAATGCCGCGGTTAGATCAGTCCTAGATTCCCATCCTTCACGGCCCAGGGATTTCAAATCCGCTGGTGGCGCAGCTTTAATGCCGGATCGGGGGACCTCGACATATTGAATACGCCCAACTTTATCGATGACAGTCTTGGGGGAGTCAAGAACCAGACGATGCAAGGAGACAGGCCGGACTTGGTGCCTTGGGGATCGTGGATCACACGCATCTAGCAGCTGACTAAAAATAGTTCGCACATCGGCCGCTCTCGGGCTTTGGAGCTTCATGCAATGTTCGCGGAGGTAGCTCAATGTCTGTAAGAGTTTCGGGTTTGATCGTCGTGTGATACGCCCCATCATGGTCTCCATTTCGCGACCCGCGAGCGAAATCTGCCCGGCCAAAATCCGATGGAACAGATCAACGGCATCCTGCAGAGCCCAATTCCAGAACGAATCATATCTGCGCGCTTTCGCGACTGCCAGCATAGGCTTGATACCGGAGCCATAGATCTCGCCGTGCTCCGACACCCAAAGCTGCAACTCGTCCTGTAGATGCGCAATAGCGTCTGCGGCATTGCTGGTGGCTTTGTGTCCCGCATGCAGGTCCACCCCAAGTATCTTGGCATATACATCCAGCATAGCTCGCTGCTGCTGGTCCTGTGTGTTGGCCAACGCCGTCACCATGGTCTGGTCTACGACCACCTGGCCCGACTGATTAGTGGCGGCACTGCCCGCGCCGGCGGCGGAAAGGTCGATTTGAGCGTCTTTGGCGTAGACAGCCACGACGCCATCCAGGAATGCAAAGGCGGCTGCCGCATCTGCCAGTCGTGCCGCCGGCTGTAGCACCACCGCCCGGACCAGCACTGCGTCTTGGCGTCCCGCCCCTAATCCCCACTGCCCCAGCAGGTGGTCCCGCACCCCAGTAGGGCCTAGACCCGCCGGCATCTTGGAGGAGAGCAGTCGACTGACGAGACCCTGGGTGGTCTTTCCAAGTCCTTTGCCCCAGGATCCTTGGGCTTCCATTGTGTTGCCGAGTTCGGACAGCTCGAGTTCTTCGGGCTTCTCGGGGAGCGAACCAAACTCAGCACCGAGGTCACCAACCAGTTCGTTTTCTAGGGTTGATCGCCCTTGTAATCATTAGATACACTAATGCTTCATGCAGATCCATGGGGATAAGGTGAAAAAAATAAGGGTTGCTCACCTCCAACTAGCTTCTTAATGGTTTGGTGCAAGTCCACCTCTTCAACTGCTTTCTTTAACTTGTGTGCTATTAATGCAACAATGATATCAATGGCAGATATTGGTTTGTCGACAATACTAGACCCACCCTTGTTCACAGGGGCTATGACAGCCACAGGGGCAATAGTTGGCGGGGATGCTGTCACTGTCGCGGTGGTTACAGTATCTGATGGTACTGCCACTGCAGTATGCTTCATCTTACGGGTTCCGGCCGGTGCAGACTCGGCATCACCATTCTCATAGTATAGTTCACGCGCATGGTTCTTGTAACTCCATAGGTCTCGTTGAAGGCCTAGAGCAGCATCATGGACCTGGTATTTCGCTGATAATGTCTTCTTGACCATACCAAGCAATGTCTCAGAAGGGCCAACCTCGATGAGACGGTCGATCTTCTGTTCACGTAGAACAACATCCTGTGTTTCGATCCTATAGATGTGACAATATGTCAGCTGCTGATCACCATCATGCAAGCCAGGCTTGATGTCAGCCACTGATTACCATCATGCAGGCCAAGGTATTGATGATGGATGCCTCAAGCAAAGGCATGGTGCGTGAGGAGGCGGGGATCAGGGGTGTGGATGATGAAACCTACCACCTGACCGGAGAAGCGAATTGATACCTGCGTGAGGACAAGGTCAGTGTCAGTGTTATACCCGCAATTGACTCGGCAGAGCAGTAGAAACTTACGCCAAAAGCTCCGTCAACAGAACATATGCGAGCTCCTGGTGGACTTCGGGATGCATTGTGTCCTGTCTTACCTGTGCAGCTGTGATCGATGTCCTGAAGAGTTTGAGAACATGGGAAGTCAGCCCTATTTCGAGGAATCCCATCATATATGCGCGAGCTTGGAGAGAGAGGGAGTCTGTTCCTTGCATGTCATTTCTCCCACAACACACACACACCTCTCTATTTCCTGTCACCTGTCCCCTGTTCCCCCTCCCCCCACGCATCGCCTCTGTCGCACCTCCACAGACTTTGGCCCCTAACTGTTAGCCTCTCATGTGGACTTCATACTTCCCCTTTCAATTGTGTCAATATCAGCCACGATCTCCTCATTTTTCTTATTATCATCCATGCATGACAGAGCTGTACCTGTATTGTTACCGATACGGCGCTTGTAACTTAATGTTACGATACTTGGAATAATACATTGATCGGCGATTCATACGTACGTAAAATACAACGTTACATCTTCCTGGAGGAGCGTGAACCCTACATGGCAAAGCTTACCATAATCATGCAGGCAGACGACCCCAAGGATGGTCAGACAGGTGTTTCCTGCTGGATTCTGCTTTTTTTGAAAAATCACAAGTTGGTGGGTCATATTATCAGAGATAGGTTGACAAAGAGTGATCTCGAGATGTCTATCTACGGCGCAATCCATCGCTGCCACAGACAGACCGACTGTGAAGAACGACATTTGAGATGAATTGCTCGATCAGATCAGAAGACGCTTTCGGGCCTCAAAATTCCCAATGCTATGGCGGATACGACTTTACTTTATTGTTTGAAGAGTCGGTGATGACCATCGGGCCTGCCGGGCTATTGCTGTTCTCTCTACCGCTTAGAGCATTGTTCTTGTATCAAAAAAAGGAGAGACAAGGGAGTAGGGAGGCGGCACACCTTGTCAAACTTGTGAGTTAAAGCGTTCCATCTCGCCCATCGCTTCCTTACTCGTGTTGACAGCTCTCTCTAGGTTAGTTATGGCTGGTTTTCTGCTATTCAAACCGCTGTTTTGGTGTTATGGGCTGCTGGAGGGCCAACAACCCGGACGACTTTACCAGCTGCGGTGTTGAATGTAGCTACGGCAATTACCCTTGGGCTGGGATCACACATTGAACACACACGATCGCTAAAGCCTTCGGTCCTCATAGAGATCTATCTCCTCTTCACCATCCCATTTGACGCGGTGCGACTAAGAACCCTGTGGGGGATGGGTGTACACCGCAATATCCTCATACTTTTAACGATTTCGGTCTGTTGGAAATTATTTTTACTGTTCCTGGAGGCCAGACCCAGGTCCATTCCTCCTTTCGCAGGACCTTATAGTCCAGAGGAGAGGGTAGGATGGATCAACCGACGACTGTTCTGGTGGGTGAATCCACTCTTGCTTCTTGGATCTAAGAAGACATTGGAGATAGATGACCTTTACGAGTTGGATCATGGCCTGCATTCTCATGTATGCTCAAAGCGTTTCTCTAAAGCCTGGGCAAGCAGTACGTATGGACCCATCGCGTCAATCCAAGGAAGATTTGCTGAAAATCCATAGTGAGTGACAGAATGAAAAGGACGAGGCATGGACTGCTTCTCCTCATTTTATGGGAATTCAAATGGGGTCTTTTAACTGCCGCTCTTCCTCGTTTATGTTTCACTGCCTTTACCTTTGCGCAGCCGTTTCTCTTGGACTCGGTTATCCAGTATATTCAGACGCCCTCCGCGAAACTAAACCCGAAGGATGGTTATGGGATACTTGGCGCATACATCTTGGTTTATGTCGGGCTTGGAGTGAGTTTCACCAGACCGTGTACCTTTAGTACAGCCAACTTATCATGGAACAAATAGGTCTCGGAATCCTGCTATCAGCATCTCACTTACCGAACCATAACTCTCATGCGTGGATGTCTCGTACCATTCATATATGAGAAGACGCTCTCTATGGATGTGAACATGGCCGAGGAATCTGCCCCGCTTACCCTCATGAGTGCCGATATCGAGAAAGTGGCATTCGGTATGCGGTACATGCACGAAGCGTGGGGGAATATAATCGAGATAGCCCTGACCCTCTGGTTGTTGTATCGCGAGCTTAATTATGGGGGGCTGAGTCCTATTCTAATTGCAATAGGTAGGCTTCTGTACCTTTACCCTGCATGGAATTCATCTCATCTAGTTCAATCTAGTTTGTGGAGCTGCCGCTGCCGCAATGGCACCAGCGGTCGGACATCGCCAAGCGACATGGGTGAAGGCGATCCAAAATCGGCTCGATATCACAACATATATGATTGACTCGATGAAAAGCCTGAAATTTGAGGGATTGACTCCATGGTTTTCGGATTTCGTCCAGAGCCTTCGGATTCAAGAGATCGGGTACGCGAATAAATTCCGCTCATTTCTGATCTACGCAGTTAGTCTTTGTAAGTCTAGATAACAGTCCATAGTTTTGGTCATGACACTAATTTGAAGTTAGCATTTGGTACCTCGGTTATATCACCGGTTGTAGGATTTGCAGTATTCGTGGCTTTATCCAAGTCCAATAATGGTCCTTCTCTGACTACGCAAAGGGCAATGACCACTTTATCCTTGTTCACTGTCCTTCAAACACCAATGTCCTCCATTTTGCAGGCTGTGCCAAATCTCATATCTGCCTTCGGATCGTTGGAGCGAATCCACGATTTTCTGAAGACTGAAAATCCCAGAGATCGTGGATATATAGGCCCCTTTCGCTCATCACAAACCCTTCGAGCTTCAATGGAAGACTTAGTTGATGAAAAGTTGAAGCAGGATGACCATTCGAATATCGCCACCGCTAGAGACTGGAGTGTTGGCTGGGAGCGTGATAGGGATGCGGTCATCAAGAGCGTAACGTTCAATATCACCCCCTCTTCACTGACAGTGATCACAGGACCCACGGGCTGTGGGAAATCCACACTGCTGACTGGATTACGTCGGGAAATGCCCTTTGAACAGGGATACCTGACATGTCGGCATTCTGCAGCGGCCTTTTGTAGTCAAAATCCGTGGCTGCAGAACGGGACCATCATGAGTAACATTATCGGTCCATCCAGCTACGATGCCCGATGGTATCGCCAAGTCAGTCATGTATCAGGCCTGAGTCAGGATCTTCAGCTGCTTCCAAAGGGTGCCCAAACTGTAGTTGGAAGCAAAGGGATAACCCTAAGTGGTGGGCAAAAGCACCGAGTGGTAACCCCACCCCGTTTCTGTGAGCATTGAACCTGGACCACTGACATGGAATAGGCCCTGGCTCGAGCTCTGTACTCTCGGCAGCCCTTACTGCTTCTCGATGATATCTTCAGCGGATTCGATTCGGAAACAGAGCAATTAGTGATCGCCCGTCTCTTTAGCGAAGGAGGGTTTTGTCAGAGAGAAAACATCACGACTGTTCTCGCGACTCATTCTGGTGCGTGTTTCCAACCAAACCCGTTATATTGCCAACATAGTTAACTTTGGGACAGCGCGTGTTGTTTCTTTCGCTGATCACATCATTCGCCTGGACAGCAAAGGAGGTCTTTCTGAAAAAGAGGGATCGTTATTGTCGAGCTCGACGAAACCTAGCATGAGTGACCTCCAGACCGAGATGATAATGAATGACAAAAGAAACAGCAGACAATCCAATCTCGAGGTGCCACCCGAGCTAGCTGCGCAGCTAGAGACTGCAGAGGCAAACCGAATATCAGGAGACGTCAGCGTATATGGGTACTACCTGACGATAGTCGGTCGGTTGAACTCAGTCCTTTTCTTCTTTGCGGTGACAGTCTTCACATTCTGTCTTACCTTTCCGAGTAAGTCAATACGCTCAATGCAGCTAGACATATGCTGACCGATTCAGACGTATGGGTGCAGAGATGGGCAGCCGCTAATGAGAAACGTCCGAATGAGAATCTGGGCCTATATATGGGGGTGTATGTTTTCATTGCTCTTGTGGCAGAGATCTCACTCTTTGTGGGGTGCTGATAAGTCTCCTGTTCTCCTACTGGTGCCAGACATGCTAACGTTTCCTACGCATTTGATGACCAACATGATCCCTCGAGCTTCTAAGACGCTACACTGGATTCTCCTGCACACAGTTTTGAGGTATATAAATGTCGAGTCGTTGTGATCTTTATACTTATGGGTTATAGTGCGCCACTATCATTCTTCCATTCGACAGACTCCGGTGTCATAACAAACAAGTAAGAGGAGCAGACAACAGGACTTAGTCTGATCACTGACAGAGAGATTTAGATTCAGCCAGGATATGCAGCTAGTCGATATGGAGCTTCCTCTTGCTCTGGTGGAAACAAGCGTTGGTATGAGCCTTGAGTCCCTACTCAACTTCTCAGCACAACTAACTTGAGAGACTCTAGCACTTACACTCTGCATCGCCCAGCTTCTCATCGTCTTCATCACTGGAAAATACGTTGCTGCCTTAACGCCCGTCTGCGTCATTCTCATCTACTTCCTACAAAAATTCTATCTTCGCACATCCCGGCAGCTGCGATTTATGGAACTCGAGGCCAAATCTCCCTTGTATTCGAATTTCATGGAGACGGTTAACGGGTTGGTAACAATTCGCGCCTTTGGATGGCAGAGCAGCTTCCTGGAGCATATTTTTGAATTAACAGATGCGTCACAAAGACCTTATTATCTCCTCTTTGTTATTCAGCGGTGGCTAACTCTGGTGCTTGACATGGTCGTCGCGGGAATGGCAACCCTCATTGTGGGCATTGCAGTTGGTGCGCACGGGTCCATTGGTGCTGGTTCAGCTGGACTTGGACTGCTCAATATTATCAGTCTAGGGGAAAGCTTGAAACAATTGATCTCAAACTGGACTGTATTGGAGACCTCCATTGGTGCGGTGTCGCGTGTGAAGAACTTCCAAGGAGATGTGAAGCCTGAAGATGACCCAACAAAACACTACTCGGCTCCTGATGACTGGCCCTACAGGGGAGAGATCGATTTCTTTTCTGTTTCTGCCTCATATAAGTATAGAACCAGGTAACGTTTCTAGCAGAAAAAGACCTGCATTGCTAACATCCTCTTGTATTCAGTGCGAATCGCCAACCGGTTTTGTCCAACGTCTCCCTGTCAATCGCTGCAGGTGAAAAGGTTGCTATCTGTGGTCCGAGCGGCAGGCAAGTTAATCAATTTCCAGTCTACTATCACTACTAACTAAATCTCCAATTTCCAGTGGGAAGAGTTCACTTGTCCAGCTTCTTTTTCGCCTCCTCGAAGTTGACGACGGTCTAATCACAATTGATGGGGTGGATATCAGCACCATTTCTGCCCAACAGATCCGCTCGTCCCTTTCCTGCTTACCACAAGAAGCAACTGTCCTGCCAGGTACAATTAGGCAGAATGTTGACCCCCTCGGCTTGGTACCCGACCAGGATATTGCGGTTGCTCTGAAAGAAGTTGGTCTATGGGAAATCGCTTCCACTCGCCTAGGGGGCTTGGATGGACAGATACAAGAAGACAGATTCTCCCAAGGCCAAAAACAGCTTTTGCGTCTAGCCGCAGCAATGTTGCGAAAGAGTCGAGTTGTGGTTCTTGATGAAGCTACGAGCAGGTGTGTACCTCCCTCCACTGATCTCTTATATATTGATCAAGTACTGAAACCTTGCTTTTCTACTCGAGCAGTGTGGACTTGGAAACCGATGCTCTCATGCAGCGTCTGATTCGGACAGCATTTGCATCGTGCACTGTCATTGCTGTTGTGCACCGTCTTCATACGATCCTAGATTTTGACAAGGTTGTTGTGATCGAGAATGGACGCATTGTTGAGTGTGGTAAACCGAATGAACTTTTGAACAACAATGGTCTGTTTCACCAGCTTTACAGTAAAAATGGTGAAGCTGGTGAGATATCACGATGAGAAAGTTGCCATATTCTATAGACTATAGTCGAAATTTAATACACCTTTAACTCTATGCATTTTCAGTTCTGTACTATATAGAGAAATGGCAAGATGGGAGCCCCAGAGTAGTCAGTGACTGATTCCATGGCAGCCTCAGACATATCACCTCACGTAATTGCCTAGGAGTTATCATGTCATCTGGCAGGATGTCATCTTTCTCTCAGACATGTCCTCATCAATGCAAATGCTATAGATAGCCTCGATGGTCAGGAACGCCTCGTGGGGGCCTAGACAGCTCACTGCATTGGAATCAGCACTAGAACATACCATAGCCACTAATGTATCATGCGACAGCCTCGTGATAGTCAGATCTGCCGTTTTTACGCCCGTTAATCACCATCTGACCGATCCCTGTTTGCGTTTTTACATACGCGTCCCAGGAAACTATTTGCAACCATACAGGTATTATAACCTGATAGTACCGTCAGAATGTATTTCGTATCCTGCTGTAATCCTTACATGCGAAACAGCCCCAGCCCTAATGCAGGCCTCTGTAACGCAGCATGCATCATCTGGATAATTCAGGCTGAGTATCTGCTTTTGAAGTCTCACATGTCATCGTCCATCTTACTAAGTCTCGGATTTCACGCGAATTTGCCGTCAGCCACATCATAGATCTATCATCGAACTTTTAAGGGCCATTCGTATCAGGCCACTTGAAAGCAAGGACGGAGCATGTCTCAACCTCAATCAAATTTCTGTTTCTCAGTGTGCAATTTAATATGGATGGGAAGACTGCTTTGTCGAGCGCAAGCTCAGAATATGCTGGGTTCACCCCTGAGATCTCTCAATCTCCTTCTATTGTCAGTGATAAGCGCTCCCTCATACTCAGCTACGGGGCAGTCGAAGCTGGAATCGAGCTTCCAGCCTCTCAATACGGTTACGGTGGCCAGCAGTGGAAAGATTTCAGCAGTGATCTTGGAAAGTATACGCCAGAAAACGACCTTTCGACAAAGGAAGGGCTAGTGGCAGAGTTCATCGCCTTTTGCCTTAAATCCAGTGAAGACGAGGGATTAGAGTTCCTCAGATCTCTGCTCGAATCTTTCGAGCAAGAAATCCTCGGCGGAAATGACATTCACGCGGCGCTTTACCACGCCAACACCCCACAAAAGAAGGATTTGATCAAGACATATTTTGCGGCGAGGGAAAGGCTCGGTTCCACGCCCCAGCCGCAACCCTCTCTCCTCTTACAATCTGCTGAGAAAGACGCTTCTCGGATTTACATGCTGTTCGGAGGACAAGGAAATGACGAGAATTACTTCAACGACTTAAAAGATGTCTACAGCACCTATCCCGATCTCTTGAGAAGCTGGGTTTTCTCAGGGTCACGGGTGCTGGAAGACCTCGCTGAGAAACCAGCCTTCAAAGGTCACCTCTCACGCGGTTTCTCATTGATTGCCTGGCTTGAGAAGCCTGAATCAGAACCTAACTCGTCTTACCTTCTGGCCGCCCCGGTCAGTATGCCATTGATCGGTCTGCTGCAGATCTGCCACTTTATCGTCGCATGCCAGACTATGGGTCTCACTCCTCAAGAGTTCCATCGGTACCTAGCGGGAGTGACTGGTCATTCGCAGGGTATTGTCACTGCCATTGTGATATCTATTTCCACCACATGGGAGAGTTTCCATCGCCATGCCTGCGATGCTCTTCGGATCCTCTTCTATATCGCTTGCCGCAGCCACCAGGCCTATCCTCCCCAGTGCGTCCCTGAATCTATCAGACATGATACGGAAGAGCACCATGAGGGGACACCAAGTCCTATGCTTAGAGTACGTAATATCGGTCAACAGCAACTGCAACAAATTATCAACACAGTTAACAGTCACCTCCCACGGAATGCACACATGGCTATCTCACTCATCAACGGACCTCAGAATCTGATCGTTGTGGGCCCAACCATGAGCCTGTACGGTCTCAGTCGGCACCTACGCACCTTGAAAGCCTCCAAGGTAAATCAGGAGGCTCGTATTCCTGCCCGCAAGCGAAAGCCCAAAATAGACCACCGCTTCCTGCCCATAACTGCCCCGTTCCACAGTGATATCCTGAAAGACGTCACTGCACTAGTCATGCAAGACTTGGAGGGGTTGTCAGTCACTGGTGACCAGCTTCAGCTGCCAGTCTTTGCAACGACGGATGGTCATGATATGCGCGAGTTCCCCGATTGCAACGTGGTCCCTGAGATTATCCACATGGTAGCTAAAGAGCCTGTTCATTGGGAAAAGGCCACCGCATTCGCAGGAGCGACTCATATTATTGATTTCGGACCAGGAGGCAACGCTGGAGTAGGCTTTGTGACTGTCCACAACAAAGCAGGTCTCGGTGCGCGTCTCATTCTGGGAGGCTCAATGAAAACCAGTGATGAGTATGGTAACAAGGCCGACCTCTTCAACCGCAACCCCCAGTATCCTGTCCTTTGTGCCGAGAACTGGGCAGCCGAATACAAGCCTCGTCTTACTCGTGACCCCACGACGAAGCAGGTCCAGGTCCAAACGAAGTTCACCAAGCTCCTGGGTCTTCCCCCTATCATGGTTGCGGGAATGACCCCAACGACCGTGCCCTGGGATTTTATCTCCGCGACCATGAATGCGGGATACCACATCGAGCTCGCCGGCGGCGGATACTATAACCGCCATGATCTTGAGGAGGCAATTGCCAAGATTGTGCATAATGGTATTCCCGGAAGGGGCGTGACTTGTAATATCATCTACGCAAATCCTAGTTCTGTACGGTGGCAGATCGCCCTTCTCAAAGATCTCAGATCTAGTGGTGTTCCTATCGATGGGATTACCATCGGGGCGGGAGTTCCATCAGTCGATGTCGCAAACGAGTACATCCAGACGCTAGGATTGAAGCATATCTCGTTCAAGCCAGGCTCGGTGGAGGCAATTCAGCAGGTGATTGATATTGCACAAGAGAATAAGTCATTCCCTATCATACTACAGTGGACGGGAGGCCGAGGCGGCGGTCACCATTCATACGAGGACTTTCACGAGCCCATACTACAAATGTATGGACGCATTCGGGCGTATAAGAACATTGTTCTCGTTGCTGGCAGTGGCTTTGGTGGTGCTGAAGATACCCTGCCCTACCTGACTGGCGAATGGTCCAAAGCCTACAGCGCCAGCTCTCCAATGCCCTTCGACGGTATCCTCATGGGCAGCCGAATTATGGGGGTGAAAGAGGCCCACACGAGTATTGAGGCGAAACAACTCATCGTAGATACCCCTGGAGTGGACGATGCGTCTTGGGACCAAACATACTCCCGACCAGCAGGTGGAGTTATCACCGTCCAGTCAGAGATGGGAGAGCCAATCCATAAAATTGCCACACGAGGCGTACTTCTCTGGGCTGAGATGGATCGGACTGTCTTCAGCATCGCGGATAAAACCGCTCGGGTGGCCTTCTTGAAGAAGAACAAAGGTCGGATCATCAATAATTTGAATAATGACTTCCAGAAAGTATGGTTCGGGTGTGATGAAAATGGAAAGGCCTGTGAACTGAACAACATGACGCTGTCTGGTGTCATTCGGAGGATGGTCGACCTTCTTTTCATCAAACATCAAGCTCGCTGGATCCATCGCAGCCTGCAGCAACTGACATATGATTTCTTGGTTTGGATTGAAGATATCGTGAGCGAGTCCAGAGAGGTCTCGAATCCCCGATTTTGGCAATCTGTTGACCAAATCGACGAGCCCTTCCAAGCAATCGAGCAATTCCTGGTCAACAGCCCCAAAGCAAATTTTCAGCTCATGGACACAGTCAGCACGCAAATGTTCCTTCACCTGTGCCGCCGACGCGGGCAGAAACCCGTCCCCTTCATCCCTGTACTGGATGAAGACTTCGAGGTCTGGTTCAAGAAGGATTCTCTCTGGCAGTCTGAGGACGTTCAGGCAGTTCCCGGGCAAGATGTTGGTCGAACATGCATTCTTCACAGTCCAGTGGCAGCTAAGCACACCCATGTTGTCAACGAGTCTATCAAGGGCCTATTAGATACCATCCATGATCAGTGGGCAAAGTGTCTACTAGAAAAGGGGTATAAAAGCCACGAATCTCTCGTCCCATCCATCGACTTGGGTGACAGCGAAGAAGAAATCTCTAGTTACATGTCTACAGAAATCTCCATGACGAAAACGTATAATCCCACAGCATACGGTGACGAGCTCCCTTCTCTGGAGTGCTGGATGGGTGTGCTTGCCGGTGGACAAAATGGTTGGAGACACGCGATTTTCACCCAGAAGACGATCGTGCAAGACTACGGTGTTTGTGCTAACCCTCTCCAAAGGCTGTTTGCTCCTCGTCCGGATATATATGTTGAGATCGAGGAAGGTAGATCTGGAGAATATTGTGTTATCCTGTTGTTTGAAAAGAGTAGCCAGATACCAGTCGTCGAGGTTCGTCGAGCTGAGTCAGTGGATCGAGAACTCATCTCAGTCTCCCTCATTGAAAGCCGTACCGTCAATCGCACACCGGCGAGACTCGAGCTTCTCTTCAGTCATCATTCTGAATTTCCTTTCGCGCCAATCCGAGAGGTTCTTCCAGGGAAGGTCGACCGAGTGAAGGAGTTCTACCACCAGCTGTGGTTTGGTGAGTCTCTCAGGTCGCTCCAAGACAGCGAGTTCTACGAGGATACTATGACCGTCACTCGCGAGGATATCAAGACCTTCCGCCAATGTGTCGGCAGCATCCCTGGAGCATTAACCAATTCCCAGTTGAAAATTTCTGCACCAATGGACTTCGCCATTGTCGTCGCGTGGAAGTCAGTGATGAAACCATTGTTTGCCAAACGCATCAGTGGGAACCTGCTGAAACTGGTCCACCTCTCCAACCAGTTCCGTCGATTGGAAAGCTCTGCACCCATTCAAGAGGGAGACCTCCTCTCGTCTCGAGCTCATATCCGCGCCATCCTCAACGAGGACTCGGGCAAGGTAGTTGAGGTCGTCTCGGTGATCAGCCGAGGGGGTACGCATGCGGACAAAATAATGGAGTTAGTCAGTCGATTCATGTACCGGGGAACGTACAACGACCATGAAAATACCTTCCAGCAATCGAAAGAACCGATATACGAACTCCAGTTATCCGGTGCGAGTGACGTGGCTATTCTACTAGCGAAACCATGGTTCAACCCGATCAACCCAGATCTTAATCTTCGGGGATGTAAGCTAACGTTCGATCTTGAGACACATACACGGTTCCAGAGTCCGTCTGTCTATCACCAGTTACGATGCTTCGGCGCAGTCCATGCTCGGACTCCCATCGGAGAGAGGCTTGAGGTAGCTTACATCGACCACATGGTCGATGTCGCAAATAGTAGCCCGGTAGTTGACTATCTAAAGCGTCATGCGACACTCGTAAACCAGCCGGTTCTGTTTGAGTCACCTATCACCCTAGGTGGAGGGGAGATCCAGTTCCAGTCACCACTGTCTAATGAAGCGTATGCCAGTGTGTCCGGCGATTTCAATCCCATACATGTGTCGCGAATTTTTGCGGACTACGCGGAGCTCCCCGACACTATCACACATGGCATGTATATGAGCGCCAAAATCCGCAGTCTCCTCGAGCAACTCACCGTGTGCGATGACACCCGTGGCCACCAGCGGTACCAGTGCACATTTGTGGGAATGGTGGTCCCTGAGGATGAGGTGGAAGTGGTATTCCACCATGTCGGCATGGTCAATGGCCGGAAACTTATCCGGGCTGAGGCATGTCGTGCCGGCACGGCGGAGAAGCTTCTTGTCGTCGAGGCGGAGATAGAGCAGCCCAGCACAGCTTTTCTCTTCACTGGCCAAGGCAGTCAGGAGAAGGGTATGGGTATGGATCTGTATGCAACTAGTCCTGCCGCTCGCAAGGTGTGGGATTTGGCAGATCAGCATTTTCTAGACAAGTTTGGTGAGTGCCACTTCTTCCTACCACCTCACCGATATGATATGGTATGGCTAACTCTACTTTATAGGCTTCCGCATCACTGACATCGTCCGGAATGACCCCAAAGAACTTAAAATCTACTTCGGAGGTCTTCGTGGCCGAACCATTCGGGAGAACTATATGGGGCTCCGCTGTGAGATGATCCACGCGGATGGCGGGGTAACCTCCGAGCGCATCTTCAAGGAGATCGACGAGACATCCCGGTCATACACATTCCGGTCAAGCTTGGGTCTTCTCTCCTCAACGCAGTTCACCCAGCCCGCGCTTACCTTGATGGAGAAGGCTATCATTGAGGACATGAGGGCGAAAGGGCTAGTATCTGATCACTGTAGCTTTGCAGGCCACTCCTTGGGAGAATACTCGGCATTGACTGCAATCGCGGAGATCATGCCCATAGAGAGCCTGGTTTCGGTGGTCTTCTATCGTGGGTTAACTATGCAAATGGCCGTTGAGCGTGACGAGCAAGGGCGGTCCAATTTCTCCATGTGCGCCGTGGATCCTAGTCGATTGGCAAAGAGTATGTTATGCAGTTGCATTTCTTTTCTGTTTACAGCTGCTAACGATGGTAACGAACTAGCATTTGACGAAGAAGGCCTGCGCTATCTAGTGGCACTTATCGCCAGTGAGACCGGATGGTTGCTGGAAATCGTGAACCACAATGTTGCGAATTCGCAATATGTGTGTGCTGGTGATGTATGGGATTTTCGCCTTTCTTCCTCTAACATTTCTACTATCTCTCCATTGAGCTAATCCCGTCTTTACCTCAGCTTCGCGCACTAGACTGCCTATCTGCCGTGATGGGTGAAGTCAAGCAGCGCCCCCAAGACTTCCAAGACGTTCTCCAGGCTGAGCGCCCACTCGACGAGATCCGAGACTGTGTCTTGTCTACTGTGCGCCAATGCGCCAGCGGCATCAGGGCCAAACCGTTACCCATCGAATTGCAGCGTGGCGTAGCCACTGTGCCACTACGAGGCATCGATGTGCCTTTCCACTCCTCCTTCCTCGCACCAGGCATCGCGGCCTTCCGAGCTTGTTTGCACCAGTATATTGACAAGGATAAGCTGGATGCTGATAAGCTGGTGGGTAAGTATATTCCTAATCTTACTGCGAGGCCATTTGATGTTAGCGAGGAGTACTTTCGTGATGTCTTTCGGTTGACAAAGTCGCCTATCATTGCAAAGATATTGTCTAGGGTGAGTTTACTTATTGCTATTGCATTAGATGACTTGCTAATTAGATGTAGTGGAATGAGTATACGGAGTTGGAGAAGATTAGTGATGGAATACAGATTATTGGTCCTGTTTAGGTTAAGTGTACTGCTGTTATTTGAGTATATATATATCTATAAAATGAATGTGATGATTTGAAAATATCAGTCAGAAGTATAAATAGAGCAAAGTAACTAATATTGTGTAACGTTCACAGCCCATGTTCTTACGAGTTCATATGTACCTAAAGGAGATTGAATATATATATATGTATATAGCGATACAATACGACTATTAACTCCTATTCCATGCATGGAGGACAAATATTAAGGCGATGACTCCTATAGTGAAATCGCAGGGAAATTTTCTACGTGGCTGGATATTCAATTGATGAACTTGGTATTTCTCTGGGGCGTACATTAATCTTTATACAAATGAAAAGATCATGACAAAAATAATTATTGAAAACTGTATTTCTTCGATCTAAGTAATAAGAGACCCTCAATAATTACCTCACAAATCCGAAAACCGCTCTCTGACCCAACGATTCTTCATAGCCCTGATTCCAACTCTCTCCAATACATTTCGTCAAAACACCCCAATCGCATTTCCATCATTTCCATTGAAAATCCCATGAAGGGCATCCAAGCCAAGGAATGACATAGCAATCTTCAACCCCTGCTGTCGCTCGCCTTCCACTGTCTCCCAAGTCCAAGAAGAGGAGGATTGCCTTTTACTGCTTCCATCTTGACGGGGAGGAAGGAGTTTTGCCTTGGTCAGTACATTTTCAGGTGCCACGGAGATTCGTCCTCGCTTGAACACATATCTAGTAATGGCGGATGCGAGTATAGCTTTTTGCGCCTCCCCAACGGTTTGCGCCTTACGGCCAGCATTCTTCAAGGATTGAGGCTGACTTGACGAAAAAAGAGAAGCTCTCGTTGGCTTCTTACTTGGAATCACAAAATGACTAACAAGGTACAGCCATTTCTCGTCCCACGCCAACACACGCGTATGAATCTCATAGGCTTGATACGGCTTAATCTCTCTGCGAAACACACAAGCCGTCGACCCAAGTGCAATGTTTAAATCACCACCGGAAAAGCCTAGAGCAAGCTGATTTTTGAATAGGCATGCGATGAGATGTACACGGTTGATGTCTAGATCAGTGAAGTAGGTGGCATTCGATTTGTGCAGATTGTAGTCGATTTCGAGAAGGGGACTGCGGGAGGTGGTGATTACGGGGTAGAAGAGACTTTCAGGGCCATGGATATCGATGTCGATGTGATGAGGGTGGTTGAAGAGGATGTGTTGTTGAAGACATTGGATCAGGCGGACCTGGTGGTGGTTGCGGCGGTGTGAGTCTGGGGAATTGGAATAGAGGGAGTAACAGTGGACTGACATGCCATGCACCAGGTATTCCTTTCAGATTCAACAGTACAAAGGCACAAGTGAGAAAGAGGCAGGTATTCTGCCAAGTCAAGGCGTCTAGGATGGCTGCGACTGCCATGTCGCGATACTAGGTACCGACCAGTTGCTGCTAGAATGGATTAGACAGGAGAGAATACGGGGCAGGAAGTAGGCAGTGGGAGTGAGAGTGAGAGTGAGAGGGCTGAGGGAAATAACTAGGGGTAGAAGAAAAGCAGGCAGACAGGCAGAGAGACTGAAACAGAAGGAAGAAATCACCTTGGAAAATCGTCGCCTGAGCTCAGCGCTGAGAAGAACTTGGGAAGTGAGAAGTTAGGGCTGGCCATGCACCCGAGCTCCGGTACCGACCTATCGCATATGTATTGTAATACCGGACCATATGTCTTGGTTTTATGACTGTACAATATTCGTGTATCATAACCATACATACTATACCATATATAATTACACTGCCACGTTGGGTGGTAGCTTCATGCAAGGCACATTCTTCCGCACAAGCCAATCATGCAGCCAATGCTTGTACAGACTCAATATCCCTAAGAATCACGAATCAAAAAATGAATGGCAGTGAGAAACCTGCAGGTCAAGGTGAACTCCAACGTGGAGTACACTGAAGACTTCATTCGCAGCCGTGCTTTGTACCGTGGCGCCATCGCCAGCAAGAATGAGGATGGTACCCTACTCGCAGCCCACTACGAGAAAGCCTATGAATTCAACACAAACCGCAAGGTTCCCCGCATGGGCATCATGCTGGTTTGCCTCGGTGGAAACAATGGTACCACAATGACGGCCGGTATCATCGCGAACCGTCTTGGTCTGACGTGGGCCACACGTGAAGGCCAGCAGCCGGCCAACTACTATGGTTCCCTCGTGATGGGATCGACCATCAAGCTTGGTGTGGACTAGACGGGCCATGACATCAATATCCCTTTCCATGATATCGTGCCCATGGTGCATCCCGATGATCTCGTAGCGGGCAGATGGGATATCGGCTATTTGAACCTGGCCGAAGCCGCAGACCACGCTGCCGTACTTGAGTCTGTGTTGAAGGACCACATTCCCAAGGAGCTGGCCACTATCAAGCCACTGCCTAGCATCTATTATCCGGACTTCGTTGCTGCCAACCAAGGTGCACGTGCGAATAATGTTCTGGCGGAAAAGCGTCAATCGCTCATCTCGAGAAGATCCGTCAGGATATCCTGGACTTCAAAGCTTCACACGGTCTCAACATGGTGCTTGTTCTCTGGAAAGCTAACACCGAGCCGTACGCGGAGATCATTCCATGTGTCAACCAGACTCCAGACGAGCTGTTGTGGTCCATTCAAAACGGCCACACTGAGGTCTCACACTCAACCGTCTTTACTGTGCAGTATCTTGGAAAAGGCGGCTTTCATCAACGGGTCACCACAAAATACTTTAGTCCCCGGCGTGGTCGACCTGGCATCCCGCCAGAAGGCATACATCGCCGGCGATGATTTCAAGTCTGGACTGACAGACCAAGAAGAAAGCCGGTACAGCGGAGTTCCTCATCAACGTGGGTATCCGAGTCAAGTTAATCGCCAGTTACAACCACCTCGGCAACTACGATGGCTACAACCCGAGCGCACCCAACCCCACAGTCCCATTCTAAGGTAATCTCAAAGTCGAACATGGTAGACGATATGGTCGCTGCCAAGACTCTCCTCTACAAACCCGGCGAACATCCCGACCGCACAGTTGTGATCAAATATCTCCCCGCGGTCGGCGAAACAAGCGCGCACTTGATGAGTATTACGACGATATCTTCCTGGGCGAACATCAGACAATCAGTTTCTTCAACGTGTGTGAGGACTCCCTGCTAGCCTCACCGCTGATTCTCGATTTAGTCATTCTGGCTGAGATAGCCCGGATCTCCTTGCGTGAGCTGGATGATTCATCATCAGCATCATCATCAGACTATTAAGGCTTTCACAGCGCCTTGAGCCTGCTGAGCTACATGCTCAACGAACCCATGACACCTCCAGGGGTTCTAGTAGTTAATGCTCTGGGTAAGCAGCGGACTGCTCTCACCAACTATTTCAGGCTGATTATTGGGCTGGAGCCGGAGTCGGAGGTGGTGCTCGAGTAGAGATTGCCATGATCGAACCGTCGTCTCGATGCTTTTTCCTTACTGTGTATGTGCACTGATTCATCATCAGTACCCTAATTCTTTCATTGGCCTGCTCTGTTTTGTCACATCTTGTTATTTTTTCTATCACTTTGTTTAGAATTTCTGAATATTGAAACTGCATCTTTCATCACACTCTTTCCACTTGTAGTATTGGACTCATTCTAGTAGTAGTTGTATTTAACGAATGGCTACAGTAATTATTTTAGTGCTGATATCGCCATGTTGATAACTCATTACATCTACGTAGAGTTTGGCTGAGTAACATTTTCTCCGAGTTATTGATAATTTCCCTCAAGTTACGATTAGATGAAGACTCCCATAATTATTGGACCGGAAGTATAGGAGAGGTGATATTGCTTTCAATTTCTATGTACTTCCTCCAATGTCTACATGTTTTCCCAAGAAACAATCTGGGTATAACCTGGTTTTACTTAATATCCCTGATTTAATCACCACACTTGGTAGCTAGGATGCAAGTGCCCAGAACAGCAAATGGCAAGGTTATGTAACTATAGTCATACCAATATAGAAAGACATGATCCTTGCATATGACCAAGCAAGTCCCATTCTAAACCTCGGCAATATAATGTTTGTTCGATGTAGTCCCGGTGAAACCCTGCATCAAAAGGCCCACCGGGTAATATAAAAACAAACAGAACTCAAGGCCAACTTGATGGTTTACAAAGACTCTTCAAGACCTACAGTCAAATAAACCACCCAGTGGAAAGTTTGACGCAAGTATTTCAATTCAATCCTCATTAATTTTATCTACAATGGCCCCTCGTACCCTCAAAGTCGGCTGCGCAGGTGCAGGCCGCATGGGCAAACGCCACGCCATGAACCTGCTGCACCGCGCTCCTCGCTCAGATTTGGTGGCTATTTTAAGCCCCGACGCAGAGGAGAGAAAATGGGCAAAGAATGAACTGGAGCCGTATGGGGTGGTCATTTACGATAACTACGACGCTATGCTTCAGCACGCTGGACTAGAGGCCGTGCTGATTGCTACGATTACCACTGTGCATGCCGAACAGGCTATCAAAGCTATTGAAGCGGGGAAGCATGTTCTCTGCGAGAAGCCTCTGTCTACGAGTGCATCGATTGTAAGGCTGAATTGCTCCCATTCAATCACATGCAATGTATGGCCCACGTACTGACCAGAGCCACAGTCACAATCGATCGTTGACGCTGCCAGTCAGAAACCCGAGCTAAAGGTGATGTGTGGCTTCTCTCGACGATTCGACACTTCCTACCGCGACGCCTGGGTCAAGATGGATGCTGGACTCATCGGCCACGTATCCATCATCCGCAGTCAAACCTGCGATAAAATCGACCCCACGGGCACCTTCATCTCCTTCGCGGCGACCTCCGGAGGCATCTTCTGCGACTGCTCCGTGCACGACATTGACCTTGTCCTCTGGTTTTTTGGCCCCCAAAGCAAAGTCAAATCCGTGGTAGCATCCGGTGTGACAACCCTGCACCCGGAACTGCAAAAGTACAAGGACGCAGACAATGCAGTGGGGATCATCGAATTCCACGACTCCCGCATCGCGTATATATTCTGTTCCCGCATGATGGCGGCGGGTCAGGAAGACACAATGGAGATAATTGGTACGAAGGGAAAGCTGACCGTCAATAGCCAGGCGCAACGCAACTTGGTCAGCATTTTTGATTCCACTGGTTCCCGTCGTGAACTTCCGGCGCATTATTACGAGCGTTTCGAGACCGCTTTCGTCGATGAGGTTAATGAGTTTGCGGCTTGTTGTCTTGATGATACGACTTTGCCGATGCGGTTGGATGGGGCGGTGGAAGCGGTTAAGATTGCGAGGGCCTTGCAGGATTCTCTCGTCACCGGTGATCGTATTTGGTTTGATGGCAGGGGTGAGAGATGTGAGAAGATGTCAGTAATCCAGTAGTACCGTAATATGCTCGAATTGACGTCCAGATATTCTTTCGTGGCTGAGTGGTATTATTGACAATTATGAGCCTGTATTGTTCTAAAGTTAGTTAACCCAAGAGTGTTGCCCTACATCCTCTTAGCCCCCCCCTTGAAAATGAGTTCAAATCCTGGATAGAGTACGCTGTTCCATCAGTCATTAGCATCCTAAACAACAAGGCTCGGCAGCTAAAATACACGGAGCATCCTTCAAAAGGCTTCAGCTACAGTTAAAATACACAGATTAGCGTCCTAACAAAAGCTTAATTACAGCTAGATGGACCCAGTCACACCAAGAAGAAAAAGTCATGGTGTGAAACAGATTCAGTATCAAAAAGATGTTTCACGATCCTGTAAATGACATCAGTCATACGGCTGAGAGGTGTTGGGTTCGCAGTTAGTTGGTTGGTTATTCTTATTGGTTAGAGAGGATTTGTTAGTCTGAATGCAAGTATTGAATCAAAATCTTAGATGCATTGATAGTGTATATGTGCATGTGTTGAGCTGCAGGTTTGTAACTGCCCTTGTTGGGTTTCTGAGACATTGCAGATACCCATACCTGGGGGCTGTAATATGTATGCACTGTTGGCATACTTTTGTGTATATGTATCTGTACGAGGACGAAGTGTATCAGTACCAGTATCAGTATGTACCTAATGCAATGACCATGTACGTAACGGATGGTCAGCATATCCTATTCGACCCACCATGCATGCGGCGTATATAATATAGATGAGGCTAATTTCTGCAGAGACCACCAAACCCAATGCAGCTTAGACTCATGCTAGTCGATCATCGTGGTATCTTGGCCCTCACTTTTATCTACACGTTCTAGGGCTTGACGTTCACCTGAGCATCAGCGTCATCTTTGCTTACAGGTGCCCATCCACAAGGATGGATCCTGCAGATAGCCTGCAATTGACATTGTGAGATTGGAGGTACGCGATTACCACAATATATTTTTGGACTAGATGTTCGTTTGTGTTTGTGATGAAACAATTGACGAGCTCGATTGTATCAGTTTGTTTTCTCGCTCTGTTCGGTTCTGTTCGGTCCTGGCCCCTCAAATAAGGGGATGTCATCACCTCAATGAGGGGTGAAGTTTCCCCAATATCCGAAGAATCCCATTCCCGTTCGCCTTCTTCTTATCTCATTCTTACCATTAATTTCGTTTTGCGACGTTGCGAACTATCAAAATCGCAAACAATTCACTATGTCCTTCGCTCCTCCTGCTGCTGATATTGGTGGGTGGTCTCGAACTTGTGCGATGGCTCGAACAATGAGTCAAAATGACTGACGCAAATTCTCTTAGACTGGGCCAAACTTGGGCTGGCGGTCACTGACACCGGTATGTCGAACCAATTCATCCCTGGTCAAAACTCGAATCTAACCCTCGAGGATAGTAAATGGGCATGTCGAGTGCCGATTTGACGCGGCCGCTGGGAAATGGGGTGCCCCGACATTTGTGCGCGACCCATATCTTCGAGTACACGGCCTTGCTCCAGGTTTGAATTATGGTGAGTCAATTCTTCACACGCATTGCTCTCACACCAAGAACTGAGACGTTTCCACATACAGGGCAACAGATATACGAAGGTCTCAAAGGTAAGCCTCCTCACCAATGACATCCACTACAAATTTAAACCAACCTGATACCCTAGCAAACCGCAACGCCAACGAGGAAATACTTCTCTTCCGCGCCGGCAAACACGCCGCCCGAATGGCTCATTCCGCCTCTGTAGTCTCCATCCCTCCCATTCCAAAAACGCTCTTCCTCGACAGCGTGCGTTTGGCAGTTGGCGAAAACGCAGAATTCGTCCCCCCACACTCCAGCAACGCGGCACTCTACATCCGCCCGCTCGCCTTCGGAGCTGGCGGACATTTCGCCCTAACTCCTCCCCGCGAATACCTCTTCTGCGTATACGTGCAGCCGTTCGCGACGTACCACGGTACCGGCGCCGCTGACGCGTTAGTGATCGACGAATTCGACCGAGCTGCTCCTCGCGGTACTGGCTCGGCGAAGGTTGGTGGTAATTATGCACCTGTCATGCGGTATACGGACGAGGCTAGGGCGCAGGGGTTTCCTCTCACCTTACACTTGGATAGTAAGACACAGACTGAGATTGATGAGTTTTCCACCTCCAGCTTCTTGGGTATCGAAGCCGGTGAGGGAGAGTCTGGTGTCCCGACTCTCGTAGTCCCGGATAGCAAGTGCGTGATCGCCAGTGTTACCAGTGACTCAGTTGTGGCTATATTGCGAGGTCATTGGGCTGGAAAGTCGAACACCGCCAGGTAATTTCTTCCATCCAACCCCTCCTGACTATATGCCAATCCCACCAGATCAATACTAACATCTCGTTTCCTTCCTGGCAGGTTCCTTACACCACCCTCCCAAAATTCACCGAGATTATAGCCGCTGGTACCGCTGCTGCCTTGGTTCCAATCCGATCGATCACTCGTCCTTCGACGGGAGACAAGTTTATCTTTGAGAGTGGTCCTCTGTGTGAGACACTGTCTGGTGCTCTGCGGAAGATTCAGCGTGGGGAGGGACGGGATGGGGAGAAGGGCAAATTTGCGGAGTGGGTTGAAGCTGTTCAGGCGCCGGGGTCTGTTTATGAGAAATATGTTCAGTGAGGGGGCATAGAACAGGCTGGTAGGAGATAGATAGATCGGGTGTTAGTTGAGATTTGCTGAGAGTTTGGGGATTTGAGGATTTGAAAAATCGAGAATATCACAATTTTAGGTTGTTTTTCAAGTCATTTCCGACTGTGTTGGTGTAGGAAATATTATATGGTGACCAAAAGATGTTGAGCCTAAGTCCTGAGTGCTTGAACCATACTTTCGTGAAATAACTTCGGGAACCCTAGTAGTTAACGGACCGCGCGTCACATCATATTATTGTATACCCCCCTCTTCAGTACTTCGTCTACCGCTCTCACTATAAATTCGTCTTCATTTGTACAAGGTTCCAACCTGCTGGGCATGAAATATTTTATTCACTGGCGGAATAGATAGAAGATAGACCCATAAAACCCTTCAAATTCCACATAAAAACTTAAAGTTAAAAATCACTACAGATTCACCTCGACACACTTCACTTCTCCCCTTATACACGCCTGCTATCTCAAGCATGAGCCCGTTCCCTAACACATATGACTGGCCCATCCTTCGATGCGGTAATATGGTCGTAGAGCTGATACTCAGACGCGTACTCTCGACCAGGCCCCAAGGCCGGCGCCCCCTGTCCAATAGACCCTGAAACAATAAAATCATATTTATATAGAATTGTAGCAAGACCGAGGGTCAACTCAGCTAATGCAAGTCCCTTGCCAATACACCCACGGGGGCCAATGGAGAAGGGATTAAACGCCGCCTGAGCAGCAGCCAAGGACTCTTTACTTGCAACACCCACACCAGCTCCGCCCGCATCACTTCCCGCCAGAATCCAACGCTCGGGACGGAACATAAATGGCTCCGGGAAGTACTCCCTATTATGGTGGATGGCATAAATACCAGTTCCCACATCACATCCTGCAGGGATGGGTTTCCCGTCAAAAATGCCGCCTCCCTTGGCGACTTCGCGCCAGAGAGCGCTACCTGTGGGTGGACTCATTCGGAGGCTTTCATCGATGCAAGCCCGAAGGTATTTACATGAGGAGAGGGCTGGACCGAGGGCGATTTCGTCGCTGGTGGAGAAGGTAGTTCGTACTTCTTCCGCTGCGAGGGTGTAGCATTGGGGGTTGTTGCCTAGGTAGAAAAGAGTTGAAGCAAAAGCAGTGGAGGATGTGTCAGATCCTAGAGGGATGGTTAATCAAACCAACAAAGATCGAAAAGAAGACGAGTGTTTCATACCAGCTACGACAAGCGTAGTTGTCTCCGCACCAATTTCCGCCAACGACAAACCCTGATGCGTTTCCGGGTCCTTAGCATCGAGCAAGAAGTTGAACACATCCTGTCTCGCTGACTTTACACTCTTAAATCGACTGTGAAGTAGCGCATTGATAAACTTGATGAACTTGTTCCGACCCTGGATGGACTCAGAAAAGAGATAACGGTCCAGTCGTCGGAAGCCGAGGATGGGGGCTTGGGCCAGGACAGAAAGACGAACATTGGAATCTTCGATACTTTTGACCACGTAGCGATGTTCTTCTTTTGTCTTCATGTTATAGGCTTCTCCGAAAAGGACTTCGGACATGATGTCGAATGTAAGATAGTTACCTGTTTGCAATCGATCGACCGATTAGCATGTATTCCGTCTGTCAAGTGGCATGGAGTTAAAAGACGTACAAAAATCACCCATATTCTGAGGCAGTGACCATTGACTCGGATCATTTCCCAGAAAAACCGAGCACAGCTCATTGACATGCTTCAAAATAGCTGGCTGGTATCGACGCAATGCGGCATCCGAAAGTCCCTGGCTGATGATTCTTCTCTTACGCCCATGAGCCTTCTTGTCAATTAACGTCAGTGTGTTCGGGGCACGATGGACCATGGCATTGTATAACTTAGATTTCTGCGTATTTTTGCCAAAAGCGTATATATCTACATCGTAACCAAAGTCAGCACCATGTCCGCATTTAGATGCGGTAGAAAAAGAAACTTGCCGTGAAGACCGGTTGAGGTATTAACCAGAAGCTGGTTAGGCGCATATCGAACATAGTCTCCTAATCGGCAAGAAATGGTCAATGTCAACCTGGTGAATGATATGCAAGATATGGCCTTACCATATTTCTCATGGCATCGCAGCATGTCAATGTGCAGATCTCCCTTCCACGCATGCCAGCCGGAGTACAGGCTGGTGAATTTGGCCAGGAAGGGCCCGGGATACCGTGCCAGGGGGTGAAAGAATAGATGATAAGCAAAATAGCCTAAGGTCTATTGCGAGGGGTGTCAGCGGTGGAATACCACGACATCGATACTTAGGGAGTCCCACCACAACAGAACAGGCTCCAACGAGCACGAGTATAACTGCCGATACAGAGAGCAAGCTGGTATCGATCCCCTGAAAATTGCTAAGCATCCTGAATCCGATAGTCGATGATTTGTATTTATTAGCTCTTGTTGTGTCAATTGTTGGACATAGGGATACTTTCTCCAAGACCAAGTCAGAAATATATTTGTTCCCATGAGAGCTGTGGGCGGGCGATGCCTTGGGCAAATTTCATGATGATCTGATTCACTCCGAATATTAGCTGAACTGAGATGACCTATCCTAACCTAATCTGACTTGCTGCAGATCGCGTAAAAGTTTCAGAATGCAATGCAACGCATAAGCACGGGGAAGTCATTCCATTCTCTCAACGCGGTGAAGTAGCCCCAAGAGGGTGAGATTTTGGTGAGATTCTGTCAGAATAGGCAGATATACCAGTACTACGCACAAATTGAAACAGCGCTACTTTTTGTGGTGTAGTGGTATATCTGACATATTCTTTTCTGTGATTGGCCAGTGCGTAAGACGGGCCGCATCTTCAAGCATGTGGCTAGTGCGGATCTGCCGGTAGATCCAGTAAAAATACCACAGTACCAGAACAGCCGTACAACACAGCCCCATGTATGGTATGTATGGAAATACCGTACCTACATGTTTCTGGTGTCATGGCATCAACTCTAGCGTATCGTACATTATGCAGGTGGGATCCTACGTATGCAGTTAGTCTGGAAGGAAATGGTATAAACTCGTTCCATGCAATTTGGGGGTCGAACGCTGTCTTCGCGGAGATTACCAAGTGTTGGTTGACAAGGTAGGGTCACGACACCCCTTCTGCATCCGTGAATTCGCAGTAGAGGACACTCCAATATTCGTATTATATATCTATGTAAACTATTGCGCGCAAGTCTGGATGGAATTGCTCACCATCGCTGCTGTGCTTTGCTTCTCGTATCATACTGGTGGTGAAGATGGCCCCCTGCAAAGTGTCAGCTCCTGAAATTTCACACTTCTATGTTCCAAACATCAAGTCGATCAAGAGTGTCACTGAGGAGATCCTCCCTTACCCTCGCACAACCATAGACACCAAGGGCACCTTGTCACCCAAGTCTGATAGTGTCGTATCTGAACATGTGCCGGAAATACTTTGCACGGCGTTCGCTCTCGCTCTTCGCTGCTACACCTTACAGGGCGTGCAGCTTAGTTACCGCGATATTTCAAATACCAGGAACAAATCCGGCTACAAGGGTAAGTGCCTTTCGACCATGTTTTATAATCACTTGCCAATTCGGTGATGAATACAGAGATTTGCTTGCAGCCAGATGAAATCCTCAAGGTTGAGGACTTACACAATGCTGTGCGACAACAATTCGGACAAGTACCATCCCGGAAAGATCTGCCTGCAGAGACAGGGTCCTACCAGTCCCTCCACACTGCAATAATCTTTCACGGTGAAATGTCTCCCCAGTTTCCGAGGTCTGACGCAAATGTAAGCAGATCTAAATGGATATCCAAATCAACAGTCACTAAATATAATCCCTAGTCTGAACTTGAGCTGCATGCCAAGTACTCTCCAGATGGCCTTACCATCTGGATAGAATGCATTTCTTCGTCGATCCCCGGAGAGCTTGCGATTCATTTGGCAGATACCATCCAGCAGACGTTCAATCTCGTCATCAACCACCCCGAGGTAGAACTGGAAGACGCAGACTATCTGGGACCGCTCAATCGTCGAAAGATCTTTGACTGGAATTCCAGTCCACCTGCCGCTGTGGTTAAGTGTGCTCACGAGCTATTCCGGGAGCGGGCGGCTTTGCAACCACTCGCTTCCGCGATCGACTCTTGGGATGCACAGCTAACTTACGCAGAAGTTGAAGACATGTCAAACCGTCTAGCATGGATGTTGCATGATGTCGGGGTGAAAGCCGAGGTGATTGTCCCGTTATGTTTCGAGAAGTCGGCATGGTATGTGGTGACTATGCTCGCTGTCTTGAAGGCTGGCGGTGCATTTGTTCCTCTAGATCCAGCGCACCCTCCTGCCCGCCTGTACGAAATTGTGAATCAGGTCAATGCCCCGGTAGTCTTGACAACTTCGAAATACCACAACCTATTTACCGAGTCGGCAGTCAGGGTCATCATTGTCGATGCAGCCTTTATCCAACAACAGGATGCTCACCTTGAAGATATCCAGAGCATCACAGTCACGCCTGAAAATCTGGCGTACCTCATCTTCACTTCCGGCAGTACTGGAAAGCCCAAAGGCACGATGATCCAACACCAATCCTTCTGCAGTGGTGGTATGCACCAAGGCGAGGCCGCTCAAATGGGACCTCATTCGCGTATTTTCCAGTTCGCCTCGTACAGTTTCGACGTGAGCATTCTGGAAATCCTGACTGGTCTTATTTTTGGCGCCTGTATCTGTATTCCTAACGAGCAGCTGGGCCGCGCCGATATCGTGCAATCCATGAATGATTTTCGGGTGAACTGGGCTTTCCTGACCCCATCGGTCTTGAAGGTTTTATCTCTCGAGCAACTGCCATTGCTCAAAACGCTAGTTCTCGGTGGTGAATCCATGTCGGAGGCAGATATGAGGACTTGGGCCGGGAAAGTCCAGTTAATGAACGGCTATGGGCCTAGTGAATGCTCCGTGGCAGCTACAGCCAATACACGCCTGAGCCCTGACTCCAGCCCACGCAACATTGGAAGGGCGATTGGCGGGTTGTGCTGGGTTACTGATCCGCGGAATCACAATGTTCTCCTACCGGTGGGTGCGGTCGGTGAGCTGCTCATCCAAGGGCCGATAGTGGCACGGGGGTATATGAACGATCCCGACAAGACAGCAGCAGTCTTCATTCAGAGTCCTGCCTGGCTGCCTGCAGACACTCCTTCTCTTTGGAATCGATTCTACAAAACGGGAGACTTGGTGCGCTACGATGCTGACGGCATGATACATTTCGTAGGGCGAAAAGACCATCAGGTCAAGTTACATGGCCAGCGGATGGAACTGGGAGAGGTTGAGCATCACCTATGGACCGACAGCCTTATTCGTCATGGTATGGCTCTCATACCCAGTGCAGGCGTCTGCAATTCTCGTCTTGTTGGTGTCGTTTCTATTCACAGGGAGTTCCCTATCTCACCAGGCGACAACGTGCAGTTCGGCTTCCAACCAATTGGCCACAACTTGGTGGCACCGGACACTCGTGCTATTTCTGAACGTCTTACACAACTGTTGCCAACATATATGGTCCCAACTGTGTGGATTGTCCTGGATGACTTTCCAATCATGTCATCCGGCAAGCTGGATCGGAAGAAGGTTGCACAATTTGTCACGGAAATGAGCCAGGAGGCCTTCCTGCATGTAATGGGCGGTTTCGACGTGTCAGAGAATGAACAGCCTGTATCAGAGGCGGAGATTCTAGTCCAACAGATGTGGGCAAAGATCCTGGATATACCCGAAGAACAAGTCGGTAGAAACAAGACCTTCTTGGCCTTGGGGGGCGACTCCATCAAGGCGATGGCCGCGATGTCGGAGTTCCGCAAGTTAGGAATTACGCTGACCGTCTCTGATTTACTGCGACATGATCTGAGTACACTGGCCAGAATGGCCGAGGATTTGGGAGCCACCGAGATAAGGAACAAGGACCACCTTCCTGTATCTCATCTGCAACAAACTCTGCTTGACGCATCCTACCGAGGTTATGGCAATCTCCACCATGCTGTTTTACTCGAACTGAAGCACAAAAGGCATATTCAACGATTGATTCGCTGCTTGGATATCCTCGTCTTGTCACACCCAGCACTGACGTTGCAATTCAAACAGCAGCAAGATGGAGTTTGGGTTCAGTCATTCAAGACACATGACGAAATCGAGCACCCTTCATATCACTTGAATGTGACCCATGTTGCTAGCTTGCAAGACATTAAACCAATAGTTCAGCTCCATCAGTCCTCACTCGATGTTCCAGAGAACCCGAACCTTGTAATTAGTCTCATGAATGTCGCTGGTACGCAGTACCTCTCCATCGTTGCTCACGTAGCAGCTATTGACTCAATTTCTTTGTCTGTGATTATCACTCATCTTGATGATTTGTTGCAATCAGACTCAGAGACAGTGGTAGATGAATGTCTTCGATCCCGGGAAGAGTTCTCGGATCTTTGGTATAACCACCTCAAAGCCAAAAGCAATACCGCCACGCTTAACCACCTGACCGTCCTATCTTCCTCTGAAGAGGCGGTGTATGTTGAGAAGCTCCTGGAGCTGGATGTGGAGAGCAGTCGCCTCCTTTCAGGGCCCTGCAACTTGAAGTTTGATACCAACGCAGAGGAACTCCTTCTGGCGGCGTTACTTGTCTCTTATGAACAAAATCCTCATTCCAACCCATCATGCGTCATGGTCCAAGGGTCTACTCGTCCGCTCGCGGCTGATTCTTGTCATGTTGGCCTATTTTCTACTCTTCGGCCTGTTGCAGTATCGCTAGGCGACAAAGCTCAGGTCACGTATCAACTCATCCGGGAAACCAAAGATCAAGTCCGTCTATCCCTCACCGCGAAAGATAGTGTGGAGGTTCCTGCTGGGTCAACGAATCTAATCTTCAGCCATGGCTGCTCCGGCCAACAGTTCAACGGTAGCTCATTGAAGCAAGCAATGCCAAGTGAACCACGCAACCTAGGCTCCCTCTTTTCCGCACAATTTCATGTCACTATTTACCATGACGAGAATCACTTCCGAATCACTGCTTCATCCACCAAAGTTGGCGATCAGGTGCTGTCTCTCTTTGTGGACAGATACCAGCAGAACATTACCGAAATAATCACCCTGCTTGCTAATGACAGTACAAGAGAATTCACCCGCATCGATTTCCCTCTTCTGGGGCTCGATTACTCCTCTGTTGACCGACTAAATCATCAACAAATCCCTCACCTCGGCCTAAAGGCGAATCAAATTGAAGACATATACCCCTGCTCCCCATTGCAACAGGGTATTCTACTGAGCCAAGCCCGACAGCACGGCAGCTACGATGTCTCCATTGCATGGGAAGTGGTCTCCAGCAGTTCAGAAGATGAGCCGATCGACGTAACCAGGCTGGTGTCCGCATGGAAGGACGTGGTCAAATTACACCCTGCACTGAGAACGATCTTCTGCGACAGTTTCGGCGGAGAACACCCATTTGTACAAATTGTCTTGGAAGCTCCCGAGCCCCGGACCTTGGTAAAGACTTGCTTGTTCGCAGACATCGAATCAGTGCTTAGGGAGAAAATCAATCTACAGTCCGATCCGCTGGTCCCGCCGCATCAATTCTCAGTGTATGTGACAAGTGACAAGAGAATCTTGTGTCGAGTCGATGCTAGCCATGCCATTGTTGATGGCGTATCGAAGGCGTTGATTCTGCGAGATATGAAGCAGGCTTATGCCGGAGTCTTGGCCTCTCGTGGTGAGGGGGTGAAATACAGTGACTTTATCAGATTTATAACTGACAGTAACCTGTCATCAAGTGTTACCTTCTGGAAAGAGCAACTTGCACAAGTCGAGCCGTGTTACTTCCCTCGTTTGGCGGATGCTGATGCTGCGCGGGAGCTGAAATCCATCGAGGTGGAGCTGGATACTACAGCCAAAGTCCTGCACGACTTCTGTATTTTGCACGGTGTCACCCTCTCAACCCTTCTTCAGACAGTATGGGCTCTGGTCTGTCGATGCTATGTCAGTCGGGATGAGATCTGCTTCGGCTATCTGGCATCAGGGCGTGATGCGTCTATTGAGGGACTAGTCGATATGATCGGACCAACCATCAGCATTCTAATATGTCGGGCCTTATTCGACGAATCCACGACGGTGCTTGATGCGTTGAAGAGGTGTCAGGCTGGGTTTCTCGATTCCCTCTCCCATCAGCACTGCTCCCTGGCGGAGATCCAACATTCCCTGGGGCTCGCGGGTATGCCCTTGTTCAACACGGGTATGTCGTTCCAGACAATGACTGCTGTTGACACCGATACTCGTCTCGCAGATGTGGGTTTTAAAGGCCTTGTCGTACGAGAGCCAACTGAGGTAGGTGGTATATTTTTTCCTCTCTGACATCTGCACACTAACAAGCAAAAAAAAAAAAAAAAGTACGACATCACAGTCCATGTTATAGATTCTCCAGGAGATATAAATGTGAAGCTCGGCTACTGGACCGACAGGATTTCACCATCCCAAGCCCAGTCGGTAGCTGGCACATTCTCTTCGATCCTGAATTCGATCCTCAAGAGTCCAGAATCCATCATTGGCCAACTCAATGTCATCGGCCGATACGACCTGTCACAGATTCTCTCCTGGAATCACAAAGTGCCTGAGACATGCCAGTCCACAATTCCCGATCTTGTACAGCGACAGATTGAGGCGACCCCGTACGCCATTGCAATCGAGTCCAAGTCAGGGCAGATGACCTACGCAGAGTTTGGTCAGCTGTTCTCGACATTGTCACAACACTTAATCCGGAATGGTATTGGTCCTGGGGTATTTGTGCCCTTGACCTTTGAGAAGTCCGCATGGGCTATTGTGTCTATGCTTGCCGTTCTGCGAGCCGGGGGTGCGTTCGTGCCTCTGGATCCTAAGACTCCAGTCGAGCGCCTGCGTGAAGTGGTGCATCAAATACAAGCGAATGTGGTCCTCACTTCACCCAGACATGCTTCTAACTGGGAAATACTGGTTCCCACGATCATCAGTGTGGATCACACCCTCTTCGACCGCCTCGAATCCAGTATCACGACGTGCGAGGAAACATCCATTCCTGCGCCCCACCACGACGCATACGTGATTTTCACTTCAGGCAGTACAGGTACCCCCAAAGGCTGTGTGATCCAACACTCCGCCTTCTGCTCCGGTGCCCTCGCCCAGGGCCGACTCGCCGGCCTGGGTGGTCCCTCATCGCGAGTGATGCAATTTGCCTCATACAGTTTCGACGTCAGCCTACTTGAGATTCTGACCTCTTTGATGTTTGGCGCATGTGTCTGCGTTCCAGATGAGGAAATGGGCAAGGATATTGCTCGCTGCATCCGTGACTTTGCCATCAACTGGACCTTCCTGACCCCTTCCGTCCTCAAGCTTCTCCAGCCTGCAGATGTTCCATCGCTGAAGACACTGGTGCTTGGCGGAGAAGCTCTCTCGAGAGGCGATATCCTCACGTGGGCTGATACTGTACAGCTCTACAATGGCTACGGACCTAGTGAGTGCTCTGTCGCAGCGGCCGCCAATCCCGGGTTGAAGTCTACCACTGATCCAGCCAATATCGGACGTGCTGTTGGTGGTGTCCTCTGGGTGGTTGATGCAAAGCGGCCATCTCGATTACTGCCCATCGGCGCTGTCGGCGAGTTGTTGATTTCCGGACCTATCCTGGCCAGAGGATACCTAGGCGCGCCTGAGAAAACGGCCGCTGCATTCATTGAACAGCCCAGTTTCATTCCCAGGTCTCATGTCCAGGAACGGTTCTATCGCACTGGTGATCTTGTGCGGTATAATGAGGATGGCACTGTGCACTTCCTCGGTCGATTAGATGGGCAGGTGAAGATCCGTGGCCAGCGGGTGGAGTTGGGTGAGATTGAGTATAATATCAAGCGGGACGAGCATGTCCATCACGCGCTCACCCTGCTGCCATCTCACGGCCCATTCCGACAACAGTTGCTGGCGGTGGTATCGTTCAAGAACACTGATTTCCCTGCTTCCAGTGAGAATCAGGCTCAACTCTGCTTCATTCCTGAGGAATGCAATCCTGCCGCAACAGGGATCATCACTAACATTGCCAACACCATCTCTGCGACCCTCCCCATTTACATGACTCCCACCTTCTGGCTCCCAGTGACCAGAATCCCACTCTTACCATCCGGAAAACTCGACCGCAAAAAGGTCCGCGCATGGGTTGAGGGGCTGGACGAGGCGACATACGAGCGCATCGCCACCGGCGGCTCCAGCACTACTGATCGAGCTCCCAGCACACCAGCTGAGCACCAGCTGCGACGCATCTGGGCATCGGTGCTGAACAAACACGAGGAGGAGATCAGTATGGAGCGCTCGTTCAACAGTCTCGGTGGCGACTCCATCTCCGCCATGCAGGTCATCGCACAGTGTCGCGATGCCCAGCTGGCGATGTCGGTGAAAGATCTTGCTCAATCTCCAACCATTGCCCAGCTGGCTCTGCGAGTTCGCCCGATGGATGATCTGGCTCAGTTGGTAGATGAGGATCTGGCGACTCCGTTTAACCTGTCTCCACAGCAGACGTGGGAGTTCGGGCTCAAGCTAGCTGTGATCTGAACCGCTATAATACAACGTTCCTGTTGTCTGTCCACGACGATGCGGACCTGGAAGGTCTCATTCATGCCACGGTTGAGCGTCATCCCATGCTCCGAGCTCGTTTTCTCCGCGATTCTACCGGTCGGTGGATGCAATATATTCCTCTCGACCGATCAAACAGCCACGCCTATCAGGTCTTACACGTGTCTGACGTGGACGAGATCAAGCCCTTCACGGCACCCAACCAGGATGGCTTTGATCTGGAACACGGTCCCCTCCTCCGCGCCATCATCTTTGTTCTCTCGAACGGGGACCGCTATCTCGCCCTCACCGTCCACCACATGATCATTGACACAGTCTCCTGGCGAATCCTCCTCCAGGACCTCCAACAGGGCCTCTCCTCAGGAGAGATCTCCTCGCGCCCCTCCGACTCGTTCGCGCGATGGTGTCGCCGTCTCAAAGACCACGCGGAAAACAAATGGACCCCAGAGTCCGTCCTCCCGTTCACCGTCCCAACCCCTCGCTACGATTACTGGGCCATGGATGAATCCATGAATCTCTTCCACACCGAAACGATCCAGCAATTCACCCTCGACACAGCCACCACTTCCTTGCTCATGGGTTCCTGTAACAAGCGATTCCAGACCAAGCCCTTGGATATCTTCCTTGCGGCAGTGTTCCATGCGTTCGGTGCGACGTTCACGGATCGTGCGCTGCCGGCGATTTTCATTTACAGTCATGGTCGAGATGAGTTTGGGGCAGAGTTGGATGTGTCGAATACAATCGGGTGGTTCACGTCGTCGACGCCGGTGCTCATTCGCTCATCGACTAATCTTCTTGACAATCTCCAAAATGTCCGTTCGGTCCGGGCACAAGTCCCTGGGAACGGCGTGCCCTACTGGGCCACCCGCTGGCTGACAGAGGCCGGACAAGCGGCGTTCGCCCATCACAGCCCGTTCGAGCTATCGCTCAACTACCTAGGCCAATACCAGCAGCTGGAGCGCGATGATTCGGTACTGCGATACGTGGACGTGGAGAAACCCAAGGCAGATGGCTCGGGGGCGCTACTGCGAAGGACGGCGTTAGTAGAGACGCAGGCGATTGTCATTGGGGAGGAGCTGCAGATTAAATTTGTGTATAACGCGCGGATGGCGAGGCAGCAGGAGCTGCTGGTGTGGCAGGCGAGGGTTAAGGAGGCCTTACTTGAGATTGCGGGGAGTCTAGGGGCTGATTCGTAGGAATTTTCTTTTTTTCTTGTTCTCTTTTTCACTCTCTTATTCTCTTTTCTGCTGCTTATTATTTTATTGATTTTCTGCTCCCTTATCATTATTGAACACAGGCATTCGAGCTATATAACCTGTTTTAGTGATTGGTGTTTTATCCTTTATAGCGACTGAGCTGCATACAACTGGTGGGATACATAGAGATAAGCACACTCGTGAATGGCAACCTACCGTGCGAGGATAATTCTTCCAGACAGACTGATTGAATCAAGAAAACCGAGAAGATCAATTCTATTGCAAATCTCCAGATGCATCTTTACCGCGAGAAATGAAGCAGTGCAGAAATGCAGAAGTGCAGATGATATGTGATGGCTGCCCCAGGCCGCATTGAGTAATGAGGTAAGCCCTACATATGGGTTTATCCCCTTGTCTGTCCTCCTTGTCAATTTTTAGCACCTTGGCGATTAGAGCCCTAGAAGCCAATTAATCTCCACTGCTTTATTATTCCGCTGTCAGAATTAACTTCGCGACGCGCGCCCAACTTTATACAATATTTTATATATACTTGCTAGCCGAACTATACAGCTATGTTTATATAGAGGTATCTGTCATGGGCTACATTGCGTCCTGTCAAGCACGGTATGTACACGAAGGAATCGTTGGGGAAAGAAAATAAGAAAGGGAGCCCTTCTTACGAAGAATGTAACCCATTGTGCCCTCGCTTCGGTGACCAATGATGGATTTTGTGATACGTCTCATTAGGCCGATTTCCAAGTCTGCGCGAGGGCTGGTGGCCCGAGCCTCCTCTGGGTATCAACGCCTCACATATTCTTCTTCTTTAAAATAGTTATACTGTGACGTCTGGGATGATATGACGTGTTGGACGAACTTAACTAGTTGTTTCCTGATTATAAGTTTAACAAGATAGAAAGGTTTCTTACCGGGGCCTGGGATGGGAAGCCATAATGGACAGACCACAATGAGCTATAGCACAGACCTAGTGTAGCTGCCAACATCAGGACTCATGTAGTGCTTCCAGCTGAAGCATCCATACAGGGGTGGGGGCTCTACAGTATATCTATATGTCTCTCTGGGCTAGTTTGGCTTCTCATACCCTTACTATTAGGTACTAATCTAAAAGGTTGCAAACCTGATCTACTTCGGCGGCTAACTTGGCCGTTTACATGGGTATCAGTGGAAAGAAGGCTTGCCCAGTTGTTGACATCGTCGTGTCTGTTCCGTTCTGTCTCGGGCAGTTGAGGTTGAAGGGATGATTCCGTCGTATATACAGCCGACATATTGTTTTGTGTCCGCCAACCTGGTCCCCATCTCGCTTAAGGTTTGCTCACACTGTACCAGAGCACTTGCGGAGTCTCTGACGATAGACTTTTGTACTTCCAGGTCATCATCGGTAGTAGACACAGACCCGCAGCATATTTCGTACGTCACATTGTCTTCCTTCATACAACAGAATCATAATTCAGCAATAAATATTGCACCATTGAAAAAAGAAAAACATAATAAAATAAATCTAGCAATGAAAAAATCATAATGAACACTCACATCTTCTCATGTCATATTTTATATTTATTAAGATCACTGTCTCCCCTCCCCTCCCCTACCTCCCAACTTCCTCCTCCCAAACATATTATAATCCAAATCTCCCCAATGCCCCTTAAACCCAATCCCCGGATGGCCCCACGTACTCAACGCAATAACCGCAATAGAAATCATCGTCCCCTCCAACAACATAAATGTCGTCTGGTTCTGCGCCAATCCACTGTTGAATCCGCCACGGAGCTCAGCGACGCGAAACACGCATCGGATGTAAATGCACACCGTTGCCAGGCCTTGGAGCAGTAAGAACGTGGACCAGCGTTTTGTGCTGCGTAGAGCTGCCAATTTAGGGTTTAGTACGAGACGAGCGTCCGACCCAGGGGCGTCGGTGTTAGTGTCGGTTAGTAGGGTGGTGGTGTTTTGGCTTGTTTTTTCTTCTGGCTTGTGGCTCATTCGGAAGATGTTGTAATACACTCTCCAGCCGAAATCGATGCAGAGGGTCAGGTAGAGAGTGAGGGATGCGACTTGGCTCGCGAGGCCAGCGATCATAATATTGATGCCTGTCTGCACGGTCGACATGCTGTCGGAGGTGGTGATCGCGCCGCCCGCAGCTTGGAGGAGGAGGGAGAGAATGTCGAAGGCGATGAAGAGAAGGGAATATGTCCGTTGACGGAGTCGGGATAGTTGGAGAGAGTAGACGGCGACGATGCGAGCGAGACTGACGTAGATGGCTCCGCTGAAGAATGCGGGGGCGATGGTGAGACATACCAGATACCTGGAGGTGGACTTATATGAGTAACTATCCTACTTTTTTCTTCTGCGACAAAAAAAAAGGGGGAGTATGGGGGGCATACATCACAAACCATCGATCAATAAATGGATTATCCCTCATCTTCAATCGCGCCACATATCCCAACACTTCCAGAATTAGGCCACACATCAACCCAACAAGAAAGCCCCATGTGCGATGCCGAATCCCCAGGAAGAGCTGCACGGGGATGAACAGGCCGAACAAGGCAATGTAGAACGCGTTACCACCCGTATTGGGCAGATAGAATGTATGGGCGTAGGTCAAGGGACATGTTTCGAGGCTGCATTGTTGGCTGCTGGTGATCCAGGGTGCGGGGGCGGTGACGGCGGTGGTCATGATGGGGGTGGAAGTGGATGTACCACGAGAGGGAACCACACGTAGGTCAGGAGATTTTCTTTTAACAGTCAGGAATCCAGGGCTTGGGGAGGGGGCCTTGGTCTTAAATCTCTCCTTGCTGCTGATTGTGAGGCTTTTTACGCTGTGGCCAATCCAGACCGAGGATGCTTGTATTTACGCACCAGCCTATTAGAGACAGCCTCTTCAAGGGCCATCCACGTCAAGTTTAATGGCCGCGGGGGGCTGGAGTCTAGCCTCAAAGGAGCTAAAGCGAGATCAAAAATAGAAATATAGAAGAATCAATCTCAAATGCTCTTTCTTATAGATCATCTATCATCGATCATCGATCATCAACACATCAAACATCAAAATCACAATAGCAGCCTAATGAGCTAAATGCGCAGTTGACAGCAGCTCACTCTCCCAAAATCCACCCCCCTCCAGACGCAGTCGCCGATACCACAGCCGGATAGTCGAATCTTCAGGCAAGATATCCACGCGAATGGAATCAATGCGGGCCGCCGCAGGCACCTGTTCTCCCGGACAAAGGCCTTCAGACTCCAGCTCACTGACTCGTTCCAGCACCAGCGCGGTGCCAGGAGTACTCCAGATGCCCTCCTGACGCTGCCAGCCACGGAGCAACTGCAGGGCTTCTCGACGCACCCACCAGTCGCGACATTTAAAGGCGCAGAAGAACAGGGGCGGGATGATCCCGGTTCCCACGGAAAAGGTTGGCAGGGGAGATTGACTCAAGCCGAGAAGCAACCGCTGGGCGCGTTCGACGGCAAGGTGGAAGTGCGAGTGAAACGCATCGAATCGCATTTCACTCGGACCGGATAGCCCGTCCGCGGCGGCTTTGATGTAGATGATCTCGCTCCATAGCTCGAGCACTGCCAAAGCCATGCGGTCTCTAGGCGGCGATCCGACCCTGTTCAGTTCCGTCGACCATTACTCTAGTTTGCACAAAATCCTCACCCGCTCATCTACACGGAGTGGGTGGGTCCGATCCTGCAGCACGAGCAACCCCAGGTGCACCAGAAGGTTGTTCGCGTGCTCCAGACTCTCAACCGGATCTGCCAAACTCAGCGTCAAGGGAGGCAGGGACGGAACAACCATCATTTGATCATCCGCCGGATTGGTCACATCCGGCGCAGCAAATGTCGACCAATGGAGATGCATTCGCGCAAAAGCCTGGATTAACGTCGGCCCCAGATTGGACCCATCGTGCCAATTTACCTGCTGCGACCATTCCTGCAGGACTTTCGAGCCCGCCCGCAGATGCCCACTCGCCGTCTGCATGTCGCCCTGCAAAAACGCAAAGGATACAAAGAGCACACAGGTCACAAGGGCCGTCTCGAGATGCGTACGGGATGATTTCTGGCCGCCGACGAGACTCTGGCGTAGACACGCAATGGCTTTGTTACACTGCCGTAAGGGAAATGTGTGGCCCTCCTCCGCCAAGACCCAATGGCTGGCGCGCGCTTGCTCGAAACTCCAATGCAGGGCACCCATCGCAATTGCGGCATGTCGCACGGCCGGCTGCTCGGCACTCACCTGATGCACGATCCGTTGCCAGAAATCATCGGGGAAATAGCCGGCGCATTGCGCGGCGGTGTTGTTGCGGAAGAGATTTAGGTACCAGCGTTCTGTGCGCGTCAGGTCGACCTGGGCGGGATCCACCAACCCGCGCGGGGACGATAGCACCACCTCAGGCGACTGCTTGTAGATTTTGAGTGGCCACTGGACCTGTAACTGGGCCGGGCCGTCGATTTTGGTCTGGGGAAGATCCACGGTCCTTCGCACCGACCGGGTCCTTCGGTCGGGGGTGGTGCGGTATCCATCACATTTCCGGCCGGTGCTGGTACACATGCGACACCACGGCCGACCTTCATCGCATTTCTTGTGTCGGATTCTACCTCCGTAAAGCTGGGTTAGTGTTGTGTCTTGTACCTTTTGCCTCGGGCCGAGCAGGCAAAGGCAGCGGGGAAGAGGTCCTCGTACTTGCATGTGAGGCAGCCAGTGCGGACCTTTGGGCGACTGCTCCTGGAGCGTTTCTCCGGTGGACTCTGGGTCTGCGTCGTGGTCTCCGTCTCAACCGGTATCTGGACTGGCATGATGGGCTGGCGATCGTTGTGGAACTCAGAAAGGACAGCTCATCGCGTGTGTGTATGTGTGTGTGTGTATGTGTATGTGTGTGTGAGAGAGGGAGTTGCCGGAGATGCCGGTGCCCGGGCGAAGTCATAAGGGGGCCATAACATAGGTGGGCGCGTATATACATCCTTGCAGGATTCTCATACAAGTCGTGTCCAGGTACATATTTCTTAATCTTAATTAACTATTATACATATTAGACCCGATTGGATCGTCAATTTTAACTATACTTGGCTACAGTTTATACCTTTTTTTTTAGTCAGAAAATTTAAAAAATCACTAAAATACAGGATTAAAAATTCTTTCGAAAATATTTGAAAAATCACTTGAGTATTATTTTCTCGCTACAGTAAGCTAATGTCTCACCACACCCAGCTATTCCCTCGTTTGTCAGTGGTGACCCCGGATATACATAAGCACTAGCCCCAACCTTTGATATCTCGATGGGCCATGTAAGAAGTCCAAATAGCTCACCGGGCTAAAGAAAAATAAAAATAGAAAAGTAAAGCCCAATTTTAACCAAGGGTCGGGGTTTGAGTTCAACTTGTTCAAGAGTTAATAAACATAGGAAGCTGGTGAATTAAGACCCATACTTATTTTATATAGTTTGTAGACACTGTAGGCACTGTAGGTACTGTAGCCTTTATATTATAACTAAATACAAGAGGGCGATTTAGTGTATTTAGTAAAGAGCCTTCATGTACCCTTATTATAGTGCCGCAAGATCGAAAATATTGTTCGGAGCACGGAAACTCTCAGAGCTAACCCCCCCACCTCCCCGGTGTAGATATTCAATAATGAAGATGAGGGGATCTTACTTGTTGGCTTCCACAGGCGAGTCGACCCGTAGGTCGAACCCTCCCTGAGGCACCAAGTCTGCTTTATTCACTGTTGATCCCACAATGTAGAGATTTCCCACATTTCCTGTACAATAGAATTCTTTCTTCCTTCCTTCCTTCTCTATGTTTGATGTTTCGTTAGATCGCCACCTCAGATAGAATCTATCCATTTTACCAAGGTGTACAGGATCATCACATTATATTAAACGTCATCTCTTCTTTTTTTAGGGACCAGTTAGCCGTACAAGCCAAGCTTTTAATTAAGCAGCGGCTCTAGCCAACCAATCTCTCCAATGCATATCAGCGCATTCCCCAAGCTGGTTGATCCGAATCGCTACGAAATCGAACCGAACAAACTCCGAAGACATTTAGAATAGCAAGACCAGGCCAGGAGGTAGGAGAAGACAAGCCCCAGAATCAACGGCGTATCTCTATCCTTCCTCAAGGAACCGATAATCCAGAGACCACTACTGTTACGGAAACACTATAATCCGCCCGACTTGGCGGTGCGGATTATTGTCTGATTATATGGGATATTGGTATGGAGGTGAGAATTGAATGTATTCAGAAGGATGTTCTGCCCAACCCCTCTATGAGGAGTACTGGGTATATATATTCACATGATGTCCCAATACGGACTAGCTTTATTCTGACAATTATCTGACGATCGATTCAACCCCTGAATCCTTTAGAGAGGAGAACACCTCAATGAGAATATAGGGAACCGCTTAGTAGGCTCTGTTGGTTGAGATACTGCGATTCCTGGTGTTTCCACTGAATGACATCTACTTCCTATTTAGGCTAGTTGGCCTGTAGCTGATAGAATAGCTCCCTACGCCCCATTTCCCCTGAGTTCCACAACAATTACAAAGAATGAGTTTCTTACTAAAGCCCTGGATAATCCCAATGGACTCTTTGAAGAAATACTGCGGATGTGGAACCTGGAGCAAGAAAACAAGGTAAACAAAATCCGGGAAGTTATTAGACAAAAGAACGCAGCACTCGCGGATCTAATTAAGGAACAAGACAAGTACCGCGATGCCTACCGTTGTTCGCGAGGCACAATTCTCTGAATTCAAGGGGCTCAGGCGAGCTGACTATCTAGATGGGTGACTAATGTTCGCGAGGCACAATTCTCTTCAATTCAGGAGCTCGGGCGAGCTGACTATCTAGGTGGGTGACTAAGTGAGGCCACGTGACCATACCGAATATGGTAGGTCCCTAACACCCCCCCTTGGCCGAAGCGTGCTCACCCAGCGCCATTATGTACAGAATCGCGTGTAAAGCAAAAAGCCAAAAAATAAGCCAAAAACTAAGCTAAGCTAAGCCTATATTGCAGAGAAAAGCCGTAAATCCTTCAGATCGAAGCAGTTTAGTGAGGCCATCCGCAGCGTTGTCCTTACTAGGGCATAGCCGAATGTTAATGATGCGGTCCGCCGCGAGCTCGCGCGTATAATAATACCGAATATCAATATGCTTAGAGCGCTTGGTGGTGACCGTTGAACTGATGAGATCCGTGCAACCTTTATTATCAACGTGGAATGCAATGGGGTCTAAAGGCGCAGAGTAGATCTCCATCTCGTTAAGTAGGCGACGAAGCCATTAAGTTTCCCGAGCTGCGTCCGACGCCGCCATATATTCTGCCTCATTGGATGATAAGGTAATAGATGTTTGTTTGGCAGATCGCCATAATATCGGGGCACCGGCTAAAAGTACGATATAGCCTGATACTAACCGACGATTATAATAAGGACCTCCCCAGTCCGAATCGGTGTAAACCAGTGGTTGCGGTAGGGGTCTATTTAACATGCGAAAGGTGATACCCCGCGTACGAGATCCTTTTAAATATCGAATTAAGTGTTTGGCCGCTCTGAATGCCTTTCTGGTAGGGGCCTTATTAAATTGCGCTAGCAAGCTCGCGATACGCGCAATATCTGGACGGGTTTGTAAGGCAAGCTATTAAAAACTACCCGTGAGTTAATTATATTCCTTGTTTACAGTGGGGTCGGGGTCGTCATCAATAACTAAACCTGGATCTGCAGGTAAAGAGACTAGATAGGTATCTGCGAGCCCTGCCGAAGCAACAAGATTATTAATATAAGAGGTCTGCATAAGCTTAATCTAACTATTAGATTAAGTAATCTCCATGCCGAGGAAATGCTTGAGGTGAGCTGTTTTTTTAATCGCGAATTTTCGCTGCATTGCGCTTAGAAGCTATTCTTGTCTGCTTTAAGCACTGTAATAATAGCAAAATCATCTACATAAGCAGTCACATAAAGATTCTTGCGAGATTGGTAAATTTATAGGCCTGGGTTATAGTCGCTTGTTTTAAAGTCCAAAGCTTTAAGATTACTACGGAGACGGTCGTACCATATACATGCAGAAGGCGCGAGACTATACAGGGCGTTATTTAGCTTGCAAACCATGGTGTCAGGATTACCCTTTTAGAAGCCGGTTGGTTGGTGTATATATATTGGTATATTAACTTTACTATTAAAAAACGCCTGCACCGCGTCCGCCTGAGCGATATACCATTTGCGATAAGCTGCAACCGCGAATAGGATATTAATTGTTTGGGGATAAACCACTGGCGAATATGTCTCCCCAAAATAAGGATCTTGCTTAACCAAGTTACCACGTATAACCCAACGTGCCTTGTATTTGAAAGTGCCGTTATTAAGGTCTTTAACACTAAAACCCAACGGCCAGGGATAGGCTTCAAGCCTTTAGGCATAGATTACTTATTAATTAAGTCCCATGCCTTAATTTTGTCGAGACGGAAGCTTCAAGCTCGCAAGCTGCTAACTATCTATTTTTATTAGGTGATTTCATTGCTTCCTGCCAGGTATTCGGAGTCGGAGGTCGATTTGCCTCAGCAGAAGCAGGCGAAGTAGGGGTAAATCCTGCGAATAGAGCAAAGCCTTTAGCAGGTCGAACCCAGTCAGATTGTCCGTTATCCTCCGCGGGAGAATCCCCATGAGATGCAGCGCTTCTTGCGCGAGATGTTCAGGGTCCGGAGGTACGGTAGAATTAATCGGTTTTTCTGTAGGCTGTTCCCTCTGAGCCTGTTCGTTGAATAAAACATGGCCAGTCCGAATAACCTTGTTTGTCTCTTTGACGTAGACCTTATAATTGGTTGAAGAATTGCTGCTGATATAAACACCTGGAGCGCCGCGGCTAACAATCTTGTTAAAATCTTGATATCCTGGGTCGTTATAATACCAAACACAACAACCAAAGGGACGAATGTGAGCAATGTGCGGATACTTGTTAAAAAATGCGGAATGCGGTATAGCATGCTGCGAGGGCCGAATATCTAGATTAGTAGATACCCCCTGGAACTGAGTAATCTGCGTACAGCGTAGTAGACGTAGGGATATTGTTTGTGATATAGACTGCGTGTTGCATGGCGTCCTGCCAGAGCTAATATAGTAATCCAGAATCATGCAGAATCGCGCGCATACGCTTAATAATAATCTGGTTAGCGCGTTCGCCTGGTCCATTCTGCCATGGGGAATAGGGATTGGTTGGTTTTATCTTCGCACTATTTTTATTCGCCCATTTTATTATTTCCTTAGTCACAAATTTGTTGTCGCAATGCACGAATGCAGGCGGTTAAAAGCCTTGGTTTTTTTTATATAGCTAAGCTATTGTTCGAGATGTTAATAGACAAGCTTTCTATTTTTAAGAAACAGAATCCACTAATATTATATTGCGTCGTCTGTTATCAGTATATAATAGCAGGAACCCGTACAAGAAGCAGGGTTGTTTAGCTGCTTATAGCATTCAGACAGAGTATTACCTCCACCCGTAATATTAATAAAAATGCGTTGAAGAGGTCTCGTGGTATATTTTACCAAGGTATAAGATTAGCTGCGTTTCTAATTCGCCGCATGGCAGATATTGCAAAAGGGCCGAGATTGGGGATCGGAAACCTTAATCTGACTGCCAGGCGTACAAGATAATCGTAAAATATTAGGGTAATTTAGGTGCGCTAATTGTCGATGCCATTAGATTATAGTAGCCACCTGAGGTGCTTTAGAGGCTATAGCCGCAAGAGCTAACTCCTCTGGTTAAGATGTCTTGTATATCACACTGTTAATTTTATAACAGTTTGTTGTCGAAGGGACTGCAGTAATAGTCAAGCTGTTCTTGTTAGTAAAAACAATATTGGTATACGCGTCCTCTGGGATTAATAGTTTAAAACCTGCCTTTAGGAGCTGCGCGTAACTTAATAAATTTACTAACAAACCAGGTACGTGGCGCACCTCTGGTATATTAATTATAATATTATTAAATGTTATTCGGGCCGTTCCCTCAGCGAGGGGAGGCTTTTATCCACCTAAGGATCCGCCAATATTAGGCATACCAGTCGGTAGAATTTTGTATGTTGAAAAGACGTCTTGTTGGGGGTTATATAGTACGATGCGCATGTATCCACATACTATTCTGGTAGTTATTACATGCTTAATTCCGCAACATAATTCGCAGATACTAAGGGCTTCGGTGCAGGTGGTGTATATGCAGGATTACCTTTTGTAGCCCTATACTTGTTAATTCGCTTGAGAAACGCTGGCGTTGCTTTATTAGAAGGAAATTGCCTCGGGATTCTAATACTAGCATATCCTCGTGAGAGAATATTATTTATAATAACTGCAAGACAATTTCGCATCTTTAGAAGAGGTAGAGTCCGATAACTTGTTATCCGGCTTCTTTTAATGCCATCAGATTATTGGTTAGATCCAGAAGTCTTTAAACAGCATGTATTAGATTGTTGCAATTTTAACTATTATTTAATCTTAACTAGATTGGTATTCTTAATCGGTTGATTTCCTGCCCCTAAGGCAAGGAATGGATCAAGCTTATTCGTTATAAAATTCGATTGCCAATTGCGTAGGCGAATATAGTGGATATTATAAAATATATTATCCACAGTCACATGGAGGTGTTTTGCGCATGCTTAGAGTGTTAAAAGCTTGCTTTTATACGCCAAATAATCGCTATTATATAATTTAATATTAATAATTTCTCGCACTAGGTTATAGCGCTCCTGGGCCTTTGTCTGACCTATTACCTTATAGATTTGTATATATAATGCAGCTGCCTTTAAGATATTTATTTTACCTAGGCAATCCTGCACTTCTCGTGATATTAACTGGTAAATTCGGATAGCCAAAGCTTTATTCTTTATCTGCCAAATTGCTAAATTAAGCTCCTCACTGTTATATGGTAGATTAAGCTCCTTGTTAATTAAAATTAACTCCGCGTTTATAATACGGGTGTCTTTAAATAGATCCTCTTTCCAATCCGCAAAATTGGAAATCTTTAGAGATTATAGTTTATATTAAAGCTTTCGACCAACATCCTTCCGCATGGTGCTGACTGCTTGTATTATACTCGCGCGGCCGGCGTCATCCTCGCGTGGTGACGGTAGATCTGTTGACGTGGGCTTCGGATTTAGAGTAGGCGTACTTGAAAGGGGCAATTAACTGCGTTGAATTAGCTCTATTATTTGCTGCAATTGAGTTTGCATTTGATTCTGCAATTAAGTCTGCAGTTGTGTTTAAAAATCCCTGAACTAGTCCCTTGATATATATTCCATGCGATCCTCCTCCTCTGACTCAGTATCTCGTGGTGATGGTCGTATTATCACAGGAGAGGACGGGCCAGGTGTACAGTATGGAGATTCATCCCTAGTAGGCGCTTTTCCCTTCTTCGGGCCCATTTTAATTGAAGTTATTATCAATTCCTCGAGAGGCAATTGAATAGACAAAACAGGTGGTTTAAAACCACGTAATATCAGCTCTAAAAGGAAGATATAGAGGGTCTCATAACCTGTTCGCGAGGCACAATTCTCTGAATTCAAGGGGCTCAGGCGAGCTGACTATCTAGATGGGTGACTAAGTGAGGCCACGTGACCATACCGAATATGGTAGGTCACTAACAACCGTACCCGATCACATGATGACCGTTTTCACCACTCGAGTAAAATGTTTAAGTACTTGTAAACCAGTAATTTACTGCTGTCTAACTACTTAATAGCTGTTTACAACATCTCATGGTTTACATTTTGTAATCTTGCGCGCCTTTCCATAAGCTCAGCTCTTTTTCCTCGTTTTGAAGTTGTTTCTCTCGTACCTGCTCTTCTTTTTCCTTTAATTGAAGCTCTCGCTCTCGAAGATCGAAGTTTTGTCGCTGTTGTTCAGAATTTAATATATTTGTGAAGAAATTCGACGAAGACTCTGCGACGAAGATATTGAACTGATTATAAAGTACTTAATAACTACTTCGAAAGCACGTAAAGAGAACTTACCGGCTGGTGCCTGAAACCCTGGGTTGCGATTGAGACCTATTTGGTATCAATTCAGGCTCCGACCCTGAAGACAAATGGGTTAATGATGAATGGCGGAGTTTTCTAGACTCTAATTATATTTAAGTAGTTTATAGTTAGTTAAAAACTTGTTAGAGTAATATATAATTGGGCCCGTCGGCCGTAGGACAGTGATAAATGTCACGTCTTTGAAATAGTATTTCAATAAGGAAGGTAAGATTTTAGTAGCCTAGCCATGGTTTAGCTTCCATTTTCATTGATTCTTACTTCAGCTGAAACCCCATACAGTAACTTTACCTAGTCTTTCCTACACTCCATAATTCTTCGTCTATATACAGTGCGGAAGATGACCTTGGTAACATTGAGGTTGGCTAAAACATAGAGAGAGTTGGTAAGAGTTCAATCACATACCATCATATCCTATACGCAGAAAACTATCCATAAAATTGTTTCCTATGATGACCAAGCTGTCAAGCTATATGTCCATTTCCAGACGTTCATTCAAGAGCTCCACCTCAATGGCCCTTCTCCGTGCTCGCTCATGTTCATTCGAGTTATCCTTGAAAATATGATCCATCTCCTCTAGACTTCGGCCCTTTGTCTCGGGAACAAAAAGGAATGTCCAGATACCGGAGAGGAGACAAAAGGCAGCGAAGAAGACATACGCCCCGAACCCGGTATCCTCGATCAGGGGAGGAGTGATCAGCCCGATAATGAAGTTGTTAAGCCAGCTGGAGCAGGTGGAGATCGCAACACCTTTGGCACGGAGAGACGAGGGAAAGACCTCTGGGGCACGTGTCATATTAATGCCTGTAAATGACAACTGGATAAATGGAAGAACTCACCCGATGGTATCGCCCAAGGAACAGGGCCCCAGGAAGCACCAAACGCAATCATGTAGATCAGCAGGAAGGCTGCGCTTACCCAGCCCTGGGTCTCGTGGGCGCTCCAGTTGGAGCTATATAAGCCGACAAGAGCAGCAATTATAATATGCGAGATGGCCATGCCAACAGACCCGCCGAGCAGGAGCTTGCGACGGCCTAGCGTATCCATAGTCCAGACAGTTGTTGTCACGCCGACAAGCTGCAAGCAATTTAGGACACCCGACATGATGAGCTGCATATTCATGTCGAATCCCATCGTTTCAAAGAGTGTGGGTGAATAGTATATCAGCGCGTTGATGCCCACGAATTGTTGAAAGAAAGTGATCATAATGCCAATGTGGGTGCGGCGCCAGCAGCCCTTTCGGAAACAATCGGCCCAAGAGGCAATTTCTAAAAGAAACACATTCTTAAGTCCGCCACCTTGCAGAGTCGAGTGCCTTTCGGCATTCATCTGCTGGTGAAAGCGCACCTCGGCTTGAATATCCATGTACTCTTGACGCACACGTCTGTCTGTGGTAGGAAGGTTGCGTAGTTTGCTGAGACTCCGCAGAGCGTCTTCATTGCGGCCTTTTGAGGCGAGCCATCGAGGAGAGAAGGGGAGAAACATAACACCGCAAGCTAACACAAATCCGGGAACCATCTGGAGAAGAAACGGGAGGCGCCAGGACCATTCGCCGGGTATATATCGAGTGCCAAATGTGATCCAGTATGCGATGACAATGCCCACGACGATGCACCATTCCTCAAGCACGAGAAGCGTACCGCGACTTTCAGCTGGACCTAAAGGATGAAGGGAAAAGAGTTATTTATGGCCTCGTTCAAAGGGAAAATAGTCTGTAGAAATCATCTGGGAAGGGGGAAGCGCATACTGATCTCTGCAATATATAATGGCGCAACCATAGACAACATGCCAATTCCGACGCCACCCAGAAAGCGGGCAAAGGTCAACATTCCGTATTCGATGGCCGCCGTCTGCAGAATGGAACCAACTGTGAATATGGCCACGGCGAGGAGAATTGAGTACCGACGCGAGATCTTATCTGCGATCCAGCCCTGATTGAGCGCCCCGATCAACGCACCCAACTCAAGTATTGCTGTCAACAACCCTTTCCAGAAGCCCGAGCCAGGGCCGTCAATGCGCGGGAACTGGTACAGGAACTGCTCCATGACTAACGTGACAGACACCACGCCCTGATCATAGCCAAATACCAGACCACCTAATGCCGAACAGGCTGCGCACATCAAAACGAAGGGGTTGGATACTAATCCCTGTAGACCCGGGGGGCCGTAGGGCTCACGTTCTGCCGCCATGTCTTCAGCATGATAGGAGAATCCTTCAGACAGGCCGCCTTCCTGTGAAATTTTCTTTGTGATGGTCTGGCTAACATCCATCTTGTAATGTATATGAAGGAATAGATGATTAGACGAACATAGTTATCATGGGTAAGAATAAGGAAGTACCTGAAAGGACTCAACGGTCCCTACTTATACAGTCTAATTGGCAGCGGTAAGGAAACCCCAGACTTCCCCTCTTGCGCTAAAAGTGCCGAAATACGGGGTATTATGTTGGGTGGAAGATGCATGATTGGATGGTAGATCCAACTACTGCCCTAGTTTTGGGGAGTTAGCGAGTCCGGACACATCGACGTCAGAAAGTTTATTATATTTGTACGCCTACGTTGAAAAAGCTAACTAATGACCGTTCTAAGAGAGGTCTGTCGATATGACAGCTTTATTGTCTGTTACAGTACCCTAACTTCGATTCATATTTAGCCAGGTCTTAAAACGTAAACTTGCGATTTTCGAACATATAGTCAGCCATGTCCATAGGTCTGAATTTACCAGATAGTAGAAAAGAATAAATACAACACTAACCTAATCCATAATGCCCCAGAGACTTGGCTGTCATGAAGTCTCAGTCTGGAGGGCATTAATCGGGCGTTAACGTAGTAGGTCGGGGATCATCGCTCCGTCTTGGACCGGGACTGTGAGAATTGTCCGGTGGACGTGATTATCTCCGATATCATTCTTACGACCGGTCATACTGTGGATGCGGCAAACTTTGTCCCGATGGAATCAATACCGGTACAATAACATGCCCAGGCAACGAAAACGAAGTAGGCCAGGGGATCAGAGATAGCGGCGTGCCTCGTGAAGAAATTTTCATTCCCAGTAAGCTATGGAATACGGACCAGCCCAATGTGAAGGCTGATCTGGAAAAAACTTTGGATGCTCTGGGCACCGACTACCTTGATCTCTAGGTAAGTGGCTGCGGTCCATACAATACCTTGCCAACAAGACTGATATCTTCCCAACCAGCTTATTCACTGGCCCGTCCGGCTAGTTCCGGTGCGTATCCTGTTACCGCTTCTTATTGAAGGACACTCTCACTGATTTCCCGGCTTGCAGAACGAGACAAGCGAGCTCCTGCCGGTCAATCCGGACGGTACCCGCGCGTTCGACCGATCATGAGACCAGAGCGAGACCTGGCGCCAAATGGAGGTCTACCGGTCAGGCAAAATCAAGGCAATCGGCGTTGCCAACTGGTCTATTTCGTATCTGGAGAAGCTTCGTAAAACTTGGACTGTTGTCCCAGCCGTGAACCAGGTTGAGCCGCACACGTTCTTCCCACAGCACGAGCTGCGATAGTACTGCGGCAAACTCGGCATTTTTCTCGAAGCGTACTCGCCACTCGGGTCAACAGGTGAGATTTGCAGCAATGAAGAGTATGTGACACTAGTTAAACAGGTGTTCCAGGTGCTCCGATCATGTCTGATCCCGATATCCAACGAATTGCGGAAAAGAATGGTGTCTCAGGCGCCACGATCCTGATTAGCTACCACGTCAACAAAGGCGTCGTTGTGCTTCCCAAATCCGTTACTGAAAAGCGGATATCTAGTAACAAGGAAGTTATCTCCCTATCGACAGAGGAATTGGCAGTGCTCGATGGCATCGCTGCTCAAGGCAAGGCGAAACGCTTGAATACGCCTCTCTGGGGCTTTGACCTTGGATTTGAGGACCGGTATGGACCTGTTGGGGTGAACTAGTGTCTAGCTACGAGAATGTAAAAGAATAGATTCAGTTTGGTATTCCATGCTATAACTTTGCCTCGATACCTCTTCCATGAGACTACTTTTGGGTTTCGTCAGCAAACACAGAGGCTTGTTTCATTATAGCGGGAGCATTATAAATACAAATGTAGCCTTCCTATCGAAAAACACATAGCCTTTCCCAGAAAGTGCTCATACACGATTTATAAGATTGTCCGGTAATGCACCGGATTAAATTAGCATCAGGTCGTCTCGTTGCGGACGCTCGCTTAAGACTTGTTTACCTCTAGAAGCGCCAAGGAAGCTCTATGCATATGGATATTCACTATTCTAATTCTTGTAAGGAGCAGGAGAGATACCCTCCTTCAAAGCCTTCAACCGCAAAGCCAGCATCTTCGAGTGGAAGCGCGTGTAGGGCAGGTAACCGACCAAGATCCAGAAATTAGCCACACCTGTTTCCCGGTAGGCGGTTTTAAACTCGCCTTCCTCGTCAATACCCCAGATGGGACCGCACTTGTCGGCAATCCTGTCACCAAGAGTGGCACGAACGGAGTCAATAGTGTTGGAGAACCCGGTAGCAAACACAATTAGGTCGAAATCACGCTCCCGGCCACCGTTAAGAATCACTTTATCTTCCGTGAATCGTTCAATGTACCCTGGTTCGACTTTGATCTTGCCGTTGATGATGTGTTCGCAGGCCCCGGCATCGAAGTAGAACCCGCCGTTTCGGGTCTGCCCTAAGGTCGCGCCGCCGGTGCCACGCTGGCCGCGCCATGTCCTAAGACCGCGGGCATTTAGAGCGTCAAGAAGCGGTCGATCGAGATCTTCGAGCGTCTTAGCAGTACGCCTGGCATGCTCCTCGGCGGGACCGAGCGGGGTAGCGAAGAAGAGACGGTCTTGTTCCTCGAGGCTGGGGCGATTGCCGTCCTCGTCCGGGGCGTAGTTTCCAATCATCCGGGGAACTGAGTGTGAGAGAGACATGATGTATGTCGGAGAACGCTGGAGAAGGGTGACGTCGATACCGCGGCGCAAGCAGTCGAACGCAGTATCGAAGCCGGACGATGAAGTGCCGACGACGCACACCTTCTTGCCAATAAAGTCCCGAGAGCTGCCGTGCGCAGTGGAATGACGGATGACGCCCCCTTTGAATTCCGACATGCCAGGGATTGTGGGCATCATAGGGACGCCGCAGAGCGAGGTAGCCATGACGACCTGACTGGGGTGCAGAGTGCGGCTCTCCTTGCCCTCCTTGTTGATTACTACAGTCCAGTTTCTATTGTCATCTTGCTCGGCGCTGACGACCGATGATTTGGTCCAGACATTCAATTCCAGAGCCGAGGCGTACCACTGCATGTAGAGACCCTGCTTTTGCGCGGGAGTGTACGTGGGCCAGCGCTTGGGGTATGGAAAATAAGGCAGGTCATCGGCCCAGTGAGGAAAGTGCAGGGATAGGTACTCGTAGCGCTTCTTCCAGACATCCCCAATCTCCTCGCTACGCTCAATTATGAGCGCTTCCATACCAAGAGCTTTACATCGGGCGGCCAGGGCGAGTCCACTTTTCAATGTTAACATCTGCAACCACAACGGAGCTGGGAATTGAAGGCTTACTTCTGACCTCCGCCAATGATCAGCACTTCAGGGTTGGCAGCTTCTATTTCCTGTGTTCTTTGCATCTCCCAGCTGACAGGGCCAGTCATATGCCCGTCTACCGGAGGAACCTCCGGAAATTGCTTCAACTTTTCTGCGACGGTATGCATGGTGTAGATCTTCCAGCCCTCCTTCGTGAGAACAGCGTTAATGACCGCTGAAGCAACGACAATCTGTGTCTCAAAAGAGACGACAAATTGCAACTGGGCAAAGTCGGGTTGAGAGTGAGAAACAGTGGGCGCAGGCGTCAAGAACTTAAAGTTGGTCGCCTTGGTCTGAAGGAATAGGTCGGTGGCGGCTTGCAGGATTGCAGGACGGAAATTGAAGGTGCGATAGTCCCAGGTGAAAGACAGCTTGTCACGCCAAACGCCTACCCAGAGCGTCAGTCATCTTCAATCGTTTGCTCTGGCTAGAACAAGCCTACCATGTTCAAGGAACATGTCAGCAAACGCTTGAGCATGCGCGGTCCCCATAGTCTCCGAGAGACTCGCCACAATAGTCTCGGCTTCCCTTTTAGCATCGCAATTAGGGGGAATTTCGATTCCTAGAACGTCCGAAGTAGGAAGAGCATGATTGTACCTGAAGTCGTACATGAAGTTGTCGGCAACAGGGGGCTCCAACTGATTGACAAGAACTTGCGTCTTCAGGTCTGCCACGTCGAACTTGCTGCCAACAGCAGATTGGTGATTGTCAAGAAGCACCATTGTAACAAATTCAACAGAGATTAGATGTGTATGCGTCTTCGATGGCTTGCATTGGCAACTGCCATGTCTTGCTTATTTCAATGGCATCAAGGCCAATGTATCGGGTATAATGGATGACTAAGGATCGGAGAAAAGTGCATTCTGCACGTGACCGGACAAAAACCGGTCCATGCCCCGCTGTGCATGGCCAACTCCGATGTCTCTTCTCGTGCCATTTTGTCGCCGGAACCAGTCGCAAAATGACCTACACCACACAGTCGGATCAATTGAGAACCTCGGGCAGAGCGTCAAATGGCCGGTATCCGGACAGGGATGCTGACGAGGGCCTAAGACCTCGCAAGAAACAGCGAAGACAACGGCCTTCCTACAGCTGTGCAGGTTAGTCAATCCTTAGCCTGGTAGGTACGGGATCAGGGTACTGACGTCGTAAGTCAGAATGTCGCCGCCTCAAGATGAAATGTGATCGGCAGGGTTAGTACTGAATTGTCAGATCATGCATCTGTAGTACCCAATGAGTAGTGTTTCAAGGCTGAAAGAAATGTTGTAGTGCCGTGCTCGAACTGTGTCCGTAGACACAGGGTAGCATTTTGTGAAGCAGCCTCATCCAATCAAGTACCATTGAGGTAGGCTTCGTTTGATGGTCGCCATGAATGCTGGCTGATTTTTGCTTTAGTGACGAGCCCGACAGGCAGTCGAGACAGACGCAAGACGTCGCAGATCATCGTCGACTGTCATCCCTAGAAAACGCCCCGGACAACTTGCAATCTGCTCTCCCAGTCGACAATCACTATGATCATTCTCCACATAATCTTCATATACCGGCATTGGAAGAGTCGCACGAGTCCGCGAGAACATCTGGCCGTATCCCGACGATTCGGAGTCAAGGTAGCCGCAACGATATCGATCAACTTGCTCTTCTTGCTAGGGCGCTACAGCCAGAGACTGTCCTAGGCCCTGCATCAGTACCTACCCATGGAAACGCTGTACCCGAGCAGCGTAATTTCACATCGCAGCCGGTGGATGTTAACGAGGGCAGTGGATCTTACGGCACACTGATGCTAAGTAAGGGGGGTCGATCCAGGTATCTAGGCCCAACAGCAGGCAGTGAATGGCTCAAAGATGTATGTCGTCTGACTTTCATGGCGCTGGCGTAGCTAAGATATTCTAGTCGGAAACCCAAAACACATCTGATACCCCACCTGCTACTCGGCCTCCGTCTCCGAAAGCACCGCTATCGTCCACACAATTCCCGGGAGGAGACTGGCATTTAGGTCCTGTCCCCGTCGCATTCCCATTCAACTCGTCGGCGGCGCACATCAGCACTCAGGGATTACTTTCACACTTACCCCCAAAAGAGAAGCGTGGACACTAGTTGAATCGTACTATCGTTATTGTGCTTGGCAGTGAGTGATGCAAACCAGGTTTCCAAGAGAAGCTCTGACAAGATGCAGTCATGACGTTGCACCCAAGCCCGCGTTCCAGAGAACATTTGACCGTGTCTACCAGCTCTCTGATAAGGACACCTTGTCGCCTTCTGTTAATCCCCAGGAGATTGCACTCGTATATATCGTCATGGCACAAGGTACCATGTATAATATCGAGATGCCCAACTACGACTCATCTGCCGAAGATTGGTTGCACCTCTCGGAACGAGCATTGGTAAAAGGAAACTTTCTATCGAACAATATGGTAGCTGGGTTACAGACCCTGGTGAGTCCGAACGCCATTCCAACTTCTCAGTTGCTAATAACTTCTAGCACCTTATGGCCCATTTGCATCTGTGCGTATACACATCCCTACCCTCCTTCGCGTTTCTTACAAAAACGTAGGCAGTTAGACAAGGATGGGCGCCGTGATAATGCTTGGCCGCTGTGGGGTTTGGTCATGCGCTTGATTCAAGCGGTAAGCGCAGCTGCTAAAGCTAGGGAGTGAAAGCTGACTACGTATTTAGATGGGTATGCATCGGGACGGTGCTCGCTGGAATCTACCGCAGGATGTCGTCGAAGAAAGACGGAAGGTTTTCTGGGAGTGCAATGCTGCTGATACATTCCAGGCACATTGCTTCTCACGGCCGTATAGCTCCCCTCCGCGTGCTAATGACAATACTAATGTTGCTCAGGTGTGCAATTAATCCGGAACATTGTGATGTCGCTTTTCCATCGGAGCCTTTGATTTCAAGCGGAGAAAAGAGCTATTCTATTATCCGATTTGAACTTTCTCAGCTTTCGTCCGAGTTTGTAGCCTCATTCGCGGCTAATTCTCAGCTAACCTAGGTACAGAATTCTGAATATGGCTATGAAAGTGCGAAAACCTCGGTATTCCGACGTTATCGACCTAGACGTCAGGCTGTATGTTTACACAAGCCCAACTCCTTTTTTCTGCTAACCTGATCTAGCGGCGAATTTGAACGTAATGTCCCGTTCTCACTTCGCTGCCGAGCAGCACTCTTGTCAATGCCTTCTCGATATCCGCAGTTCGAGGCGGCAATTGAAGCATCGCCAGAACCATCCCGCAGGTCGATGACCATTTCTTTTCAAGTCTGTCTATCTGCCCTATTAGTCTTGACTGCAAGCTGACTGAATTAGCAAATGAATCTCGCTCTCAATATTTCTGAGACAATCATTAACCTTCATAGACCTTACTATGCTAAAGCGCTCTACGAAGACAAGGAAGACACGGTCAGATCTATATACGCGACTTCTTTCCTTACGGTTATAGAGCGTTGCGCTGTAAGCCTGGCACTCGTCGTTCATCGAGCGGTGGGGCTGACGTTCCTAGATCATCATATCTATTGTAAACGACATCCACACTCGCTTTCCCGCGGTCAGTACAAGGCAGTGGAGTTTCTGGGTAAGAATGAGTCCCTCACCTCAGGTAAATAAACCTCACATCTGTCCTAGTTCCACGTATTCGGCTCAGCGTTATGTCTGGGAACGCTAGTCTTGCGCAACCCAGCTAACCCGATGGCTACCTTTGTCCTTGCGCAAATCGACGCTGCAATTGACCTGTTCACTTCCGTGATTCAACAGGGAGCCAACACGCCCCGATACCGCCGTAACCTGCAGTGGCTTCTGAAGCTGCGCACTCGGGCTTCATCTAAGATCTCGGCGGCTAAGTCTACACAGAGGCCCCAATCCCAGCGCGATCGAGATTCAAGCTGCCCAGGGACCAGAGAAAGAGAGGATAGCGAAGATGTAGAGTTGCTCGGCTGGCGAACTAGGCTTATTGAGCGGGCTGGGCAAGATCGTCAGACAATCAGGACTATAGACTTTGCTGCGACACCAGATGGCTCTCAGCCTAATCATTCGAATCCGTCGCCGAATCAAAGCCACTTCGTAGGGTCTCAGGGTCAAATGAGAATCATAGATGGATTGATGCCGGGCGCGTCGTTGCCTTTCGTGACCCCCGATTCCACCGATGACCTGGTGAGATCAGTTTTTCGATTGCCGGAAGTTCACAGCTGACAGATGTTTCAGCTACAGGAATTTTGGGATCCCATGCTACTTCAAGAGATCTTTGGTCCCTCTAATGGCTAGCCATGTTTGAGTATGTAATCTCGCACTTTCACTCCAATGGCTGACAACTATTTACGGAATCTACTTATCGGTGCCCGTCCGTGCAGGCTTGGCAATGATTAATCCGAACATTATCAATTTGATTACAGTGATTTTGTGTAAGATTTGTATTTTAGCCTTACCTTATGCTTAAATACAGTAAAAGTTTTATATATTATAAGTAACTACAAGAGTCCGTGGCTGAGGCAACGACACTACGACCTGTTATTCATGGGAAGTCATCCGCAAACCAAAATCCAAAAATTTATGACGGATACGACGAATCCTTCCTCTATTCATTTCGTCCTGAGGCATACACATTATCTATGTCAATCACTGTTATCCCAACCACTCTAAAAACAACCTAGTGACCATTCGTAGAAGCACTCTCCATAATTGGCGCGCCATTGTCATCAAAGTAAACCGGAAACCCAGTACGGAACGAGTACTGCAACGCAGTGGCAATCTTAGCCGCTTCGTAGGCATCCTCCGGGGTGCAAGTGAGCGGCTTCTCGTCAAGCACGGCGGACGCAAATTCTGCAAGGTCATTGATAAACGACTTATCGTACAAAACAAAAGCGTCGGGTGTAGTGGCTGTGCGCACTCCATGCGAGTCCCGCACCTCGACGCGGTTGATGGCGGAGTTGCTGTTAATGATTGAATGGCCCTTTATTCCACATACACGGGTCATGCCTTCGAAGCCATTCGTGAGAGTGCGTCCCAGGTGCGTCGTCAGGATCTTGCCATTTGCGAACTCCACCAGGCCCCATCCATTGTCGCAGTCGCCGTATTTGGCGAGCTCGCCGTAGACTGCCTGCTGGCCCATCGCGATAACCCTGTTGACTTGCTTCTTGGGGTTGCTGAGCCCCGATTTAACGTCTAGGAAGTATCTACCAATGTCGATCTATTACAGCGTTAGCCAGAGGAGATGGATCTCTAGGGAATTGTAGTGACTGACGTCGTGTACACCCATATCCACGAAAATACCTCCTGATTGCGCAGAGAAGCTGACGAAAAAGCCTGAAGAGCTCGTTAGCGGAGGATGCATTGCTGGATAGAGGAGCTACTTCACCTGTAGGATCCTGTTGGTCAATACATGTAGTCTCGACGGCGTGGATATCACCAAGTGAGTTGTTCTGTACCATCTCCTTTGCAGCACGGTAAGAGTCATCATCTAACTCTGGTGTCAATCTTGCGCATGGACAGTCAGAGCGCGAGAGCCACTTACATCGCCGACAGAAAGGAATCAAGAGCTTCAAATGAGGCTTCGTTGCAGCCTTGGCAATCACTTCCTCCGTAGTTATGACATCCACCGAGATTGGCTTCTCGCACATAACATGCTAAGCAGTGTTAGTTTCCAGCGCTTCTGGGCACTAACAAACAGACTCACCAAGCCCAGATCAAGGCCTCGAATAATCAAGGGGGCATGAGTGGCAGTAGCGGTGGAAATAAGGATAGCCTCAGCACCGCTATTTTTCATGCAATCCTCTGGATCCGCGAAGAATTGCACCGAAGATGGAAGGTTGGTCGCCGCCCATTTGTCACTACCAGGCTTGGTGTCGCAGGCAGCGACAAGCTCGATTCGAGGCTGTTGAAAAGCGAGGATCCGGGCACGGATGGAACCGAGACGGCCAAGTCCGATCAGGGCGAGCTTTAGACGAGGTTGAGTTACCATCTTGATAGGTGTGAGAGAGGGGACGTGAATGATGAGAGACGATGGGAGTGGACTACCTCCTTTTTACTGTCCCTTTTTGACGCGCCTATACTAAGCAAATTGTTCACCGGAAATGTCTCTGCTCGCGACAACTTTTGAGGCGATGCCCCGATCCGATTTTCTCGTTGTGCTGGTAACTCCGATTATTAATTGGCAGATCATGGATAAGCACCGGACATTTCCTGGATAATCCACTGCCACGGCTTTTGTATGCCTGATCGGACGTAAGTATCCCCGGTTTGAATCCGGGCACAGATCGGGCAATGACTACTTCTTGGCGGGTCAGTGCATCGGCTACAGGAGCTATTGTATATGGATTGTTTCGGCGAGACATCGCTACTCTATGTAATGTAACGATAGCAACCTTTTCTGCTCGTAGGGAATAGCCAGCTGAGGGCATCATGTCTTTGTCCGAAGTCCACATGAAGCCCTGTAGTGCGAACAAGGTTTTAAAGCACGCTGACTCTCGGCGATCGGATGATATCTTCATCCAAGGGGTGTGTGATGAATGAACTTTTGGCCTAACGCGATATTCAGCTATTTATAACATTTCGTAATCTGACACTCGTAGATGGAAATGATATACGGCAACAGTATCAACGTCGCTCTAACATCGAACGCTGCTTCTTTAATCGACTTCTACAGCCAGATAACATGCTTTATGCCTGACTCCAATCCCTCTTCAAGCCCTGCTACAAGTGCCCACACGTCTCCATTCTCTCCACTAATCTCGTAGACCTCGACTCCGCCACCCTCCTGCCCAACCACAGCAACATATTTGCCATCATCGCTGAGCCGCATGCCGCGAATGACATCTACATTGGTTCGGACATGTTTCACCTCCCTGGCCTTCCTGCCATCCTCTGAGAGCAAAATAATCGCAACGTCATCTCCCGGCGGTAGCTCCTTTGGGACATCTTTGAGATGAGGCTCACGTTGCGCAATCTGTCTTTCCCACCTGTTGCTAACATAGAGCACGTTCCGAATAATTGGGTGAAGACATATCTCGGCGGAATCCATCATGAATTGATGGTGGGGACGAACGGTTGGAGGAATCACGTTAGGTGCAAAGCCATCAATAGGTAATATGCCGTTGGTGGGAGCGTTGGACAGATCGAATGCAACGACTGTGTGCGACAGCTCGCCGATCACGTACATAATCCTCTCTGGAGGCTAGTCAGCCGGGTTCGGTGTGTAGACTGGGTCAGAAAATACCATCAGGTGTCAGTACGGCATGTCGAGCGCCGGTGCCAGGAGGGCACTGCAGCCAGCCGCACAGATCCAGCTTCAGGCCGTCGCGGCGAAAGATCCACACCCGGTCCGATCCCAAGTCTGGAGCGTACAACAGGCCGCGGCTGTCTTCGAGTACTTGGTGTATATGGCATTGGCGCTGTCGGACATGATTTGGACCATGTCCTTCCGACTTGTATGGGAATTCTGGCAGGATCTCGCATCGCGGCGCATCTTTGAGCAATAGTTTGCCCGTCTTGTCGGTGGAGATGGGATACAGTGCAACGGAGCCACCAAGGTACTACTTCTTGTTAGCATAGATAGCGATGTGTTGTTACTAGAGCCTCACCGTTCCGAGCGCAAGTGCAGAACCATCTCGAACTGTTATGACTGTTTGCTTCGTGTTAATATAGGATCAAGCAAGTTACCATAAGCTGCACACTTACAGTGACCAGGTGCGCCCAGGGTGGCTTGCTGACTGGTAATTTTACACGTTTCCTGCGCGTGGTCGATGTCAAAACTGTACAAGAGCCCGGCCTCAATACCCTCTGATAGGCCAACGAGATGATCAACGCTCCATTGTGAAGATGATCTTTCAATCCAGGAAGCATTGCAAGGTGCCGGGTAATCCGCAAGTATGCTCAGCTTTTTTCTGTCGAAGTCAAGGGCAAGGGTCGTGAAGTTATTCCGGTCGCCGGAAAGAAGAAGCTTGCAACTCATGGTTCGTTTCTTACTGGTGGTTAAGCCTTTGCTCACGTAAATTGCAAGGTTTCTCCGGTTTATTAATAAGGCAACAGCTACCACGGGCTAACTTATATCTAACTTGTATCGGAAGATCGACTGTCTGCCACAATTCGCGAGGCCGATCGGTGCCCTTAAATCGGAGAAATAGACATAGGCGTACGCTTGGTTACTCATGGGCAAAAGTCCGATAGGAATATCTCCGATGCCTTCGCCTTGGCCACGAATGGCATTTGGGCACCGCTAAACCTGGACCCACTTGACAATTCACTGCCCAGTAGTCAGGGCATTCTGTATTAAGGACACCCGTGGCTTCAAGTACTACATGGAGCTTTACGTCAAATTGAAAATCCAGTCATTTAAGGCGGAACTCGCGCTATACTTCTATTGCTCTTCTGTGGTGTCTTCTTCGCATACTCTACAGCAACTGAACAATTTGAACGGGTGCGGGACTCAGAATATATAATGGCTCAACCATGGCAAATGTGCGAATTCTCAGACCATTCATTAAGCGAGCAAATTCAATCCCTACTAGTGTGGCTGATATTGGTTGATCGACTAAGTTGCATGACTCCCGAATGGAAGACGTTTCCGTATGGATGACAATTACAGGTGAGAAGTTCCCAACCGAGAATCCGACTGCCACAGTTGAAAAAACCCAGGTACTGTTCCGAATCTCTATCATGAAAGACCTCATAACTGACAACATAACTGAGAACATCCACCTTACGAACTCACAATACCCAAATTCCCCATGTCCATCATCTCGTCGATCGCATTATCACACATCTGCATAATTTCACACGCGAAAACCACCTCATAACCGAAGAATAGCAGTTAGGGATCCAATTCCTCACGGAAATCGGGCAAATCATCGCCCCTCGACAAGAAATAACCCTATCCTTTAGACACCCAAAATGAATATGTTGATCAAAAAATTTAATATGTCGACCATAAAATACGCGTATCCGCAAGTATCGATCCTCGATAGAATTAGGTCTCTGATTCAACTAAACTACCAAAACATCTCGCATATATAAAGGGCGAGGTAAACAAATGAAGAATGTAAACTAACTAATATAGGAAATATAAGCGATCCGATTATGTTGTATCATCAACCAGGCTTGGCAACGATACCTTCCAGTACCGATGGAATCGTCACGTAGGCTGACCGTTGGAGGGATCCGGGATCCCGAAAGGGTTCAAGTCCCGTCCCATAATCCCAATGGGAATTAAATTTTGATTCCCTTCCCATTCCCTCTTATCTTAAAAATCACTTCCCTTTTCCCGTCCCATTTCTTAACCTAAGATCCCGAATCCCGTCCCACTTCCTAATAGGGTATAGTCTATAAATTTTTATAGCATAAAAATAGGCGAATGATATACCGACACCCCCCCCGTTCCACCGACACCCCTTTGGATCCAGCGACACCCCCTATTTCCCAATATAGTATAGCGCATAATCACGTGAACACCCCGACGGGGAGTTTGGGTGGAGGGACCATGTTAGTATATGGCCGGTGTGGCCTTGCCTGAATCGCTTAAAAATGCAATAAAAACTAATCAATATCTGTTTCCTTATTTAGTATAGCATCAGAATTGTATCCTTCCTGTCATCCCTGGTGGGACACCCGGGACCTGACCACCACGACCACGACCGCAACCACGCCCACGCCCACGCCCACGCTGTTATGCGTGGGGGTTGGTAACGAGCTGAATGGGGCGCTACGGTGCGAAAGGGAGTGTCTATATAGGAGAGAAGATAGAGCCACGTATATTGCAGAACTAATCGCTGGCCTTTAAGAGTTCAGGCCCGCGGGTGCGAATATAAACACTTCGCACCTGACTAAGCATCTTAGCTAAGGATCTAGCTATCGCGCTTCCGAGCGCTCCTAACACACGCCCACTATCTCTACCTCTCCCTCTCCCTTGCCCGCGCGATGATTCCTGGGATAAGACAATTTCAAAGGCTGAAGGATCACGCTGAGTGGAGCGATCCTGACTTGCTGGCTCCAGTTCTGGTTCTACCTGACTGGATTGATTTAATGATCCTCCCGGCCGGCCCTTTCGGCGTACAACCTCTGGTTCTAAAACCAAGTCTCTTGGGTTAATCGGAGGCATGTCCTGGTCATTATAAAGACGCCAATGACGATCAAAATCTCCAAGATATAGAGACTCGCGGTTTTGAAGATGCTCCCGGATTCTGTGGATACATGGAAGCCGCATTGTAGTATGGGTTACACCACTGCATTCCTAATTGGCCGCTTTCCTGGTTGTCCTTCCGGTAATATTGTATTGTTTTTATACACAATATTAAGTGCATATCTAGATACTTTATTAAGCACTTTTGATAAATAAAGTCTGGAGATAAATAGGTCGCCGATCTTAATCCTTATTAATCTTATCCCATACTTTTCGATGTTGATCTTGAAGGACAAGACCTATATATCAGCAGCGCTAAGAAGGTCCTTGGTAGATGATTAAAGCTCTGTTTAATAATCCAATACTCCCCTCCACACGGGAAGTGGCAATCTGACCAAGATAAAGAGACTTATTGGTATGGCATTTAAAAAGCGCTCTAAAGTCAGGTTATCATCTATTTCTTGAATATAGCGAATAATATCAGTCCAGATGTTACTGGCGTACTCGCTGGTAAAATTAGCCCATGCTGCATCTATTTCTGTTATGGTTTTACATTGACTATTATTATAAATAATCCAAGAAAAAGCTTTCCATTTATCCTTAACTTTCTGGTTAAAGATATCTCCAACTGCTTGGCTTGGATTATTATATTTAAGACAAGTCACTTTATGTCGAATAATTGGTCTGCATCGAGTCAAGATATTCTTTTCAATGTGCCATAGGCATAAGATATTGTCTGCAAAAGGAAAAACAAGTTCAACTGCCTTTATTAATACCTTATTCTTATCTGTAACAATGGTTTTGGAAAGGCAATATTAAAGCGATTCATTACAGCTCCAGCTGTTAAGAGCAAATGTATATAACTCCTCCTTCTTATTAGATATAAATGCAAAGCCCATATAAAATGTACGATTGGTGGCTGTACTACCAATAATATTAAGAAGAGGTATCTGGTATCGATTTGTTTTATATATTGAATCCATAAAAGAACTGTGCTGTATAGACTTAATATTTCCAGGCAGGATTTGTAGGTTAAAAACTGTCACCACTGTATTATCTTTATCTATTTGATAGTTAATAATCCACTCGTCTGTCTCTGGAAAGTTGATAAAAGAGCCTGTATAGGAGTCCTGCGTTTAAAAAGCGCCTTCTTGTTTCTCTTTTAAAATTATAGATATCCCGATCCTTAACACTTCCAGCACCTTCTTTATGAAGTGATGCAATAATATGACGTGGTTAAGCTCCAGTTTAAAGTTAACTCTTATTTTCGATGCGTGGGATACTATATCTACAACGTGGACTGCATGAGTTAAAGCTGCAGAAGCTGTATAATTATACTGCTTTTCTTTAATCTCCAGCCGCCATATAAAATAGCTTGAGCCTAAGAATAATAGAAAATGGGCACATGGTTAAGCTGGTACTCCCTTTCCTGCGGCGCTTGGTTTTATTAAGACGGCTATTGTACTTTCCACCTTTGTTATATTTAAGCCATATTATCTTAATAACACCTGCTTTTGTTGGTTTTGAACACCGTTTTACAACTGTATATCCATTGTTGTAAGCAAAGTTATTTATGTGCTTAATAGCTTCCTCCGGGGAGCGAAATGTTAACTCTTGAAGGCCTTCTGGCAGCGGGAGATCAAATAATTCAGCTTCAGAGTTAGATATCTTATTAGAAACATCAGGATTAGTTGACATCTTAAAAAGCTTGCATGTAGAGAATATTAGAGCATGTAAATATAGTGGTGTTGACATATAATTTACCCTATATTCTGGCCCTAACCCTCTGCCCTACGAGACCAAATTACTATATTGGGAAATAGGGGTGTCGCTGGATCCAAAGGGGTGTCGGTGGAACGGGGGTGTCGGTATATTATTCGCCTAAAAATATAAAATATTACTATGTAAAGTAATATAAAGTAGTTGTTAGGGACCTACCATATTCGGTATGGTCACGTGGCCTCACTTAGTCACCCATCTAGATAGTCAGCTCGCCTGAGCCCCTTGAATTCAGAGAATTGTGCCTCGCGAACAGGTTATGAGACCCTCTATATCTTTCTTTTAGAGCTGATATTACGTGGTTTTAAACCACCTGTTTTGTCTATTTAATTGCCCCTCGAGGAATTGATAATAATTTCAATCAAAATGGGCCCGAAGAAGGGAAAAGCGCCTGCTAGGGATGAATCTCCATACTGTACACCTGGCCCGTCCTCTCCTGCCATAACACGACCACCACCACGAGATACTGAGTCGGAGGAGGAGGAGGATCGCATGGAATATGTATCTAGGGACCAGTTCAGGGATCTCCAAGCGCAACTGCAGAATCAACAAACGCAATTGCAGAATCAAATGCAAACCCAAATGCAGCAAATAATGGAGCTAATTCAACGCAGTCAATCGCCCCTTTCAAGTACGCCTACACCGAACCCGAAGTCCACGTCAACAGATCTACCGCCACCACACGAGGAGCTATGGAAGTGTTCACACTCGACAACCGGTACTCGTCCGACACTTTCCACGGCATCATGCCAGACACTGGAGCCTCTGGAGTTTCGTCCGCTGGTGAACCACAATTTAGGGCATTATGCAGGCTTGACCCTAAAGTCAAGCTTAATACTTCCCGGGCTGGGGAACAGAAGATCAAATTCGGAGACGGGGATCCAAAGCCCTCCTTAGGGACTGCCGATGTCGATACTCCACTCGGCAGCATTACCTTCCATATCCTCCCCACGAATACACCATTTCTCTTTTGCCTAAAGGACATGGATGCTATGGGAGTGGAGCTCCGAAACAAGAAAGACGTGCTCGAGCGAGGAGACAAGAGAGTACCCATCGTACGTAAGTGGGGACACCCATGGATGTTGCTGCACAGTCTGGAAGAGGTAGCAGCATGGAGCCACCTCACGGAAACGGAGCTACGACAACTACACCGACGTTTCGGGCACCCATCAGTGCGGAGATTGACCCGAATCCTTCAACGCGCCGGGCACGAGGTAGATTCACAGTGTGTTGACTACCTCACGAAATTCTGCCACCATTGCCAGATGAAAGGCAAGTCCCCAGGACGATTCAAGTTTACTCTGAAAGATGACTATGAGTTCAACTACTCAGTTATTATCGACATTCTGTACCTCGAGGGAAAACCAGTTTTGCAGGTCATCGATGCAGCCACATCATTTAGTGCGGCGAGATTTCTTAAAGACATGTCCGCACGTAATGCTTGGGACACACTTCGTGCATGCTGGATCGATACGTACCAAGGACCACCGGACTATGTTGTGCACGATGCGGGGAAGAACTTCACATCTATAGAATTCAAGCAGCTTGCATCATCAATGTCGATCAAGGTCAAGGAGGTTCCTGTAGAAGCCCATAATAGCGTGGGGAAAGTGGAAAGATACCATGCACCACTGCGCCGTGCCTACGACATTCTTAGGGAAGAGCTCAAGGACGAAAACATTGATAGGGAGATGATTCTGCAGATGGCTGTAAAAGCCGTCAACGACTCAGCCGGACCGGATGGAATTATCCCAACATTGCTCGTCTTCGGGGCATACCCGAGAATGACTGACATGGATCCACCATCACCTTCGGTAGTCAAGAGAGCTGAGGCTATCCGCGCCGCAACCAAAGAGGTCCGTCGCCTACATGCGGAACGCCAGGTGAATGACGCTCTTGCCATGCGCAACGGCCCCAACATTATCACCACACTGGACCTACCATTACAATCAGATGTTCGAGTCTGGCGCGAGAAAGGTGGATGGAAAGGCCCATACAAGCTTTTAGCGGTAGATGGAGAGACTTGCACCGTGGATATGCTACATGGTCCTACGAAGTTCCGATCAACTGTTGTCAAGCCCTACCACAGGGAAGAGCTCCCAGAGGGAGAGGGAGGACAACGTCGTTTTAGGGCAGATAACGACCAAGTGGATAAGATTGTCGATTCGAAACATATTGACGAGCCCGATAAACCAGCCGAAGTCCAACGACGAGGTCGAGGACGACCGCCAGGATCGAAGAACAAACCGAAGCCGCAGGCAACCATACGGCGGAGCAATCGACGAAAGGCTGCTAATCATCAAGATGTCGAGGATCAATTTATCAATGCCATCCAAGAAGGACAGGACGTTTCAATGGCGCTTATGACAAGCAAAGAACGAGCCGATATAGAACTATCTATCAAGTTGAGGAATGAAGGTGTCATTACGACCCCGGGATCGCCATTCGAGCAGTCCCAGAGCAAGGAGATTGAAGGACTGATAGCTAGAGGTGTGTTCGACTTCGTGCAATACGACCCAATCAAGCACGCCGGCGTACGCATCTTCAATTCACGCCTAGTCAATGAGATCAAGGGCAAGGCCACGGGGACGCCTTTCGAGAAGTCACGACTCGTTATCCAGGCCTACAATGACGAAGGGAAGGGGATGATTCTTACCCAATCCCCGACGATTCAGCGAGCCAGCCAACGTGTCATCGTTGCACTTGCCCCGTCACTGAGCGAAAAGAATATCAGCCTGTCAATCCGGGACATCACACAAGCATATATCCAGTCAACAACCTTGTTAAACCGACTGATTCTGGCGCATCTACCCAAGGAGATCAAAGCAAATTCCCAGCAGGCACAATCATGGTAGTGCGGAAACCGTTATACGGGGTCCCTGAAGCCGGAACCTATTGGTGGGCAACGTACCACAAGCACCACCGGGAAAGGCTCGAGATGGTCACATCTACTTACGACCCATGCTTTTTGATCTCGACGGCAAAGGGAGTATTCGGCGTTGTTGGAATGCAAACCGATGACACTCTGATTTTGGGATCTGACGAGTTTGCCATGTGTGAAGAGAAGGAATTGGCGAAGGCAAATTTCAGCGCCAAACCCAAGGATACACTATCTCCAGAGAACCCGCTGATATTCAATGGCTGTGTTCTAACACAAAAGAAAGAAGATATTGCGGTTGAATTACGCCAGAAAGAGCAGGGTAAGAGGCTTAAGCTTATCGACTGCAACTCCAAGGACCTTAAGCACGCGTACATGGAACAACGTGCTCGTGGTGCTTACATCGCAACAATCTGCCAGCCGGAGGCTGCATTCGACCTATCCGTTGCTGCTCAACACCAGGATCCTACGGAAGCCGACGTCAACGCGTTGAACAAACGGATCGAGTGGCAAATAAACAATCTGGATAAGGGTATTAAATATGTCGCGATGAACTTGTCAACTGCAAAGCTCTTCGTATTCGTCGATGGATCATTCGCAAATAATAAAGACTTCAGCTCCCAGATTGGATATGAGATTATCCTCGCAAACGAATCCGCACAGAACGAGGAATTTGAGATCACCGGAAACCTGATCCATTGGAGCTCAACCAAGAGTAAACGAGTCACTAGGAGCGTTCTGGCATCGTGGTAGGAGGCGTCGACATGGCAATTGCAATCGGCACAACAATCAAGATGATCACGGACCAACTTGGTTTTGGGAAGATTCCTACCATCGTATGCACGGATTCATACTCTCTCTACGAATGCCTCGTCAAACTCGGAACCACCAAGGAGAAGCGCCTCATGATCGACATCATGGCACTTCGCCAGTCATACGAACGAAGGGAGATCATGGAAATACGATGGATCAACGGAAGCGACAACCCTGCAGATGCAATGACCAAAGCAGACCCCAATAGGGCCTTAGAGAAGTTCATCACCACAAACACCTTACGAGTGCGAGTTGAGGGATGGGTGGAGAGAAAATAGTCTGGTATGGCGAGATCTACGTGCGCAACAAGGCACGGTATGATTGGAGTTATGTTTTTAGTTGCTTCACTTCTACTTGAGAACACTGGTTCCTTTGCACAAAAGAAAAGTTGCCAGTGTCGGGATATATCCTTCTGAGATACTGTAACATCCCTTGCTTGGTATACGCATACTTGCGCGAAGCTGCGGCTCCGGTGTTGTGACCGCCGAATGTCCGAGCATGGGATAAAGGGGTATCTTGGAACATGACCTAGGAAGATACACATCTATCTACATGAATCAATTGACTTTTGCTTTGGAAGCATACATACTGTCCACTTAACTGTGTACACAGAACCTAGCTGGTGATACCAACAACATGTGTAGCTTACGATACATTGCTTGCGGCCACTCATAAGGGAAATAGGGCAAAGCCGTTGCCCGTCTAAGTTGACGAAATATCAGGACGTTCAAATTAATAGGCTGTTGGGTCCCCAGGCGAATTGTCGCCCCTGTTGATGCACTAGGCGTAGTTGGGTAACTATGAGAAGACTAAAAAATTCATCTGCAAATCTCAAGGCGTCCTACACCAACATTGCTAGGGCTCAGAAATAGAGCGGTTATTCGTCCAGATCCATGTAACGAAGAAGTAATTACGTAAGCTAATTTGGCTGCCCTTCCACACGGGATGCCCTATACTTTTTCTTCAGACGACGGCTGCATGCAAAGAGGTTGAGGCCGATGTTGAAGCAATGGCGGACTCACAGACTGCACCGGGCGGAACAATGCAAGCCGCGGTCAGCAGCTCAGCGCGGAATGGGTTCGTAGGATTTGGGGTGGCGCTCGAGAAGCAGCCCCCGTGATATCGAAAACTGAAACTGAAGACTTCTTCCGTGACACTGGGCGCCAGAGCAGAATAGAGCCCGTACTCCGGAGAGCTGGCAGCAATAGCACATGCGTTAGACATGCCACCAGGACTAAAACAGTACCGAATCACACTGCTTACGAGCAACAAAGCGGCGGCTCTCACGCTGCGGAATCCGCGTCAACAATCTGACCAAGGACACATCTGTCAGATATACAAGTTGATCAAGAGACTACGGAGACGCGGGAACGAAATCAACATTCGTTGGGTCCCAAGCAGCGAAGATAATCGACTGCTAAGCCTGGCGAAAGAGCAGGCCAGGGCCGCGACCCACGAAGACTCTACCCTCAAGAATTAGTGCCCAGGATGAAGTCGACAACACTGAATATCGCTCGGTCCCAAGCAGTTGCCAGCAAGGAATTAGCAGAGAACGTGGGGAGACATTCCAAACGAGTAGATGCAGCACTTCCAGGGAAACACACTCGACAGCTGTATAATCGATTATCATGGAAAGAAGCGAGCATGCTGGCCCAACTCGGGCCGGCATGGCCAGACTTAATGGCTATCTCTATCGGATCAAAGTCGCAGAGACGGATCAGTGTGGATGTGGACAAGCAAGAGAGACGGTGGAACACTTCCTCTTTCGATGTCGGAAGTGGACCACCCACCGGACGGAAATGCTGCAATGTACTCATACTCACCGAAGCAACATATCCTTTTTCCTAGGCGGTAAATCGCCCTCGGATGACCAGAGTTGGACGCCGAACTTAGAAGCCGTGCGAGCCTCAATACGATTCGCAATCGCTACGGGGCGACTCGACGCCGCCTAACCATGTCGCCTAACAATAATAACACCCTTCCGCTAACTAACCGACACCAACTACCTTGTGCCAAAAACGGTGGACGCGCTTCAACTGCCGAGGATAGGATGTTAAACACTTAAAGAAGTGCCTTCAAGCCAGTCTACTAACGAAACTACTAACCCACAAGGATCCCTACGAAACTGACAGCTGAGAGGACATATACTGCAAGGTTCTATGTATGGGCTCGAAGGAGATACGGCATATGCACAGCAGGACCTGTATTGATAGATTAGTGATAGTTGCCCTTTCGGCTTAGCCGCCGGGCGTTAATGAATTGTGTGTGTGTGTGTGTGTGTGTAAGGGTTTTATCCAGCTTGTAGGTCACTACCCAATCGCCGGCGGGCTCATGCACAGGTAGTTTAAGCTCAGGATTGTGCCTGTTTATTGCCCTTGCAAACAGCACCCTGGCGTAGGGAGGGTCAAACACGGATGTTGTTTCGCCAGTCACAGAGTTTTTGATTTCCGCTGTAGCCAAAACCTCGTCTATAGAGATGTACTCCTCCGGGTTTGGCACAGATGCCTTCTCAATTTGTTCCTTTATGTTTATGTGCTTTGCAGTCTCAGGATCGAACCGGGTGTTAAGGAAGTATAACGCGTTTAGGCTTCACACTATAACACGCTTACACAGAGTATACTCGTGGCGTTTGTGACGAAAATGGTGCAAGAGGGGGCAGCGGGTGACTGAGTTGAGCGCGGCCCTTTCCAAATTGGGCGGTGGCCGCCGTATAGTAAAACCAGAGAGGATAGCAAGGCTATACCAACCTGCTATTTCGCGCAATTAAGGCTTGTGCGCATGCGACTTCTAGATCTCTAAGTTTTCTACAGTCACTGCTCCTCCACTCTGGCATCATCCATTCCCACAAGATGCAATTCGCGTTAGAAGCGCTCGCCTTGGCCGCTGGAGCCATCTGCTACGTGGGGTACTTTAACCGTGGCGAACATCACTTGCATGGCATGACCTACATCCAAATACACGCAGTCGCCTTTGCAGCCTTGGCGGCTTTGCAGTATCGACTTGGCTTTGCCTTGGAAGAGGCTCTGAAACGATCATGCCTGTACGATGGTCTCTTTCTATTGGGCTTGTATGCGAGTCTTTTCTTTTACCGTGCTTTCCGACACCCGCTCAACGTCTTCCCTGGACCATGGATCGCACGAATCAGCAGCTTCTACATGACGTTCTCCATTAGACGGATGCAAATGTATAATACTTTACACAAGCTGCACGAAAAGTATGGTTACTTTGTGCGCATTGGCACCCAAGAACTGTCAATCACCCACCCCAAGGCGGTGCAGCAGATCTTCGGAGCCGATTCGGTGTGTCAAAAAGGCCCCTGGTACGACCTTACTCGCCCACAAGACTCGGTCCTTCTCCGCCGGACCTTTGCCGGGCATGCCGAACTGCGTTCGGTCTGGAGTCAAGCATTCTCTACAAAAGCTGTCAGGAGCTACGAGACAAGAATTCATCCCTATCGGGCCAAACTCATGCATGAGCTCGATGCTCATGCTGGGCAGCCGGTGAATGTGAACCATTGGTTAGGGTTGTATTCGTGGGATGTTTTGAGCGATTTGTCTTTCGGCCACCCCTTCGGCATGCTAGACACCAAGGACAAACACTGGGCAATGGATATCCTGGACAACGGAATGAGCGTTATTGGCATTCATCTGCCAATGTGGTTTTTCCACATTCTGCGTGCACTCCCCGGTGGCAATAAGGACTTGAAGGTCATGTTGAAGTACTGCACCGAAGAAATGCGTAGGAGATGGGAGGTTCGACCCCATCCACTTGCTTGTGATCAGGGTTACCGCTCACCATATCTACACAGTACGAGCCTAAGATCCCAGACGTTATGAGCGCACTGTTTGCCCCGTACCGGAGGAACGAGAAAGTATTCGATGAGGCTGCCATAAACCTTCTGGCTGGAGAATCTCATCTGCTTATTAACGCTGGAAGGTACGATACTCATGGGCAACCCGTGATTGAGCACAGAGTGATTGACTGACTCCCCACCTAGCGATACCACCAGAATCACCATGTCTTGCATCCTGTGGATTCTTGCTCAACGGCCGGAGCTTGCGGACAGGCTGCGCGAGGAGTTGAGGCCGTATATTCCGGAGTCTCCGGACGAGCTTGTGATGGATGATCAAATCAGGAACCTTAACTTGCTGAATGGAGTTGTTCAGGAGGCACTGCGCATGTGGCCACCAAGCCCCAGTCACCCGACACGGCTGTCCCCACCAGAGGGCACCATAATCGCTGGCCGATTTATCCCTGGGGGAACACAACTGATCGCGCCCCAATACGTCATCGGGCGAGGTAAGTAGTTGCTACAGACCCGTGCATAAGTTTGTCCACTCTCCACTGACCCAGGAACAGACGAACTCATATTCCCGCGAGCGAATGAGTTTATCCCTGAACGGTGGTACAGTCTCCCGGAATTGGTCAGGGACAAGAACGCAATAGCGCCATTCTCCCTGGGTCCCATGAATTGCGCCGGAAAGCATCTTGCGTTGACCAATATTCGGGTCACAATCGCGAGGCTGGTCATGCACTACAATCTGAAATTTGCCCCTAGCAAAACTGACCCGGTAGCTGGTTTTGAACAAGGCATGTATGAGCATTTTGCAATGCAGGCTGGCCCATTGTACCTTTGTTTGGAGAAGAGGAACAAATGACCAACTGGTTGTCGCGTTTGGTTGATCAAGTCGTGGAGTAGAATTGGGGGGTTCGAAGAATTTGGAGTGGTGGTAGTTTGCTGAATCAAACCTCTGAATCGTTTATGTGGCATTAAATGATATTTCTTTGCATAGTCAGTACGTTATAGTATCTTAGTATACCGTTGGGCGACAAGAGAACCACGAGATGACGACAATCCATCAGGCATTGGTAAGATAGCCTCGTCAGAATGTTGGGAAGAACAGTTGCAGGCCTTTGGGCGACAGAACCCAGAAGGCCCAACGTAACACAGTCTCATCTATCTTCGGGTCTTTCTTGGTATGGTGGGTGGAAAACTAAATACATCATTCTGATAGTCAAAAGACGACAGAAATAGCCCATCAAGGTATCTAAAACCAAGGAAGCTGAGTGATGAAGCAATTGCAATCCCTGTCAAGACTCCATGTCCAGGTTGTAGGTCGGCGTTCATTGGGAGTATATCCTGAAAGTTTCCAAATCTTGGGAGAAGGTGGCGGTATGAAAGAACCATTGCACCGTACGCAGTCAATAGCGTCACTGCCGGTTTCGCCCATGGATAGACAATGGGCCAGTTGATACCGAGTGCACCACTCCGATTTTGCTTCCTAGTTGCATTTCGAGGATGGTGCGAACTTGCACCAGCTCGTCCACGGCTTCCGACAAGCCTGCCGACGCGGTACTGTTGCATATTGGCGATATTTCCTTCGCTGTGGCCGGCATACTCGAACGCCTCGGTACCGTCAGTTCCTGCGCAGTTTTCGAGTGCCTCAATGCCGCCAGGGTGGTCGGAGCTGAAGGCTGTCAAGTCGTATACTAGGGCGCTGGTCAGCTTTAAAGCATGATTATTTGACAGGATAACGCTGGTGAACTACCAACACCGTGAACCGCGACCCATAACGACTGTAGGGTAGTGTGGTCCGCCAATTGCTCGACTGTGATGCTTTCGCCTGGATGGGCGGTCATGGGTGCGATGGTTGCTGCGTTCCAGTAGAGAGGAAATGTCGGAACAAGGGAAAGAACGTTCTCTGGGAGAAGGAGATCATGATTACTGCCAGTAAACATTTCTCCACTAAACCCAACGTGGACAACCGCCAACGGGCTTCCGAAAACAATCTCTGGCCGCGCTACCAAAATCAGGAGCGTAGCGTCATGCGCATATAACTTGCCAGACTGCTTGACTGTCGTCTGATTCTGCTCGTACATTCGGTGCAGGGTGGTCGCGAAACATGTATCAAAAGTTCCACATCGGACAACAAACCGATACATATGCTCACACCCTCGACGTCTCCAAGTTCCCCAGCATTGAGCAACTCAGAGCGACCTTGGCTGAAATTTTTGGATTTGCCGATGCAAAGAGTGCGCACTGCCCCCCGTTCTCAGGGGATCATTGCAGACTTGGCTAACTCGCGATAGCATTATGGCTTGTCGACGAAAATGGGAACCCGTTATCGGATCTCCAGAGCGTGGCTACGACGACAGACAATGTCGAAGTGCGAGCGACAGCGCATGAGTCCATCCGCGAGCCTCCCGGGCCTCGCCTTATCCCGTTCGTTGGCAACCGCTACGAGCTGTATCCAGACGTTCTCGGAAACTACGACCGCTTATTCTCGCTCTACGGGCCAATGATCAAGACGGTCAATATGGGAACCACCATCTACCACACAAACGACCCCGCCATTGCCCGCCACGTGCTGCGCGAGGATCACCTCTTCACCAAGACCACGTCCGACCCATCACACCCGTTGCACTACATGGCGGACCAGGACTGCCTGTTTACTTGCGACAGCGCATCTCCAGCTTTTGCGCCGAGCCACAAATTTGTGCCTCCCACGATGTCGCCACGAGCTATCGCCCACTTTCTGCCACTGATTCAGGATGCGGCTCAATCCATCTTTCCGGCATTCGATCACTTGGCCGACGCGAATCTCGCAATCAATGTCTACCAGTACATGTTCAAGCTCGCCGCTCAGATTGTCTGGCGAGTCATGCTCAATCAGGACCTGAAGCATTTTGAGTCGCCCAAGACGCCGCCGTCGTTTCCCGTTCGGCTCTTTGGCCAGTACCTCTCGCTGATGAAGAAATCATCCATGCGGCCGCAGTGGATCAAATATCTTCCCTTTGGCGATACCGTCAAATTGAAAAGTGTCCGCCAGCAAGTGCTGGATACAACCGAAGAGGCCATGAAGGCGAGCGTGCAAGCGGACGGTCCTCCCCTCGGTTTATCCGAGCCCACTGCCATTCAGAGCGCTACCTGCGTGGCTGACTTCTTGTACCGTGCGCGCGACAAGCAGGGCAAAGGGCTCCCGTATGAGCTGGTTCTCGGCAATGTGGTAGTGAGCTGTGGTGCGGGGTTCACCACCAGTTCATCTCTGCTCTCCTGGGCTCTGTATTCCCTCGTGCGGTATCCTGGTAACCAGCAACGACTCTTCGAGGAGATCAGCAGCCACCGTAGTAGTAACGATGGCCGATGGACCTACGATGACATCCATGGGATGAAGTTTCTCGACTGCTTCGTCAAAGAGGTTCTGCGTCTTCATAGCCCCAGCTTTCAGACAGCACGCAACGCAAAACAAGATGCGGTCCTGCCCGGTGGGTACCTGATCCCCAAGGGTTCCATTGTCATTGCCTGCTTTCCGAGTTTACACAAGAACCCAGCCCATTGGGAGAATCCGCAGCGTTTTGACCCGCACCGGTGGGCGCAGCAAGGTCTTGCGACGCAAATGGCTCGCCAAGGGTCATACACTCCATTTGCAGCAGGGGCTCGCGGCTGTGTGGGCTTCAATTTGGCGCTGACCCAGGTCAAGATAGTTCTGGTCGAGTTGGTCTACCGATACGAATTTGACGACTCGTCACCGGAGACAGTCGTGTACGATCCCGAGTTCTTGGTCGTGAGGCCCTTGAATTTCTACGCGGGAATAACGAGGCGCATGCATCCAGATTAACAGTGTAGATGTTTCTTGGTTCTGAACTGTGTTGAATGCCGTTTGTAGTGATGACCCTGTACATACTCTATTCGCAGTTTCGCGCCTGCGTTGCTTCTTAAGTCGCCATGGCCAGATTTGGCTGATCCCGTCGGCGGCCCCGATTTGCTTAGGCCCGCCAGGCCATCCTGCATGGCCAAACCGGTTGTGACCAGATTGTAAGCGGCTGCTTCCCTAGTTTGTTTTACTGTTGCTGGATCTCGCGTAACTCGCGGACGGTTAGTTTCATCACTACCATGTGGACACCAGCAGTGCCGCTGGTATAACTTATTAAAGTCAGTGTCTTCGTGCACCTGGTTCCAACTATCAAGGGTATCTTAAGAAGCATCAATAATGTGTGGAATCTCTGCGTGTCTCTCGCTTGCACCGGCTAGGAATGGCTACGCGAAACATGCAGGTGTTACCAGCAACGGGGAATCCAGGCCCCGCATCACGACCAACAGGGAAGGACATCCTCTTGCGACGCAGCTTCAAGCCTCGTTGGATGTGATTGCCCACCGCGGCCCTGACGATTCCGGGGTCTGGATAAATGAGACCGAGAAGGTCGGGCTGGGCCACTGTCGGCTCTCCATCAACGATCTATCATCTGCTGGGCGTCAACCTCTCCACAGCAGCGACGGCCACGTTCACGTTGTGGTCAATGGCGAGATTTACGACTATGATCGATTACGGTATGAGTGCGAAACCATTCACCATTACGCCTTCCAGGGCGACAGCGACAGCGAACTTGTGCTGGCGCTTTACCAAGTCTTTGGTGCCCCAGGGTTCTTTGCCCATCTGCGAGGGGAATTTGCATTTGTGCTCTATGATGACCGCCCAGGTTCTCGACGATTGATTGCGGCACGCGACCGTTATGGAATCAAGCCCCTGGTCTATACTCGACTCGGGTCCAGCCTCCTCATCGCGTCCGAGGCCAAGGCTTTCTTACCTTTCGGCTGGAGTCCTCGCTGGGATGTTTGCGCAATTGCCGACGCAGGTTGGATGTTTGACGACCGAACGCTGTTCCGCGGTGTTCGAAAGGTGCTACCAGGACACTATCTTGAAACGACGGAAGATGGCGGCGTGCGACAGGTCCAATATTGGGATGCTGAATACGAAGACAAGGTTGGTCCACTGGAGCATCAGTGCGCGGAACCTAAAGCTCACTCTCTTTCCGCAGACAAAACCTGAGATACGCACCATGGACGAAATGGTAGCTGGCGTTCGTGAGCGGCTTGTCGACTCTGTCCGTCTCCGCCTGCGTGCCGATGTGCCTGTTGGCATCTACCTTTCCGGGGGGATCGACTCTTCGGCCATCGCGGGGATCGTCACTGATCTTGCACGCAAGGAACATGCCAAGATTGGAAGCGAACACACCACTGGTGTGACCTGCTTTAGTGTGGCTTTCCCGGAAATCTCGGGCTACGACGAGTCGCGTAAGTCCTGGTGGCTGGTGATCCTGTACTTGTGCTGTACAAACTAACAGCCAGCAGAGATTGCCGAGCGCACCGCTGAATGGCTTGGAGTCAAGACCATCAAGAGAACTATCACCGAGGAGACGCTGGCTGAGAACTTCGAAGACGCTGTTTTCCATTGTGAGCACCACCACTTCGACCTCAATTTTGTGGCCAAATTTGCGCTGTCCACATTGCCGCAGGAACACGGCGTCAAGGTCGTCCTGACTGGCGAAGGCGCCGACGAGCACTTTGCGGGCTATCCATACTTTTTCAGCGAGTTCCTCCGCGAAGCCGATGAAGCCCTCCCGGACTCTCATTTTTCTCAAAACAGTAGCCTTCGGAGCCAAATGTTCGAATCGGCGCAGCGGGAGATGAAAGGCATTTGGCAAAAAGGTGGTGCCACCGCGTACAAGAATAGACCAGCTGTTCCAAGCATCGCAGGGCCGGGGGCAGCAGACATGAGCGATAATCTGCTCGCGTGGCATCCCAGCGCCTCCCTTTTTGCGCCGTGGATACAAGCACGACAAGGCAGCGACGATTGCCGCAGAACCATTCTCAACTCGTATCCAAAAACCGTCCAAGCCAAGATGCGGACCCGATGGCATCCCCTCCATACTTCCATGTACATGTGGAACAAGAACTCGTTGGCCAACGTCTTGCTGTCATGCCTGGGCGATCGCACAGAGATGGCACACAGTGTCGAAGCGCGCACGCCATTTCTCGACCATCACCTCACTGAGTATGTCAACCGATTGCCTCCAAGCGCCAAGTTGCGCTACACGGCGGAAACTGCAAGCGACTCCGGCGAAGTGGGCCCGATCTGGACCAAGTCCAGCGTTGCGTTGCAATCTCTGAATGAAAAATGGATCCTCCGCGAGGCAGTACATCCTTATATAACGGATGAACTGTACAGGCGAAAAAAGCACCCGTTCCTGGCTCCCACTCGATGGGGGAAGGACGGGCCATTGTATCGAAAGCTCAAGGCCCTGCTGACACGAGACGCTGTAGAGGGCCTGGGTTTTGTTAGCTGGACCACGATCCAGGACGCCATGGGGATTGCCTGGGGTGAGGCTGCAGACCCCAAAGCCTTTCGACTTTTGCTTTATTGTGGTGCCTGGGTCACCCTTAGCCAGCGTATGGGTGTAGCCAGGGCAGACGAGGCTGATTGGGAATTACCCGCACTGTAGCGTATGCCTCTATAGCTTTATAGATTATGTTGACCTCCCTAAGCCGCATCCTCATACAGATGTCTCAGATTATACTCTTTTCTATACTTATCAGACTCGCAGCGTTCTTGCCTTTTGCCGGTGGAGAGTGTCGAATGAACTATGTGTTTGCACATACGCTCTAACAGGCACCTTAATCAACGACCAAGTACATTCAGATCAGCACCACAATCTTCCCATGCCCGGCTCCCCTGGAATGAGCGGATTCGTAAGCTTCTCGCACGTCGTTCAAAGACACCACTTTGGATACGTGGCCCCTAATATTACCCCTGGCGACGTGTTCGGTGATACGCGCCATGCTCTCCGCTGAAGGCTCAGCAATCATGTACAGTGCCCGAACACCCTCCTTTCCTTGACTAATACCCTTTTTGTTGTGTTCTTCCCTAAAACCCCAGCTGCAGGCGTCAAAGGACAAGAGGGTACCGTCCGGCTTGACGACAGCCCAGCAGTCTGCGAGAACCTGGGCTCCGACCGAGTCAACTACCACGTCGACTCTGTCTAGAGTGGTGAGATCACCGTACTCGACCACTTCATGAGCTCCGAGGCTCTGTAGGAAGACCTTGTTCCGCTGATTCGAGCTGGAAGCGGCGACAACGTGGTGGCCAGCAAGTACGGCAAACTGCACTAGAAACGTGCCAATGCCGCCCGCTGCTCCGGTAATTAAAACACGCTTTTGTCCGTTCTTTGCTGGAGTCTCGAGGCCAACATGCTTGAACAGTGCCTGATCAGCAGTGAGGGCACTTCCGGGGATGGCAGCAGCCTCCTCCCACGACAGGTTATCTGGCTTCTTGACTGCTTCCTCAATCGTGACAATGGCGTACTCTGCCCACGTTCCTCCCCTTCCGGCATGCGTCATGCCGTATACATGATCTCCGACGCGGAAAGTCGTTTCGCCCTCGTGCACAGCGACGACAATCCCGGAGAAGTCATTCCCCAATGTTGCATGGTTCGGCGGGTAAAGCTCGTTCCACTCGAGATTATCTTTGTACACAGTGGAGGCCTTGACTTGGATCAACAATTCGCCCGGTTTCGTTATCTGGGCTTTGGGGATGTTGTCGTGGACTTCGATGGCCGAGGATGGGGCAATATTCCCGGGAAACCCATATGGGACTCCCTCGGGTGAGGTGGGTCGGACTCGTGCAGCTCTCATCGTCGTCTTGGTAGTTAACTTGGACTAGGGTATCCCTCAAATACGGCGCCCGGGCTTGTAATCTATATCAACGGTCGTACGGTGATTTGCCAAATGTGGAGAGCCCGCCAGATCCTCCCAACTCGGCGTCGGGCAAGAGCTCAGCAAGTCACAAGCGACCATTGGCCTGGTGTACGTTATCATGGCTCATAACTACCATTATGACTGAAACAGAGGTTTACAACAATCATAGAACATCGCTGTGCAGGCGAGAAGTGACGCAAATATATATATGTAGTCTATCCCCTTCTCTATGCCCGCGCTAAAGCCCAGTTGATTTCTCGAAGTACAGCTTTGATCTCACTCTGTTTCTTTGGCATGTCGTGTAGCCCGCTATGTACAACTGTTTTGGAAACAGACTGCTCGCAAAGAGTCCTGGAAAGCTGCGCCATTTGGATCAAGTACTCAAAGTCATTTTGGCCCCAAACATGGATGGTTGGAACTTGTATCTTTTGTGTCAGCGCCGATGAATACATCACGCGAGGAATCTCGTCCAACTCTCCGTAGCGATATATATCCATATCAGTCCACGGAAATTGGGGGTCTTTCGCGCCGGCTTCGACGACTGTTCGTTGAAGTATCTCGACAAATTCTCGCTCTTCGCTCGTCAGGTCTTTCCCTATGGGCCCGGCTCTGTTCGTCACGTCGTATCCCCTTGCTCGCAGCTTCGATATGATGCCGTGGCCCATGTTCGCATCCGAGCTGCATGGCATGGCGGTGGAGAAAAGACAAGCAAACTTGACTGCGATCGGGCTGCCGACCGTCTGCTGCTGATGGAAGTAGGACAAGGTGAGCGCTGAGCCTTGACTGAAGCCAAAGATCCCTTCAAATGGGCCTTCATCTTCAAGGGTGTCTTCGAGGTAACGGACCGCCTGAGCGATGTCGGAAGGAGAGTAGCCTTGAGTGTGAGAATAGTATGGACCCGGCTGGAATTCTGAGACGCCTGGAGCCCAATATGTTAGCGACAAACCACAACGGTGTCTCCGCCTCACGGCTCACGTACCGGGTCCTCTTGCACACTCAAAGGGCCCGTCTACAAAGATGAGTTCGAAACTGGGATCGAGCTCGCGCCGCAGGTTGGACATTTGCCGTTCGAGAATGGCGCCGGAACTGCCAGCGCCATGCAGACAGAGGATCCTCATGGTTAGGTTCAGTCACGCACTTGGTAATTTGAGGGTAACAAGTATTCTTAGCGCTGATTCCGTGCTTCGCTTATTTGTGGGGAAATGCTTCGAGCGCACCGGGCCATCGCCCAATGCAGCGCGCCGCGCCCGAATCGAGTCTCCGTCGTGGGCGGCCCCAACCAGAACAGACAGTCGCTGCCACGCTATGCCCTTTAGAGCCAGGGCGATCCAGTATATCCTCGCTCCATATGTCTCTATCGCACACGCAATGAATCCACCGGAGCTGTAGTATAAGCTGTGCAACGTGTTGAACGCTGTGGGCAAAGTGGGTTTGTATTTAAGACACAGGGGCCATGCAAAATCACTGCAGCGACCTCTAACTGAACTGCTGATAAGGTCGTGTGCGGTCAGCCTACATGTCCGTGCCTGTTTTTCTCATCCTGTGTCCTACTCGTGGCCACAGTGTGACCGTTATTCATCCAGTGCCAAATCTACACCCAGTCGCAGCCACTGACCCTTCGTCATGGACTTTTCCCCGTCAGACAAGCAGGAACCCATCGCCATTATTGGAGCCGCATGTCGCTTCGCTGGTGGAGCATCCTCTCTAGACTCACTATGGGATATGATCAGCAAGGTCAAGACTGGCCATGGTGCAGTCCCCGGCGATAGGTGGGATAGCAACATGTGGCATCATCCCGATCCAGACCGAAAGGGCGGCATTCTCCCACAGCATGGTTACTTTCTGGAGCAGGACATTGGCCACTTTGACGCTCCTTTTTTCTCTGTAACGGAAAAGGAAGCTGCTTCTATGGACCCCATGAAGAGAATGCTGCTGGAAGTATCTTATGAGAGCTTTGAAAATGGTCAGTGCGATTTCCGTGCATCTCTGTTAGTCCCAAACTGCTGCTAATTGGCGTGTAGCTGGGATACCCATGGAGCACCTGATAAACAGCCGTACGGGTTGCTACGTCGGTTGCATGACAAACGACTACGAAATGATCTCGTTGCATGACATCTACGATATCGGCCATCCAGCAGCAACCGGACTAAGCGAAGCCATGACCGCGAATCGCGTGTCTTGGTTCTTTGGCCTTAAAGGCCCCAGCTTGACGCTCGATACTGCTTGTAGCTCTTCACTCTACGCGCTGCACTTGGCGTGTCAGTCCTTGAGGCTGAGAGAAACAAACATGGTATGCTAAGACACCACAGCCGGTTGCATCTTGACATGGTAACTTATTACTTGGCTTGTCTAGTCACTCATTACGGGGGTCAACCTTCTCATCAACCCCAATACCTCACACCAGCTGACTGCAATGCACATGCTCAGCCCTGAAGGCATCTCACATACCTTCGATGACCGGGCCAATGGATATGGCCGTGGTGACGGCATTGGATCTATGGTCGTCAAGCGTCTCTCAGACGCTCTACGCGACGGCGATACAATCCGCGCAGTGATTCGTGGATCTGGAGTCAACGCGGATGGCAAGACCCCCAGCGTCACTCAACCGAGCTCCACAGCGCAAGCCGAACTCATTATCCAGACCTACGAGGACGCCGGCCTGGATCTGTCGCAAACAGGGTACTTCGAGTGCCATGGGACAGGAACGCCCATTGGTGACCCTCTCGAGCTTACTGCAATTGCGTCGACCCTGGGTGCAGCGCGACGCGCAGCTGGAAAGCCCCCTCTCCACATTGGAAGCATCAAACCCACGGTGGGCCACACAGAGGGATGTGCTGGCCTGGCTGGCGTTTTCAAATCCATACTACTACTGGAAAAAGGAATGCTGGTCCCCACATTCGGCGTGGAGCGCATCAACCCAAAACTCAAGTTGGCTGACTGGCATCTTACGCTCCCAGACGAAGTCGCCAGATGGCCCACGCCAGGGCTGCGTCGAATCAGTGTCAACTCCTTTGGGTTTGGTGGAGCAAACGCTCACGTTATCCTGGACGATGCGTACCATTATCTCCATGACAGGGGACTGGAGGGCAGGCACAACACTGTCATCGGTGACTTTGGCTCAGACTCCGGCTTCGAGGACACATCAGTCAACGGAGCTGACGAGCCAGGCAAGAAGCTATTCGTCTTGAGTGGTAGGGGCCAGACTGGAGCCAAGCGAGTGTCTGAGGCTCTCCATGCATGGCTGCAACAAAATCCAGAGGACAAAAACGATCCAGCCTTGTTGGAGAATCTCGCATTTACACTTGCGCATCACCGCACGCATCTGGAGAACAGAACTTTTGCGATTGCAAATTCGACATCTGAGCTCATAGAAAAGCTATCCAAAGGCCTGGTCGCATCGACTCGCTCGCAACGCCATGGCAGCAACCTCGTTATGGTGTTTACCGGTCAGGGTGCTCAATGGCCAGCAATGGGTCTCGAACTGCTCGCAAACTCGACGTTTCGCTCAAGCATCGAGGCCTCCCAAAGTTATCTCGAGGACCTGGGCTGCACGTGGAACGCAATCGATGAATTGAGCACGAAAACAAATGCCAATGTCAACCGCCCGGAGTACAGCCAGCCACTATGCACGGTGGTTCAAGTCGCCTTGGTTGACCTGCTTCGCTCCTGGGAGGTCATGCCCAAAGCTACAATCGGACACTCGAGCGGGGAGATTGCTGCTGCATACGCTGCAACTCTTCTTACGCACTACGACGCCGTAAAGCTGGCCTACGTCCGAGGGGTCAGTTCCGCCGCAGTCTCCAAGCCAGGTGCAATGATGGCTGCTGGTATTTCTGAGGATGAGGCGCAGGCATACCTTGAGAAGGTCCCCGCCGACTCGGCCGTAGTTGCTTGCGTCAACAGCCCATCCAGTGTGACGCTCTCTGGCGATGTTGACGCCATTGCTCAGCTGGAAACCCTGATATCGGGCGATGGTAAATTCGCCCGCAAGCTCAAGGTCACCACTGCATACCACTCCCCTCACATGCGTGAGGTCTCGTCAACCTACTTGGACATGATTGGCGAACTAAAACCCAAGGAGGGCGACGTGGAAGGGGAGACGCCCGTCATGTACTCGTCTCTTACGGGATCTATCGTTGCTTCAGCAAAGGAGCTTAACGCTCAGTACTGGGTCAACAATATGCAGAACCCCGTCAGGTTTTTACAGGCACTGATTGCACTGTTAAAGCATAAGAGAGTTGCAGCAGGGGGTAGCCGACCAGTGCCAATCCAGTGGGGCAGCTTCCTCGAGGTTGGCCCCCACGCTGCTCTTCAAGGGCCCGTGCGTCAGATTATCGACGCAAGTAACAACAGATTTGCCAAGTCTGCCCCATACGTCTCCATGCTGGTTCGCGGCCAGGACGCAACGGAGACGGCTCTGAACGCCGCGGGTGTGCTGTGGGCGGCCGGCTGCCCGATCAAGCTGGCTGAAGTCAACCAGCAGACATCAACGGGAAGTAACCCCCCTCAAATGCTTTGTAGCTTGCCCAGCTATCCTTGGAGCCACGCAAAAAGGTTCTGGCACGAATCGTACACGTCTCGATCGTATCGTTTCCCCCCACATGCGCGCACCGACTATCTGGGAATGGCCGAGGACTCCCAAAACAGCCTCGAGCCACGATGGAGGAACTACTTGCGCATCTCGGAGAACCCGTGGATTGAGGATCACATCATTACCGGTACTGTGCTGTACCCGGGCGCGGGCATGCTGGTGATGGCATTGGAAGGCGCATTGCGCATTGCCGACTCTTCCAAGACGATTGAAGGTTTCCGCATGAACGACGTCACTTTTGAGCGCGGTCTGGTCATCTCCCTGGATGAAGAAGCCCCGGTGGAGACGCGCCTCAGCTTCTACCCCGACGGAACACGGCCCAGCTCATGGGCCTTCACTGTCTATTCAATGACCAACGGCTCGCCATGGGGGAAGCACTGCGCCGGGACTGTTACTGTTGTGTACCAGAAGGGAGTCAGTGATATCGAACCAGACGGGGTGAATGCCTCGTGGCAGCAACAGTTGGCCACACGCAGGGCGCTACTATCCGAGGCAGATTCCATCACTATCGACGTGGGTGCATTCTACAAGAATCTGGAGGCCATTGGCATGCAATACGGGCCGTCCTTTTGCAATGTCAAGTGCCTCACAGCAGTGCCCTCGCAAAAGGCCTCGTACGGGTCGGTGGCCGTTCCAGACACCAAGTCGACAATGCCCGGAGGGTACGAGACCCCTCACCTCATTCATCCAGCAACCATGGACTCCATATTCCATTTGGTAATTGCATCTCTCGATGCTGGCCAACCGGTAAAGCAAGCCGCGGTCCCGTACAGCATTGACGAGATTTTCGTGGCCCATGATCAGCCTAAGGAGGTTGGAACACTCTACTCTGGCTACGGTCGCTTACTCTCCCAGACTGGCCACGAGATCATCACGGACCTCGTTGTCTCCGACGAGGACTGGACACGACCAAAGCTGACTGTCAAGGGCTTTGCCCTTCGCCAGGTGACCTCTGACACAGGTGGGGAGTCTTCCGATGCTGCTCCTTCCCGTCGTCCCACGCGGAAATGCGCTGACATCTCGTGGATTCCTGATTTGTCCTTTGTCACCAGCAGCGAGCAGCTCACGAGGATCAGTCCTTCCAGAAACGCGGCTGGGTTAGTCACCAGCTGGCTCGATTCCGTTTTCTTGAAGGAGGCAAACACCGGTGTCCTTGTTGTCTTGTTTGATGAATCTGAGTCTAGTCACAATGTGCTTCGTCGCCTCAACAGCCAGAGGTATGGGCCAAAGACGATTATTGCCGTCGCCGCATCCGAGTCCATCTCGCAGATGATGAAGAGCACACTGGGCGAAGGCACTGAGAAGCTGGACATTACATATCAGACGCTGTCTGAGAGCCTCTCTGTCGAGATGCTGGACCCAGAAGCCAATGATGTTGTTCTCGCTCTGGGTGTTTCCGACCTCGATCGACACGCTGCCACGCTGGCAAAGTTGGCTCCTCTGGTATGCCTCACTTCTGCCAGTCACCCAGGTGAAGTCGGCCCCATTCCGTCAGAGAGGACGTGGGTTGGCAGCGTTGCAGACGATGATATCTACGTCCTTTGCAGTTCAAGACCAAAGTCCCTTCCGGTTGAGTTGCCTGACACGGTCGTGATCCTCCTGCCCGAGACGCCGTCCGTTGCGCAGAGGGAATTTGCGGCGGAGCTTCAGGCAAAGCTTGACCAAGCCGGTCACTCGGTTTCTGCGACGAATTTTACTCCGGAGAGTATAGCTTTACTCGCTCACAAACATGTTATATCTCTGCTTGAAACTGACAGTCCTCTTGTGTACGCCTGGAACGAGGATCAATTCCACACATTTAAGAAACTCATCTCTACCGTGGGCCATCTTTTCTGGATTACCCATGGCAGTGTGATGGAGAGCTGGTCGAACGGGGTCGAATTTGCGACGACCCAGGGCCTGTTCCGCGTGATGCGCAACGAATATCCCGTTGCTGTCCTGCCTGTTCTCGATCTGTCCGCAGTCGCTGACATTTCCAGCCCCCAATACGCGGATCTGGTCCTCGATGTGTGGCGATCGTCCCTGCCGGACGACGGAGAAATGGAATACGCCGAGTACAACGGCCTGGTCTATATCCCTCGAGCCACCGAGGACGCGGGCTTCGATTACGAGCTTCAGCTGGCAAACAATACCGCAAAGCCAATCGAGTCAACCCTTGGCGCTGCCCGGCAGCCGCTAGCAGCAAGCGAGTTGGCATCAGATCAAGCATACATCTGGATCGCCGACGATGAGGCCCAATCACCCCTTAAAGAAGGTCAAGTCGAGATCAAGGTCGAGTATTCTGGTGTCGGCTTGGGCCAGACATTGACCTCTGTCCGCCACGCTGTCGGAACTGTTGCCCGCCTTCACGACTCAGTAAGGGCTCTGCAGCTTGGCCAGCGCGTTGTTGTCTTCTCCGAGGCTGCGGCGAAAACGCACCTCCGCCAAAATCAGGACTTGGTTGCACCGCTGCCCAACGGACTCGCCCCACCTGACGCTGTTACCCTTGTTGAGCCACTTATTACAGCGCAGTATGCACTCCTCGAGATCGCTCATCTCCGTCGCGGGCAAGGACTGCTGCTGGATGACGCCGGGAGCGCTGTCGGCCAAGCTCTGGCACAGGTTGCCAGCGCTATTGGCGCCGATATCTTTGCTCTGGTTGACACCAGAGAAGAACGTGATCTCCTCTCTGGGCGATATGGCATCTCTAAAGACCACATCTTCGACGCTGGTTTGGAGAACTTCGTGCCGCTGATTCAGGCGACTACCGAAAGCCGTGGGGTTGATGTCGTTATCAGCCACCGCACCCATTCCCATGTCCCTGGCTTGATGTCGACTCTGAGTGAGTTTGGCCAGTTTGTTGACCTCACCGGTGAAGGCTTTCGGGCTCTCCTTCCAAGCAGTAAAGCCAACGTTACCTTTTCGCGCATCGACATCGCCGCCGTGATGCAGCGCAGGCCCGCCACTGTCGGGAGGCTCTTTCGACAGGCTTTCAGAGACTACAGCCTGCAGGGGCCATCCCCGCTGACAATTATGCCCGTCAGCAAGCTCGGTAGTACGGTTGATACCGTTTCACCAGGGCACTCTGCCGTGTCCTTTAACAATTCGAGCCCATTGCTCTTGCGGCCACCCCCAGCTGAGCAACTGAAACTTGACCGTGAGGCAACTTATGTTCTGGCCGGCGGCTTGGGCGCTCTTGGCCTACACATTGCCGACTGGATGGTCGAATGCGGCGCCAGAAACCTGGCCTTCCTATCCCGCTCAGGTGGTGCAAGGAATCAGCACGATCTGGACAGATTCACGGAGCGCTCCGTTCGGGTGAAAGCTTTCAAGTGCGACGTCAACGATGCTCGCAGTGTTGCCAAAGCCTTCGCCGCCATCAAGGCCAGTGGCGGCAGGGTTGCGGGCGTGATCCAGCTTGCCATGGTTCTTGACGACGGCATCTTCGATAACATGTCGTTTGATCAGTGGCGCTGTGCCATTGAGCCCAAGACTAAAGGCTCCCGCAACTTGCTTGCCAACCTCTGGCCTGGTGATAAACCCTTCTTTATTCTTCTCTCATCCATAACCGGCGTTATTGGCAACACGGCACAGGCCAACTACGCTGCGGGGAACACGTTTGAGGACGCGTTGGCTCATCACGCCCGCCACCATCTCTGTATCAACGCTACCAGTGTCGATGTCGGTTTGGTCACAGACTCGGCGCACTTTACCAACGCTGGTGAGTTTGGAGACCTCGCTGGGTACCTGGGTCGATACCAGCACGGGTGGCGAGGCCTGCAGACGAATCTTGACGAGCTCGGCGTCGTGCTGCGGGCCATCATGCGAGGCTCGACAACGAATGGACAAAGCGTACCAGCTCAGATAGTCCTCGGTCTGGAAGACTGCATCGAGCATAATCATAACATCGATGGCTTCTCGAGGGACAAGAAGTTTGCGCTTCGCGTCGCGAATTCTGGCAGTGATAACAGCGATAATTCCAACAAGCAAGACGTGGGCTCACTCTTGGCGAGTGCGACAAGCATGGCCCAGGCTGTCGCAGCTGTCGAGGAGAGCATTAAGAGCTTGGTTGCTGCGACCATGGGTGTTTCGGTGGACGAGATCGATGCTCAAAAGCCTCTCTATGACTATGGTGGTGAGTAAAATGCAGTTGCGTACTACAACTCTGAAGACACCATGCTAACCCTTTTCTATAGTTGACTCGCTACAAGCTGTGGAAGTCCGCAATCGTGCGCTGAAGGATATGAAAAGCGACATCTCCGTGTTTGATATCTTGAGTGCTATGCCCTTGGCTGATGTAGCTGGCAAGATTGCTGCCCACAGCCAGCTGGTCAAGATCTCTGCAAGCGAAGAGTGAGATACTCGACCCTTTCACCTGGCTAGCTTTAAATAAAAGAAAATAAATAGACTTTGTCCATTATGCTTTCCTGTAGTGGCGTTCTATCTCTCAGTCTATATATATATATATGGCGTGATCAGACTGGGCTTCCTTACTGAAACAACAAGTGTCCACAAGCAAAAGGCGAAGCCCAGGCATGAAGCCCACTCTCAAAAGACGCGCGGCTGAGCTTTATCGCGGTGAAATCTAACGAGGCAAGTGTCGACCCATATTGCTATGTTCCATCAAGGTGGAGACGGTTACAAGTATGCGATTATGACAACTTCACCCGTTCCCACCGCATTAACAGTCCTGCCCCAAGCACCGCAGCACTTCCCCCAATTGATATGCCAAACACATTTGCGATAGTCGTCCCAATCGCCTCGGATGCGATGGCACGAACTTCAGGAGTTCCATCGTTCAAAATGGCCGAATATCCACCACCAAGAGCCTCGCGAATCTCCCCAGCGGCATATCCCCTACCACCGAGAGCGGTCTGCAGGGTGTCGAACCCAACATTCTGGAAGACTGTTCCTGCTATCGCCAGCGCCAAGGCCCCTCCACCAAGTTGGGCGACGTTGATGAAACCCAGAATGGAGGTCGCCTTCTCAGGGGGCGACTTGCTCATGGCAATGGCGTAGGCGGCTTGGAATGTCAGGCCGCAGCCGATTCCCGTTAGTATCTCGAATCCATAGATATTCCTGGGTGGTGTTCCAGTCGAGATCTCGAACAGGAGTACACTCCCGGCCAAGGCTATTATGCCGGAGAAGAGGTACCAAACTGCGTAAACATTGAATCTTGGCAGGAGGGTTCCACTGAATAAAGAACTAAAGATCATGAGGAAAATAAATGGCAGCAGCCGGGCTGAAACAGCGATAGCGTCATCTCCCTTGGTGAATTCGAAGAAGAGAGGAATGTAGTAGATGTTACACTGCAAAACTGCGCTGCTTCCGGCAGTTCCAATGTACAATAGGATCAAGGACCGGCTTTTGAGGCACCAGACGGGATAAATTCGATCTTCCTTTGTTGTGAGGAATGCCGTCCACTGCTGGAGTGCAAACAGTACGATGGTTACTCCTGTCATCACCCAGAGAGCGATGATTGAGCCGGAGTTCCAGGGCCACGTTGAGCCACTGTACGTGCACGAGATGATGAAGAGAGAGTAAGTCGCAGCGTTGAGTATTGCACCAAGCCAGTCGAGATTTCTAATACGAGGAAGGATCTTTTCGTGACGGTGTGTGCCGTGGCGTGGAAGACAGAAGATATAAATTGGAGCAGTCACCCCTCCAAGTACGAGGTTGATATAGAAGGCCCTGTCCAAGATTAAGAAAAGATCTTGGAAGCCAACTACGGAAGGCACGCTTACCAACGCCATGTTGCTGGGCTCTGTGCAAATGCTCCGCCGATGACTGGCCCAAGGATGGCCCCCAGTCCCCAAAATCTGTATGTATGCTCGTCAATGTCCATTGTCTCTAATCGGTATGGGTAACGTACGTGCTGATCAAAGCAGTGTAAATTGGTCGTCTGGCGGCGGAAACAAAAACGGAAATGTAGCTGATACCTCTTTCTCGCTTGTCAGCGCTTGCTCCCTGCTCGGTGCGATTACTCTACTTACCCAAGATAGACACCTGAGCCACCTATTCCGGCAACGACGCGACCAACAACCATGGCTTGCATATTCGGGGCTGCTCCGCAGATCGCACTCCCCACCTCGAAGGTCAGGATGCTGCCCAGGTATAGCCATTTGACCTCTATCTTGGTGTATAGCGAGCCGAATAGTGAGACTGTGGCCACTGAGCCGAGTAGAAACCCCGTTCCGACCCAGGGTAGGAGGCGAAGCTCCCCGAGGGAAGCCAGAATAGGCCCTTGCACATCAGCAGCGATCGTGGAGTCGAGTCCGTACAGAAACGCAGTTAGATATAGTCCAACGCATACCACAAACCAGCGAAGGTTGCTCATCTCCCTGCCGACGCCACCGCTGGCATCTTCTTCCTCTGGTGTATCGGACCCATTGTAGGCAATGCTGACGGACTCGGTTGGTGACGGGCCAGTGACTGCTAATTTTTCATCGGCATCTCGCTTGTCAGGTTCGTCGGTGGAATTCACTGGTAGACTCATGATTCTGGTGGGAATTTCAGCGCTGGAGGTTGAGCTAAAGGTAAAACATTAGCTAAGACTGAAATCCAGAGAGGTGACGAATGTTGAGAATCGTTGCTCTTCCCTTACTCTGGTTACTCTGGGTAGGAGATCTTGGACTCTCCACCAGGAGCTACGGGCGCGGAGATCATCCACATCTGGGCTGCCTTTCCGCAAATGGCGGGCGCCGTTGTTCACATTTGGAAGAGTCAGTACGGGATTTGAAGGCTTACGCAGCTTCTCTATTCGGCGCTATCAGCGAATTAGCCATTACAAATAGTAATGGCCACCGGTCAGAGCAGATACAGCGGACATTGTGGGTTTACTAGACGACGGACCGTCCCGTCGAGTCGCGCAGCCCTGGCCTTGGCCGTGTCACATGCGAGCTCTGCGAAAGCATGTGAAGTTGGGCTGGAACTGGGGGTGACGAGCCTGCCCCGAAGGCTGCCGACTCTCGGGAAGTGTGGGAAACCTCGGCTATACGGAGCTGGAGCTGTGTACTCTTCGGCTTTGCGGCTTTCCAGCTTTCCCCGCCACCATTATTAGGCGTCCAGTGTCTCATCGACGCCTAAGCCCAGCCGGGCGGGTCCTGCGGTAGCGTGATAAATCTGTACAACCTCACTTGCCCGTATGGTCTCAAGTAATCCTTGTCTACTGCACCTTCAATCCTTGTTTTTGGCCCCCATACTGTGTCCTGCGTTGTCGGAAAAATTCGGGGTCGCAAAACAAGAGCTTCTCAAAGTCTAGAGCCCACAGTGATGACAGCTTTGGATCTCACACATGGTAAGCGATTGGCCATTATTGGAGGCGATTAGCCACGCGTTGGACGCCATATGGGCTATAGATCCAGCATACAGTTACTTGACTAGACGATCAAAAGTACCCCAGCGCGTATCTATAAATGTATACATTGCTTATGCAAGTATCATTTAACACCTCGGCCGGCCTCATGCTTACCCTCCCCAGACTACTTTCAGCCCGCCCGAGACGTTGCACCTTATCTGCGGCAGCCGCAATCATCTCTGTGAGCCATAGTCCAACCATGTTTGGTACGCTGGTTTCGACCGGCCTCGACCGGGAGACTCTGGAGTTCATTGAGAACCCAGATCCAGTTGCTGCAGTGAGCCGCAGCGTCCAAGACACTATACGTGTTGCTTGCATACATTGTCGATCGCGAAAGGTACGGCTGTTCCTATTCCGTGGTCCGTGCCCGCAACCACGGGTTGATAATCGTCTTCCTCTCCAGTGTGCCGTGTCATTGAGCCCTAACAAAGTAGAATTATAGGTGCGTTGTTCGGGAGACCGCAAGAGATGCCAGAGATGCGAGGCGATAGGATTGGAGTGTATTTATCCCGAGAGTCACGGGCGAAACAAGCGACAGGACACCAACAAAGGCTCGCGGGCAGTACGTAACCGAACAGCTTGATGTACTGTACTTAACTACGAGAGTCGCTAATGCACTACATCGGACCAGGCCATTCGGCGTAACAACAGCGTCTCCATTCGGACTGTATTCGATGAAGCAGACAACCAGGAAAAATCCAGCCAAGACCTATCATTGGATGATTTGGACTGCAATAAGTTCAACGATGGCTGTATCGACGAGTCGCTGTTTATGCCATGGATCATGGATACTCCCATGCAGCAAAGCTCACCTGGTAGATCCATATCAAGCAGTGGCGGCATTCAAACCCGTGAGCCCTTTGGTTTCTGTTTGCTCTAGGCATCCTTGGCTGACATAGACGATAGCTGCCGCTGACCTGGCAGTAACGAGGCCTCCCTTTTCAGCAAGAAGGCGCAGTGCTACAGAGGCGGCGCAGGACCAGCTCCCAGGAATTCCAACGGCCGATCCCTCGTTTGCGTCGCTACTCGGGCCGTCGAATAGCAGCAGCACAGGCGATGCCGAATGTTGGCAAGGTGTTCACCTGAGTCAAGACGATATTGTTTGGACGACGACTACCGATGTACATGCGACGATGGGCTCGATATCCGAAACGCTGCCTGTTGAACCCTTGGGCGAGACACGTACAGAGTCCGACAACTGTTGTCTGTTAAATGCCGTCTCCTTTCTCGAACGGCTGTCGTCCAAAAGCTCTTCGCGCGAGGACCGCCTTGACCTGCTCCTCGCTGACCTGCGCAAGTCGATCGAGACTCTGGCCGTTTTCATCTCATGCGACAGATGTGCGACTCGAGTAGAGCAGAACATGCTGCTTGCCATGGCGGCTAGACAAATCGGGGTCATCTGCGGCAGGATGGCCAACTGTTGCAAGGCGATGCATCAGGGTAGTCTGAGCGATACAGGCTCCTCGCAGCGGGGAAGTGAGCCTGTCCCCTGTCCGATTCCGGTTGATGTTTCGGTTGCCACGTATCGCGTCAACCGACGTGAGAAGCTACACCTACTCGGCAGCCTTGTGGCGTTGCAGATAATGGATTTCCAAAGGCAAATCAACATAATCAAGCCTCGATATCGCAATCGGCCAAATAAAGGGCAAGTAGAGGGCCTCAGTGAGGCAGAGAATTATGTCAAGTTGGCGCAGGTTTCGCTCAGCAGTAATTCATGACACGGTTAGATAGCGAAGATAAAGGGAAGTGACGCACGAACTCATGCTACCCTACGCAGTCTTCCACGACCGATGTAGCCCTCTAGTGTTTCCCTCATTCGTCTGACGGAGGGAACAGCCAAGCCTTGCCGTAGTGAGCTTGTTTGGCCTCCCGCCGCGACGTCAGAATCTGGGCTAACGAATCGACGAGTTGTGGATAAGCATAGAGCTACGCGTGTGCAACTATTTCATGCATCAATTAGAGGTGTCTTGCGCTATGTAGAGCCGACAGAAGGAGCAAACCAACAGCCATTCCCAGACGTGGAAAGATACCAGCGATGACTTACAATACAGATGTAGTAGGCATAGTTTATCGCATGGAGCCCTGAATAGACTGAGAAATGGCGCATCCATTCTCCAGAGAGATCGGGTGAGAACGGGCTGGCCGAGGAAAGCGGAACCTGACCGAGGATTTTAAACCCAGAGCTGGCGGTGATCCTGTTCCGGTAACCCGCTGGTAACATCGGGGGATCCCGCAGCAGACAAAGAGGTCAATCCGCATGTCCGAATGACGCCAATTGACCCCTCCCAGCCACATGCAAGTCCAATGGGTGCCGAGATCAAGTGAAGGGGGTACTTTTCCTCCTAACCTGGACGACGGTCGTCTCTCTTTCTCCAAAATCCCCCTTCGATGGCGTTCCCCCCAACGACGGGAGAAGATACTCTGCACATTCTGAGATACATCCGACGGTAATTTTCATCCTGTGCCATCTCGAAGAAACCCTGGTCAAGATGTCTCGACCTGGCACTCCCTCGATGCTATTTTTCGACGTCTTGGGCACAGTCGTTGAATGGAGATTCTGCATTGCGAACCAGCTGAAGGCTGCAGCAGAAAGGGCCCTGCAAGACCAGGCTCGCGAGATTGCTGTGGATGTGCGAGGCCGTGTCTCCGACCTAGCGCCCTCGACATGGGATGAAATCACAGACGAGTGGCACCGCTCGTATATGAACTTCGGACGCACCTTTGATCCATCCAAGCCCTTTGTCCCTGTAGACGAGCACAACCGCGTCTCTCTGGGCAATATCTTCACCGACAGGCGTCTGCGGGATCTTTTCAATGACGACGATCTCCAACACTTGACCCTCTGTTGGCATCGCCTCGATCCGTACGCGGACAGTGTTCAAGGCCTTGCGCTGCTCAACACCAAGTTTCCGATTTCCACGTTGTCCAACGGTAATGTCAAACTTCTCGAAGATCTAGTGGAGCACGGTTCTTTGCCTTTCAAGCATATAAGCAGTGCAGAGCACTTCAATGCTTACAAGCCAGCGCCAGAAGTCTATCATGCCGCTGCGCGCAGGTTCGGGTTAGAGACCTCGCAGTGTTGCCTTGTCGCTGCCCATCTTCACGACCTGCAAGCCGCCAAAAAGTGCGGGTTCCAGACAATTTATATCGAGCGACCTTTGGAAGAAGCTTGGGATGCGGAACGCGTTGCCCAAGCTAAAGAAGAGGGATTTGTTGATTACTGGATCGGCATCGAGGGCTCAGGTCTTTTGGACGTTGCTCGGTATTTTGGAATAGAGACAGACGCGTAGGTCCATGTCTTCGCCTACAATACACCCTTTGTGCGCTGGTTAGATTCATAGTTGTCTTCTAGTTTTATCGCCGCTCTTCGGCGCAGTAGACAGTCTGGATATCAAACCAGCACGGCAATCTATTCTTTGGCTAAGTGATCTATTACTCTCATCCACGTCCTCAAAGCTTTGCCAGAACACGTGGTCCCGAAATGATCAGTCGTGCTCCGACCAGAGCGAGGACCGCCACGATCAACGCGGCTCCTGCCCACATCTGCGCAGCCAGGTACTCCCCACCGGTGCGCGCTATCAATGTCCCCGCCACAGAGGGCCCAGTCAACGGGCCAAAGCTCATAATGGTAAGGGCCATGCCAACTCTCGTGCCAATCTTATCAAGGTCTTTCGTCAACGAGGGCACTGTCCCAACAAACAAGGCCATAGCTGCTGCCGATGCTAGTCCATAGAACACCGCGAAGACGTACAGCTCGACCGTGGTATGCACGGCGGCCCAGGCAAATATCAGAATGCCACAAAGGGCCACGCAAGGAATGAGGCAGTTGAGCGGACCAATGTAGCGATCGGCCAAGTATCCGAGGGGGGCTCGGACGGGAATACCGAGGGCGTTAATGATGATTATCAATGTCGCACCGGATTCTTCGGAGATCCCCAACACCTCTGTCGCATAGACCTGGATCTACACTATACTTAGCTCTCGATATACGGCACCTCTCATGATGGGGACTGTACGTAGAAGAAAGCAAAATACAGGGTCCAGTATAGGAGGAAAACGCCAAAGGTGAAAAGCATGTACGCAGGCTCTTTGAACGCGCTCAACTCGACCAGCGGTCCCGACTTTCGTGGTGGCAATCTCGGACGCAGAAGGGCGAGGGTGGCTGCTGACATGGCAAGGACAACAAACCCCATGCACCGCACTGCCCACGGAAATCCTGATCGAGGTGTCAGCATTGCACGTTGAGGTCACAACTATCGACTGACCGATCTTTGGGATGAGGTACTGAATCATTGCTGGGAAAATGATGCCTCCTGTACTCGTACCCGTGGCCGCAGTCGTCACAGCAAAGACACGCAGGCGCATAAAATACGTCGAGATCAACGTCACACTGGGCAACCACATGAGGCCCTGCCCAAGACCAATACAGAGCCCCTGGGCCAGAAAGATCTGCCAGTATTCTGTCGCGAGACTAGTCATGAAGGTGCCCAAACCCAGCAGGACTGCGCCAGCAGCCACTACTGTCCTTGCCATCCCCGCATCTGTTGCGCGACCGGAGAGTGTCGAGATGAATAATAGACAGAATACCTGGAAACCACCGATCCAGGAGATGTCGGACGGACTCTGAGGCAAGGTAGACTCATAGTGGCTCTGAAACACCCCGAAACTGGCAGCGTACCCCCAGGTCAGAGCTACAACCAGATGACCAGAGACAACCTGGGCCCAGGCATGAAATCCGCCATCAGGAGGCGGGAGTACAGCGGCGGCCGAGGTAATGTTGGTAGCTTGGTCACCTCTCCCGCGAGCCTGAGCTGGTTCATGTTCGTGCTTGGTCATATTTTCCCATCGTATTTTAGGAGACTTCAAGTCATGTCAACGGCGATATAATGGCTATAAGTGGATGTGCAGCCAGAGTAAACGCTTATGCACGCGAAACCTCCTTGACATCCTCGATAATCGTATTGCTGTGGGTTCTCCACCTGTTGGAGTCGTCTATCACGAATCAAAAGGGTAGTCTCATCCGTCGCATCCCATCTTTCTTTGTGTTCCACTGCTGGATAGCACATTGCGCCATCAAGACCCACATGGCAAACCCTCCAATTGGAAGGCCCCTGGCCGCGGAGATTAACGGGGAGGGAATGGACAGCATCTCTAGACGACGCCATCCGCCAAATCGGGCCTTGACGACGGCGCAAGGAACCGGATCCGATCCCGCCCCCACTTATATGGACGGCCAGAGACGGTTTGCAACAGTAATGGCGTTAGTAGATACATTCCGGGCTCCCCTCCCAAAGGTTGCACTGGGCGTAGACTCGGTCTGGGTTGCTGCTAATTGATTGGGCAGTATTGTTGAAGGATTATCATCCCTGGCCGGCACCTCACGTGTCGCAATTCAAGACTTTTGATGATCTTCGATCGTCTCGGCCAACTTCCGCGCCTGCAATCGGCCTCTGCCGTCCAAGTAGCCTCTTGTCCAGGGCGGAGCGCCTTCGTTTCCCTTTTTGTGGAAAAAAACGTTGCATTTTGAGTCCGTCCCATCCAATATGGAATGGCGAGAAAGGTGACGAGGCATCGGCAGAGTTCCCTGATCATAGAGATACGGACAATACCGTACTGCGGCCACGCCATGCCATCAGTCTCAGTGCTTTCGACGGATCCAGCTCTATGACGCACAGGTCAGGGGTCTTCCCCGCGCGGCTTGTCCTCTTTGCACGGAGTACGCGGAGTTTCGACACATTCGGAAGTATACCACTCGGCAGCATCTGATGTATATTTATTTATGCTTCAGAAACATCCTTCAACGAGGATCATGAGCAGCAAGAGCTCTTGTGGGTACCTTGTCTTTTCAGTATGTTAGTTGAAATGAATGTCGCGCCTGCCCTGCGAGGTCTCCCCGCCGGCCTGCCTCGTGTAGTGCCCGTGGACCGCAAGCTGTTCCCCGATGGGCTTCGTACCAGCGGCCAACATCCACCCATCGAGAGCCAGTTACGTCCTTTCGAGGAGTTCCCGCGCAATATCACCGGGCCGACGGCCTGGACAAGGGAGCACATGATTCAACATCCAGAGCAATGGATTCACCGGTGGACGGAGCCGGAGCTTGCGGAGCTTCTGCAGGCCGTCGACACATTCATAGCCTCGGGAGTTCCGCTTACCAGTATCAGCAAGGTGATTTGAACAGCCCCTGTGGTCTTTGGGACATATGGCTGACATTCCTGGGCACGGCTCAAGGACAACTTCCGGCTACCCACCATTGAAAAGATTTTGCCAGGGATTCGGAGCGATATCTTGAATGGACGGGGGTTCATTGTTTTCCGCGGCCTACCCATTGACAAGTGGGGGCGATACAAGGCGGCAGTGGTGACGATGGGCTTGTCCGTACATTTTGGATACCTCGTCTCGCAGAATAAACTTGGCCTGATTCTCGGCCATGTAACAAACCAGGGAGCGGACTATCACAACGACCTCGATAAGATCAAGATCTCAGCCACAAACGCACCGTAAGTCCTCTGCACCAGTCCGCTCCTTGAGCGTTACCCTCATACTTCTCAGGCAGTTCTATCACACTGACGAAACGGATATCGTCGGGCTGTTATTCTGCGCTCCCGGGGAGACGGGCGGTGCTTCTGGCTGTGCGTCCGCACATACAGTCTGGAATTCCTTGGTGAAAGAAAGGCCCGATGTGGCAAAGACGTTGGCCTCGCCCATCTGGTATGTCGACCGCAAGGGCGAGGTGACAGACGGGCAGGAGCCCTGGTTTAGGAACCCCATCTTCATGGTTGAGCCGGGTGGCAAAGAGCGTGTCTATGTCAAGTATGTCTGCTACCCCCCTTCTCTCTTGTGGAATCTGCATTGTACTCATGTCGGACTCTACGGAACAGGTGGGATCCGTACTTTGTCAAGTCCTTGGCTCGCTTCAGCGACAAAGGGTCGATCCCTCCTCTATCCGCAGAGCAGCTGGAGGCGATGGAGGTCCTGGAGGAGACGTGCAAGCGGCATGGAATCGTCTACGACTGCGAGATCGGCGATATCCAATTCGTCTCTTGCTGCCAGACATTCCACTCGCGCACTGGATTCACGGATCCACCGCCACCGAAGCCACAACGGTATCTCCTGCGGACGTGGATCGCGACACCTGAACATGAGGGGGGATGGTGTCTGCCTTTCCACGACAGTTGCTACCCGAAGCGAGGAGGAATCCAGGTCGACAATACACCTCCGGTAGCCGATCCACTCACCACCGCAGGCGGGACAGAGTAAAGCCTGCTCTGGACTGGGTTTTGGGAGGGTTGTACCTTAGTGCTGTGTTGGTAGTAAATCGCAAACACTTAATACCCGTCCACTGGAACAACAATCATAAGGAATCACGTACAACGATCGGGTCTCGAACCGATCCGTGGCCGTGGTCCATTGGCAAAGTTTTATTTTATCATAGAATCATAATGACAGTCGCTGCAGCTAAAGATCCTCGGAGTGATAGAACCATTGGACAGTGCAGCATTAATTCATGGCGAGGACCTGGGGTACTCCCCGATCCCGCATCTTCATTGCCCGTCTCTAGCTGACACGAGCAATTTCATTCACTCCGCGGCTTGCTTAGCCGACATGCACAACCACTCCTCTCTATTCCCAAGGCTTCCGTTGGCCAGTCCATCACCTCACACCCTGTACCTGAACGTGGGCGCCTTGTCACCCATACTTAACAATTCCTCTTCACTATAGCCATGCTCACTCGCTCCCATTGCATCCCGTCTCGCATTCAGCCTTTTGCAAATAACGTAGTACAACACCGTAGTTAGCAATACTAAGGCCGTGAATGCGAGGACCAGCGAATGGCCCAATCGGTACCTGGGCGAGTCAGTGCTCCGATAAAAGTTCGACGCGGCCGCGCCACCCATAGAGCCAACGCCAATCTGGATCGCCATCCCAACGGCTCGTTTCGGATCAGGGGCCCAGTTGTTCGATGCTAGAGCGAGGAGGCCCGGGATTGCTGCAGCTGCCACGTACTCTGTATCACAAGTCCTGATGATCCATTAGAGCCGGATCTGTTTCGCAACCTGCAATTGCAAGTCATTTATCTCTAAAATCACTGTCAAAGCTCTGTATTGATTATGATGATTGGCGAGATGGGATTTTTGACGGCTTTGACAGTAGAGTCGTCGATATTGGTGTACTTAATAACTAAATTAGACTTAATTTTCTAGGCATTCTCAGTACGCCCTTCCTCGGCTGCACTGCCGGCATCGAACTTGCAACGCCTGCATGGCCATTGTTGGCCCACAGTTCTGACAGTTGGTCAATCGGGGACGCAATATATGAGTCGAGCAAGTCCTTTGTAAATGTTGGAACTTCGCACGTAATATCATCATAGATCTTGGAATGCAAGCTGTGATGCAGAGCATTTTCGAGGTTCTTTCGGGCGAAGTGTAAAACAAGATTCCTCAATGTTTGAACTTGTGGCGCCGTTAAATGATAGACATCCGGGATGGACTCTAAAAATTCAACGACGTTGAAGTCTTTTTCAAGCCTAGAGGAGTATTTCTCTGCTGAAAGGGCACATAAGTCTTTCACATCGTACTTATCAGCCAGTGCAAAGAGCCTTGCGTGAAGTTGAAGCGCAGACATATGTGAGTGTGCGCTGTCGTCCTCTTCGGATAGCCCAGTATAGTCTCCGGTGTAGAAATATTGCAAAAGTTTGTCAACGATATGCGTCGAGCCATCACTCATCTCGTACATTCCTGACTGTGCCTCCTGCTATGATTTAGAGAGTTTATAAGTTTACTCGGGTCATATTACTTGCCTTGAAATCCCCGCTACAGGCAGCATATTAAAATTTTAAAAAAGATATAATTAAGCCGGTTCCTGTGTTTTTAATAATCCTAAATTAAAACTTAGCATAGGGTTATTGTTCGCAATTATTATTTTTATTATCTGTTTATGTTGATTATTAGTTTCTGTTCAAAATCCTCGTTCCCTCGATGTCCTAGGACATCATCTACCTCCCAATCCCCGATTAGACGGTGGTGGTGGTGATGATGTCATTTACCCTGACCCCTCGCTTGAAAGCGATATGCAGGCTACTACAACTATATCTCTGCCCTCGTGTCTCTATTGTACATCGTCCCATTTCTTAAGGGCGAACTTTAAGCCTCGCCTATGGGCCTGTGTTGGCCATTCGCCTTCGGTTCTGTCCTTGCGGATCCCTTGGTCCGCGGCTACGAAACCTTCGAGATGCCTCTGCAAAATCCAATACAGCCTTCACATGGCTGGTTTCCCTATTTCCTCCTAGCATCGCTGAGATATCACCGAACGCTTCTCCGGTCTCTCTGCGGAGGGTTTGCCGTGCTATCCTTAGTTTTGGGCAGTCGAGTATGACATGGGCGACGGTTTCCTTGGCTCCGCATTCGCATTCATCATCGTCTCGGAATCCGTGCAGCTTTCCGTGGGGTGCCAGCCAGCAGTGGCCACCCCGCAATTGGGTAAGGAGGTAGGCGCGATTTCGTGGCAGCGAGTCGTATAGTCGTCGCGTGCGGCGGGCTGGCAACTCGGCGTCGATTCGCCGGAGGTGCCCTCCTTTTTTGGATGTTCTCCATTCTTGTTCCCATTCTCGATGAATGTTCTTTCGGATGGTTGTCCTTTCTTGGGAGACTAGACGGCAGAAAGGATGCATCTTGTCTGGGCCAACTGCTTCTTTGGCTAGTTTGTCTGCAGCGTCGTTGCCGGGATTATCACTGTGTCCCGGGATCCACTGGAGGCGGAGGGGAATGCCTCGCGCCTTCAGTTCTGCGGCTGCCTGCAAGATGGCGTAGATAATCCGCTGTCCTGACTTGTTCCGTGGGTTCCTGATCGCCTGTAGTGCTGAGGTATTGTCGCAGAGAATTGTTGTCGTTTCGTGTACTGGCGTTGTCGCGGCAGTGGGCCTCAGCCTGACTGTTTTGAGGACGAGGCTAATAGCGTAGAATATGCCGATGAGCTCCGCTGCATGGACCGACCAATTTGCCATCGGGCCTATGGAGACTTGTCGGGAGTCTGCCACAGCCTGGTCCCCGTTTAATATCACTGCTGCTGCCCCAAGAAGGCCTTTTCGCCCCGATGCATCTGACTAGATAACTCTGCCCGGAGACGATAATAGGGTTGTGGCATTTTCTTTCGCTTTGTCACGATCTGCTTTAATGTCAATTTCAACGAACGGAGGGGCATTCCACGGAGTGGTCGGCGTCGGGTCGATTGTCTCCAATCCGGTTAGTTGCTCTACTTTCATTGTTTTCATTGACTCGGCGAGGGGGAACCGACACCGGGCCCCCACGTTATCGCGTCGCCTTCGAGCCCTTGACAGGACATCGTGTATTGGGTGGCTGCGAGGAAGTGTATACAGCTTGACTATGACATTCTGTGCTCTCTGTTTGAGTCTCAGGTGCGTCGGTAGTATGTATGTTTCCACTTCCATCGTTGCCGTCGCGGTGGTTCGAAATGCAGACAGGATTCGAATTAAGGCCGATCGTTGCACCGTGTCGAGCCATTTGAGGTGCCTCTTATCCCTGAGAGGGTTATGCCAGACCGTTGACGCGTAGTCCAGAATGGGTGTCACGCAAGCCTGATAGACCTGTCTCGTTTGACCAGGGCGAAGGTGCCGAAGTCCTCCCAGGGCGATATTGGCCTTGGTCGCCTGTTTGACTGCCTGCTGTACATGCTCCTTCCATCTGAGTTCGCGGTCCCAAACCACTCCGAGCAGCTTGGCTGTTGCGGAGGGTTTGATGGTTGCACCTTGCATTGCTAGCTGCCCTCTCGTTTGCTCGTCTTTCTTTCTGGTGAAGTGGATGAGCTCAGTCTTTTCCGCAGCAAAACTCGATCCTGTTTGCTGGGCCCACTGCTCTATGCGAGGGATATCCTCATCCTGGAGCTTTTTGAGGTTCTCTTCTGCAGATTTCCCTGCGCGCCACCGGAAGTAGTCGTCGATAAACGCGGATGCGCCTCCGTGGAAGTCCACTGGCTGGTCCACCAGTTTGGAGTTGAAGAAGATGAACAGAATCGGTGATAAGGGTGAGCCTTGAGCTAGGCCCGCATTTTCCAGAGCGCATATTGGGGACTCGAAGTCGTCGAATGAAATGCTCGCTGACCGGTTTTGCATGAAACTGGCGACCCAGGTTCGCACTTTGGTTGGGATCCCTTTCGCTTTGAGCTGTCGATCGAGGGTGTCCCTGTTGACCCCATTAAAGGCCCCTTTGAGATCGAACGCAACCAGTGTGATCACCTTCGATGATAGCCACGCTCGATCGATGGCGTTCCTCAGAACGAGGAGCGCCTGTTCGGTGTTGCGACCTGGGCGACCGCCAAACTGAGTAATCGGTAACAGGTGATGTGCTTCTGCGTAATACGATAGTCTTTTAGCCATGACAGCTTCGAGGACTTTGCCCAGTGTGTTCAACAGAGAAATCGGACGGTACGCGCCAGGGACGGTATAGTCGGGTTTCCCGGGCTTCCGCAGCACAATTATTTTCGCTCGCTTCCACTGTTCTGGGTAGTAGCCTAGATTAACCGACGCTGTGAAAACCCGAAGAATCACTTTATTCAGCCATTGCCATAGTTGCTTCCATACTAGCATTGGCAGTCTATCTTCTCCGGGTGCTTTCATGGGTTTGGCGGCCTGGAGGGCCCGGTGGACCTCTTCTTCTGTGATGGGCACCCATGGTATCTCTTCTCTTTGTTCCGTGTGTGCCTCGTCCTCCGGCTGTGCCATATTAGGAAAGAAAGTCTCTATAAGTAGCTTCGCTTTCTCTGCGTAGTCCTGGATTTCTTCTGTCCCTCGTCGTAACGGTGGTATGCTGGTATATGACTCTCGCGCGCGTGTATATGAAATTGCTTTCCAGAGGTAACCTTCCCCAGTGCTGTCGAGAAACTCCTTCCAATGGGCGGCTTTTGCTTTTTCAATGGTTCTTGTCCACGCCCGGCGTTTCTGGCGCATGTCTTCGAATAAGCTTACCGATACCTCGTCATGCCGAAAAAAAAGCCCCAGCACCACAACCAAAGTAAGCAACCGTTTGAATTTTACGTTAAATTATACTTAACTCATCAAATAACCCCGTGATCATTCTCAAAACGGGCCTTCCTCCCGTTCCCCGTCGTCATTGTGGCCGCAATGGCGCCGAACACGGGCGGAAAGGCTACGTGGCCTTCAAACCTACAAGGCCGATTGAGCAAGCAACGCCACGAAAATATATACGCACACACGAATGCCTTTTTAGCTGTCGCTTTAGAGCTAAAAGCAATCCAGGATGGAGCAGGCTCGCACGGCCCGCCAAAGGGCGTGTTCCAGCCCTTCCTGGACGCGGTTATTGAACTGGTCGGACGGTTCCAGGAGGCTCCCTCAGTGGAGGACCTCACCAAAGACATCACGGAACTAAAGTCCCTAGTGTCGAAGCAGACAAAAGACCAGTTGCAGCTGGTCAAATCTGTTAATGCGCTTGGGAGCCTGCGGACCGGCGCGTTGACGCCCGTGTCAGGACCTCCGTGTTCCTGGCTCGAGGCCGCCCGTCGCGGTGCGGCTCTGGGAACCACTACAACAACAACTTCAGGATCGTATGTATCCAACTGGTTGGGCGCTGCTTATACCAAGGGATCTACGGTACCCAGCACGGTCACCAGAACGTCAGGATCCCCTGCCCCAGTACTGCCCCTAACAGCAGACCTTGAACTGCACGTCCGCAAGACCACCCCCTTAGTGGTTAATCCCTTTCGGCACAACTACCAGAAGTTAGTCGATGAGGTGAACAGATCTATCGCCGAGAGCGGCGATAAGATGATTAGCCACCGCAAGGTAGTTGCCAGTCGCGTGCTGCCCAGCAGGGATGTGATCCTCACGGTCGATAATATGGAAGATGCTGAAAGACTGCAACGGAGCACGTCCACTTGGCCAAAAGTCTTAGGATCTAACGCTGTGCTTAAGCGCCGAGGATATCCTGTAGCAGTCCACCAGTGAGTTAAGATGATTGGCAAAGAGAACCCGGCGAAACACCAGAAAGCATTAATCGAGCGCCTGACCGCAGCCAATGCCAACCGATGGCCGCCACACCCACGGAGATCACCTACGTGGGATGGGTGCGGCCATGGAAAACGGTGGTAGGGAGGGACGCCCAGCCATGCTGGTGGTGGAATTCGACAACGACCGCGCAGCCAAGTGGTGATCGTCAAGGACTTATCCTAGACGGAAAGCAACACGATGCCACAGCAGCTGCTGCAATGCTTTGGCTGTCAAGAATACGACACATTATCCAACACTGCAGGAAGGCACTTGCCTGCGCGTACTGCGGCCAGGAACACTCCACGCAGGACTGTGTACACAAAGACCACGACAACCGCAGAAAACATGCCCACTGCGTCCTCTGTGGAGGCAAACACTATGCCTTTGACCGCAAATGCCCTGTTAAACGGCAGCAGATTAAGATAATCCGTCAGAAGAAGGCCACATGCCCACCCTTTTTCCCCGAAACACCATGGTCTGGGATCCCGGTCCCTGCCACAGACATACCGATGCAGGAGCCAGAGCTAGAACTAACTAGCTTGGATGGCTCCCAACACGCGCCCGCTCAGGAGCGATCACGGTCAACCACGAACAAGAAAGTCACTGCCGCAACACGTAACCCGAGCCGCGAAGCCTCCCGCTCGAAGAGCCGGAGGCCGACACACTCTAAAAGTCACAACCAGGAGCCAAGCTCACGCAACAAGAGCTGGGCCCGGGATAGAAATAAACGCATCCGACGCAACACACTGGACGGCAAGGACAATGACGATGTCATGGCCACAGGCAACTAGAGTAACAAAGAGCTCACCCGCAAGCACACATCGCTGGCAGGAATCAAACAAGCTAACAATATTAAGCTGGTAACACGCCGGCGCAGCGCACCACAGCCACCCCCAAATAAAGACGATGATAACAAGCTTAGCAGAGACATGCCAGAGTATATAGCTTCGTCCTCTTCCTACTCATGACGCAACAAAAAGCACAACTAAAAGTCCTACAGGCGAATTGCGGGAAACGCGTCGCTGTTATGCAGCATCTTTTTGGTGAGAAAGAGGTGCAAAACACTGCAGATATTATTGCAGTGCAAGAACTGTACCCTAACTATATAACCACGCAGATTTCTACGCACTCGGTATCCCTGGGAGGTCGATTCCACGTAGCAATTTAACCGACACCAAGCCATACCAACAACACCAAGACACCACCGCCACGAGTGGCATTCTTTATAAGTAAGAAAATCGACCCGAAAACATGGACAGTGAGACATTGCACACGCAACCTAAGCGTGCTGACCATACAAGAACTGGCTGACAAGCTGGTACACGTGTACAACGTATACAACCCCGGGCCGCAGAGCCGTGGAGATGAGAACGGCGAAGAGAACAGTTTAACAGAGGATATTAACCACCCTGGCCTATCCGACGTGGACTGCCTTAGGCTGAGATCCACGCGCGTGAAGAGAAACACCTAATACTTGGAGATTTTAATCTACACCACCCCATGTGGGCTGCCACAGGTATAACACCAGGATCCCGAAGCCGAACAGCTAATCGACCTGGTTACTGACCCCAACTGGAGCTTTTACTCCCAGAAGACACGGTTACCTATGAGCAGGTGACCACCAAACCACATTGACCTTGTCTGGGCCACATCCTGGCTGGCTGACCGTATGATCACTGCCAAACACGGGAGGATTTGTGGCTGGGGGACACATATACCAATCACCACATGTTGGATCTCGGCCGATATGCACCGGAGGTGGTAGATGGGATGGGATCACAACTGGGACCTTTACAAAAGGTCCTAGCCGAACACTAGACCCATACGACATAGACCTAATCTACGTAATCCGCCACGCAGGACACAATCGACAACGCAGTAGCTGCCTGGTCGCGCACTACGCAGCGCAAATCTGCAACCCCCACAAAGGTCTACACATGCCGCTCCAAACCTGGTTACACGCCAGAGATAAACGCCTTAAGCAGCTCACACGAAGGGCCCGCCGCAGGGCCAAGCGCAAGGGCAGGAAGCAGACTGGGAACTTCGCAAGGCACGGCACAAACTAACGCGCGAAACGGCCAAGCTGAACAGGAGCATGCACAGGGAAAGGATAGAGGAAGCACCACCTCTATAGATGATTCTGGAAGCTCGCTCGGTGGGCACGCACCCGGGATAACCCCCGACCCACGTTCACACCGGCACTACGGTCACCCACAGGAACTATTACACCCCGAAGAGAAGGCGCTGCCTTTAGACAGACGCTTTTTCCAGAAGTTAACACGCCAACGCTGACTACAGTAATATCCGCGGTGGCTATCCAACACCGCTCGCAACCCCAAGGATTACTACCATAGGTTCGCCGAGCGGTGCACCACCCGCACCCCGAAAGGCCCCCGGGCCGGACGGGATTCCTAACCTGGTCCTACAGCGGAACCTGGCCCACATCAAAACATGGCTGGAGGGCATTTTTAACGCCTGCATAGATACAGGTTACTGCCCAAACCATTTTAGAGCATCAAAGACTGTCGTCCTGCGCAAGCCAGGGAAGGACAACTATTCCAACCCCAAGAACTACTGTCTAATTGCGCTTTTAAGCACTATCGGCAAAGCACTGGAAGCTATTATTACATCGCGGATTAGCTACCTTGTGGAATGTTACGGGCTCCTACCAGAGCACCATATTGGTGGTCGCAGGGGCTGCTTTTGTAAATATGCGCTGCACCTACTCCTAGAGCAGGTACATGCGGCGTGGAGAAACAGAGACATCGTGGCCACCCTACTAACCCTGGACATCTCCGGGGCATATGACAATGTATCCTATAGACGACTACTACACAATCTACGCAAGCGCAGAGTGCCTGAAGCCATAGTGCAATGGATCTCCAGCTTTCTAATAGAAAAATAAACCATTATCTGCCTCCAAGAGGGCCCTAGCAAGGAGTGCGAGGTCTCAACCGGTATCCCTCAAGGGTCACCACTGTCCCCTATCCTCTACCTCTTTTATAACGCCGACCTTATTGACACCCTCCCAACGTACAAGAGCATGACGCTGGGTTACGTGGACGACATCTGCATCCTGGTCTGGGGCACGACGGTTCGCGAGAATTATGCTCGTCTTCGTCGGCTTCACACCCACACGGAACACTGGGAACGCACGCATGCGTCGAAGTTCTCACTGTCCAAGTATAGCCTAATTAATATGGTACGCCAGATCAGGCCACGAGATAGACACCATGCTACCTCCGTCATGGAGCTAGACCGTCCTCTAATTATAAACGGCACCGCGATACAGCCAACGTCTGAGCTACGGTATCTGGGGGTCTTCTTAGACCCCAACCTGAGCGGCAAAGCACACCTTAAGCAGCTGCAAGCCAAAGCCGTGAAGCTAACAGCCGCCCTCTCGTCAATCGCAGGGTTAACATGGGGTGTACTAACCCGATACCTCCGATGCATGTACACCGCAGTCCTCATGCCACAGATTCTCTATGGCTGCTCAGCGTGGTTTATTCGAGGCGCCAAAGGCTATTAATCAAGCGCCACACAAATTACTAAAGCGCTGGAGAGCATTCAACACCGCGCATTATGCCGCGTAGCGGGCGCTTTCCGCACGACCGCACGGTTGCCCTAGAGGTATGCCTACACGTACCGCCGCCAAGCGTAGCGCTGCGCATGGCTACCGACAGGGCCTGCCTGCAAATCATGTCTTCCCCATTCCACCAAACCTTGCGCACCATACGAAACAACGCCCCCACCACACGCAGAACCCATATAGAACGCGACCCGGCACTGTCACCGCTGCATCGGCTCGAACGACGCGTTGCCCAGGCCCTCGAGGAGGACCCGGAGCAATTCAGCGTGGAAACGATCCAGCCGGTGGTCGTGCCCCCATGGTAGGATCCACCGGAAATCACCATAGCCGACACACGTGAAAAAGCAATCCAGCAACATAACCGCCTTCCCCGAGACGCCACGAGGGCCTATACCGATGGTAGCGGTTACAAGGGCGGTATCGGGGCCTCGGCGGTTATTACTGCGCGACAGGAATCTTTATACCAACCAGTTGGACAAGAGACAACGCATACGGTCTATACAGGAGAACTTATAGGAATTGACATGGCACTTGCACTGGCGACCCCTACCAACTGCGACGCAGCCAGTAATAATATTGTGATCTTATTTAACAACCAAGCCGCCATCCGTGCCTGCGCTAAACCTGCGCGATAGTTAGGTTAATACATTCTTCGCAGCATCCTCCAACAACTAAACCAAGTCACCGCACATCGCCGCGTACGCCTCCAGTGGCTCCCGGGCCACGAAGGCATCGCCGGCAATGAGCACGCTGACTACTTAGCCAAGCTCGCCGCCGAGCAGGCCGCCAACGACACGGTAGTACGGACCCAGGACTCTCCTGGTCTCTGCGTGTCGCCGGCGCCTGCGCGAGCTTGCCCACAAAGCTGGGAAAAACAGTGGGCACCTCCACCACGGCCAACACACAAAAAGATACTGCCCGAGCCCACAAAGCGCGTGTTGACCTCCACGAGGCCCTCCCCGCGCGCACAGCTCGGTGCTTATATAGATACAGACCGGTAAGATTGCACTCGCATCCTACCTAGGACCTTAGTGCCATGGACACGACCGCATGCCCGTGCGGGTACAGGACGCAGTGGTTCAACATGTCCTATCTCATGCCACCGGCATGCAGATCTGCGGTCAAAGACATTGTGGAAAGACCGCCGAACAACTGATTATCGGCGGTATCTAGACGTCTCGTCGGCAGCAGCCGGCCTGACATAGCGGGCAGTTACATTTATGCTGCAGACACGACTCCTCGGCCAATTCAGGAGTGTTAACAACACAGTCCCCGCGCCGCACAACCCGTAGGCGTGTACCCTCCGACATGCAATCGGAATTCTATTTAAAAGTGACCATTATCACTTAAAAGGCCCTTCGAAGGCCGTAGGCGTATGACACGGACGAATAACACGGGGCACGGAACCGACAACCAACGAGTCAGGCGTGGAGGTGGAAGAGACAGCGCTAATGTAGGATTTAGATAAAACTTAGAGGCAACCAACGGTAGGTATGACTACTAACGGTGTACGCGAGACAAGGCGGTTGTTGGCGACGAAACATTGCAGAGAGGTTGGATATAGGGGCGGGATCAGGAATGTGGTTGAATCAGCGTTTTCGATCATGTGATATAGCATCACGTGCCTGTATCTAACTACCTGTCAGATAAGTTGGTGGTAATAGTGACGTAAACAAGGTCATAAAAGAGGGGTAAAAACGAACTCCCCTACACCTAGCAGAAGAAGAAACCTAATGATCCATAATAATAATCACAAGAATGATCATATGTTGATCAATATAATCAAGAACCCATCTAAAACAATCATTTTAAGCACCTTTCAAGAATAGTGTCTACTTTCCTATTCGGTATTAGCCGAATATCGGATACTACCCCGACGGTTGGCCCAGCCGTCGGAACGGGACCTTTTCCGGCACTCGGCGTAGAGCTGACAGATCCGAGTATGAATACTACTACTACTACTACTACTACTACCTCGTCATGCCGTTCTCTCTCTGCACAGCTTTTCTGCCATTTCCTCCGCACCCTATTGACCACGCGTTGCTGTAACTTCAGTTCTGGGGTAAACCACCGTTTGGAGTACGGTGATGGTTTGGTGGTTGGCGTATACAAGTCTACTGCGGAGCAGGTGCGTGAGATGAGTTGCGCCACTGCGTCATCGAGTTCGGCGCTTGTCTGGATGGGTGGAAGTTGTGACATCTGAGCTTGGACGGATTCTCCGATCCGTCTCCAGTCTGCGCGGTCGTACGCTTTTCGAGGTTTGCGATTGGTATTGCGGGCCGGCTGGAGGGACCACTCGGAATAGGTTGCCCGATGATCCGATCCATAGTGGTCGTGGTACAGGTGGCACTTCACGAGCTTTCCCGGTGTGTCCGTTACAGTGAGATCAATGGTCGAGTGGCTCCCGGGATGGCTCATAGACCAGAATGTGGGGGTGCCTCGGGGCAGACACAACTGGAGTCCATGTTCCTGGAAAAAGTTGACTAGTTCTTCGGCTAGTTCGATTGCCCCATGGTGGACGCGATTCTTGCACCACATTGGGTGGTGGCGGTTGAAGTCCCCTGCCATGATAATCGTGGTTAACTTGGTTGTGGTTTCTGTCGCTTGTCGGATGCAGGTCTCAATCTCCCTCAGCATAGGCTGGATTGAGGTCTCTTCGTAGTTTTGGCTGTAGTCCATGTACGGGACATACAAGGAGAATATTAGTGTTTGCTGCTGCGTGGTCCACAGCTTGACTGCTGTGACATCAGGGTGGTTGCATTGTATCTGCCGATGTGACGTTGTTGGGATCCTTCTGCTTACGTAGAGTAAACTGCGTTTCTTGGGGGTGTCGTCTAGGCAAGTTGATTGGTAGAGATGCCAGGCGCTGTGGTTCACATGTGTGTTGTATGCCGTGAGTGGTGGTTCTTGGATAAGGAGTATGTCTAGGTGTTGTGTCTGGGGATCGTTAATCAGGGCCTCCATGCCCGCTCTCGATTTCCAAATGTTTAGTTGTAGTAGGCGCAAGTTTGGTGCTGTCATTGGGTAAAGGGGGGTTTGGCCGGGTTGGGGCAGCTACGGTCATTGGTTGGGTGCTCTCCACTGCAGTCAAGGCACCGGGCCCTCACGCCGGAAGGACAGTGTCGTAGCTCGTGCTCGGCCGCGCAGTGCCCGCATCTCGCCTTCTCCTTGCAGGCCCAGGCGAGGTGGCCAAATGCCTGGCACCGGTAGCACCGTCTCTCTTTCAGCCGATATGGCATGAGGCTTCCAATATATCTTTGTCCTATCAGAAGCCCATTGTCCATTGTCCACTCTGCCGCTTCCCGTGTGTCGAACCAGATCGCCAGTGATCCATGTTTGCCTATCGGTTTATCCCTTGGTTTCAGCCAGGCTACCTGGCTGATCCGATGGCCGCGTCGTGCCATGTTGTTTTCTTCCACGATCTTTTCGATGAAGGTCCGTTCACTTTCTGGTGATAGAAAGTCTTCGGTTGGCGTTCTGTGTGCTACTACCGCAAACCGTGGTCGGGCGAGTTTGGTGCCATTGCCGAGTTCTTCGAGCCACAATGTGTTGGATCTTGCTGTTTCCGCTTGGGTCTTGTCTGCGAACCGTATCACGTATCCGGTTCTGGTGGTCCCCACGCCTAGGACCTGTACATCCTTTGTCTCGTTTGTAATGGCGAGTGCGCTTTGAATGTGCGCGACCGCTGTTCTCGGTGGCAAGTACCTCCTGAATGTATTTTCGCCTTCGTCCTCCCCTTCATTGCCGTTCGGTTTCGTGTTGACTCGGATGCAGTTATCTTCCTTGTTCTGCGTCTTGTTGTTAAGCAAGGGGTAAGCGGTGGCCGGCTGTGCCTGGTCTCCGCCTGCCGCAACCTGGGCCCATGACGGGCCATCGCCTGTTGTGTTCCGGGTAGTGATTGCGCTGCGTAGGGATTGAAGCTCCTGCAGTATCTCTTCATAGCTGGTTTGTGAGACTGATTCAAAGCCGCTCTGCGGTATTTGGGTCGTCGTGTTTTTGAGGTCTCTAAGTTCCTGTTGCACTTCTGCCAGGGCCGCTTTAAACTCGGTTTTGACTCTTTGGAGTTCCTCGTGGTGAGCTTCATCCCTTCTCTTGATCTCCTCCCTGAGCTTGATGAGTTCTTTGAGCAGCTTCGTTGACTCCAGTGCCTTGACGTCTGTCGGTGGATCGTCAGGGGCTGTTGCCTCTAGCCCCGTAGGCGCGTCGCTTTGGCTTCTCTGGCGGCCTCGAGGGTTTGATTTGCGCTGGGTGCGTGCGTTGTTCGCCTCGCTTTTTTCTTCTTGCTCTCGAGCGTAACTGTTTGGCGGCCTGATCGTGCGTTTTGGCCGTATCCGTGGTGGTGAATTTTCGTGTTCCGTTCGGTCGGGGGGTTCAGGGGTTCGTGTTTCGGCCCGACCCGGAAGGGGGCCGCCCGAAGGCATCGCAACGAACGACGAGGAGTCAGAGATCGCCTCTTTCGCTATATCACAGCTTTATTCAAGAGGATCTTAAGTCCTTCAAAGTGATCCAACTAGACCTCGCCCGATGGTCTCCAATCTCCATATAGGACTTGAGGAGAGCGTGCCTCACGGCAAGACTTACGACCAAAGAACTATTCAACTACAGTACCCGCACCTCAGCTTTTCTGAACACCAGGTGCAGTGCCTCCACGGGCAGACTCAAGGCCGGCGAGGAAACTCTAACCCCGTCGGACAGATGGTGGACAGTCGACCTATATCTGGACTGTGTGAAATCCCCCCTTCTCTGGCAAGTCCATTATCTAACCCGTGCTTGAAGACATCAGCCAGCTAGTTGATGGGAGGTTATCTTCTACAAACAATACGATACACCAGCGTGCTGACGGGAGGCTCGCGGTCAGTCCCTCACACGCTGAACCTATCGTTTCGGGCATGGCGCAGAGACAGCTTCGTAACCAGCTGGACGATGAGAATCTGCCGCGATCTCCCCGTAGGCGTTTGAGGACCAGTCGCAACTACCCAAACAAGATAGAGTCCGTAAGCCGCGGATGAAAAACCGACCGACGCATCAAGATATCAATGGGGCAGGGACCCGGAATGCCGCCATCGCCGATGAATTATGGGATGGTGATGAGGGCAGTGGAACCACAGCAGGTGCTGCTGAACACGGACCCTCAACAGGATACAGAACGATACCCACCGGATCTACCCGATCCAGAACAGGCCCAACGGGTAACGATTAGAAGACAGGAGGCCGAGGGGCTGCTCGTTGATACGCCTTATATGTTGGAAGACACAAGAGGACCAGGAGGTCGGCGAAGTTCAAGATACCCACCGATGAAGATCTCTGCAGTGATCCACCACCAGGACGGAGAGTTACCATCACATTCCATTCTTACGACCGAGGGAATTGGAGGAGGACAGACGGTCGGTGTTTGGGAGCTCTGACAATCCACACGAGGTACAAAGCATTGCGGACACACTATGCGCAGGACCAGAGCAAGAATGCGCTTCTATGATCGTGCGATACTGAAGGTAGCCGTCGATGAGTTCGTTCGCGCGGCGATCACCGATGGTAGCTTCACAATCTTCATGCATTCTGCATTCTGGGAGGGACCTAATGGTGACGCGGCATCCTGTCGCGTCAGTGGCACGACTGCTCGAGACCGTTGGGAACGATGGGCAATTCATTGAGGATGGAATCTCGTAAATGGCCCAGCAAAATAATGGGTAGTCTGCAGGCCACGGGGATCCTAACAATGTAGTCAGGCGTCCACAATGGTCTTGCACCTCGTACGGACGCCAGTTGGCGGTCCTCTGTCTGTGCCGGTCGTACGACCGCGGTCTTCCGATCGTATATGTTGAATATCACGTGATGGCACCTTAGCAGGGATTGGGAACAGATATATATATGAGGCATTCCGCCCCTGTAAAGGATAGAATATAACAACAACAATAAGAATCATCCTTACTTCAACAATCACAACGCCTACGCACTAACCCTTACCACCCAGGTCGTCAGCATCTGGCCCTGAGTCCGTAGCCGTCCGCCCTAGTCGCTCCGACCCTCCAGGTGCTCAGACCCTGAGCATTTGTCCGTTTCTGACCTCGAACCTCAGGCGGACATCAGGAGAAGTCGGCAGACCTTACTGGTCGTGAGCCTGAGGACGTCTGTACTAGCAGGGACGGGAGGTTCTGGCGCTGGTCTCTCGTCGGCTTCCACAGCCTCTTTCCCACCCAATCAATAGTGATCTTGACCAGCCCTGGGGCGCTAACACCTGTCCTTGGGTATCCAGAACCCTTCGCTCCCTTTTCCAGGAGGGTATTTTGTCAATTAGTATTCGTGACACGGGTCGTCGCAGAGTAGATTAGTACGCTAGTTGATACCACAGAGGGGAGGCCACTCTTCTTGATCAGGGGGCCGGGGTATTTTGCCGCGCCCACTGCAACCAATCTCGCAAGAGAAACATAGTAGGCTGAAAGGAATAGTTGTCAAACCCGATAGGTACCATTCAAAAGTGATCCGGAAGATTATCTGTCAAGTATGAATGGTTGTATCCAGTATTGCATGAAACTTTAAATCCCTGAGGCCACGATACCATTCCCCCAGTGCTTTCTGGCAGTCTTCTCTGCGGAAGGAGTCCGGCCAACCATGAGATAAATAGATTTTCCGCATTTGCTATGCAAATCGGATTAGCATAGTAATGATAATGGAGCTTAGAATTACCAATTGCATACATTAGCAGTAGAATTGGGATCACTGTCCCTCCGCATATGGAGATGTGGCCATGTTTCTACTCCCTTGACTGGTGGGATCCTGTTAGGAGCGCTCGGAAGCGCGATAGCTAGATCCTTAGCTAAGATGCTTAGTCAGGTGCGAAGTGTTTATATTCGCACCCGCGGGCCTGAACTCTTGAAGGCCAGCGATTAGTTCTGCAATATACGTGGCTCTATCTTCTCTCCTATATAGACACTCCCTTTCGCACCGTAGCGCCCCATTCAGCTCGTTACCGACCCCCCACGCATAACAGTTCTAATCGCTCACCCCAACGGTAACCCGCTGAAAGGAGCACTATGGCACCTAGACTGCGGCAAAACCGCGGTTTTGGGTATCATAGTCAAAACCACAACCGCAGATTTGCGGTTTTGGATATCACTTTGAAAACCGCAACCGCAACCGCAGATTTGTGGTTTAACCACGGTTACCCATGGATAACCGCATGAAAACCGCACTAGCATAACTCTCGCTTCTTTAACCAATTCTAGCATATCAGGTGACACTTATGCAGCTTACATACTCTTGTTTTTAATTTGAAAATACACCTGTTCTGGTTAATACAGTGAGCCCGGTTAACCTCTCAGGCCAATTGTTCTTATTGTCCCTACTGTCCCTATTGCCCCTATTGGTTGTAGCTCCTCTAACGTTTTATATACGTGTACCCAGGCAATATGCTCCTGGGAGTGTACGATAATAAGCTATTCCGAAAACTTAAAGACAAGGAATGTGTTGCAGGCCACGCCCGTATATTACTCCTATTCGCCTTCGCTGCAATTGGCGCACATGATTGGTCCGCTTATTGCAGTTATATAACCTCTGTAGTATAAGACCACACAATTCTTCCCCTTTACTTTCTTTATCTTAACGATTCCTCTTTGTATATATCTAGTTATTAGATAGCAAGGCATTTCGCCCCTGTTAAAAGTATGTTTGTTTGCCCTAAAAGTTAAATAAAAGCATGTAAAATAATAAAAATATCTAAAAGGTCCTCCATAGGATTAGGCACTGGACGAGTCTATATTAGCCAGCTGCAGTACAGATGGTCTAATATAGACACAAGCACCTACTAGGAATCGAACCCAGTACCTCTAGATTACTAGATCTAATGCATTACCACTAGACCATTGGTATATTATAAGTAACCAAGAAGGTACATGGCATTATATCACTGCCGTGAGGTCCTGGCCCGATCGTAGCATCACTATTCACCAAAGTCAGCAAGTAATATTGCTTCCTTGCAACGCATGAGTTATTGTAGCATTAGTTTGCAATGTTGGTTTGTGCAGTTTCTTGCTTATTTTATCTTCTATATTTGGTCGTGGGAGGGCGATAGAGCATGGTAATATATATAGATATCTACTTTACCGCTCACCTTGATCCTTATTCTTAAATAACGAGCCGAATATTGATATATCGCCTCTTATTTTACGTAGCTAGTAAGTGGTGTTTGTCTGAGATTTTAAGATTACTAAGGAAATCAGGATGTTGTTGTAAAAATATATATTTTATACAAACAGAAGTTAGTACACTCACTGAATGAACTTTATAAGATTTCGTAGGTTGACTAAATCAGGCTATTATAGATAAAAATTATTACTAAAGAATACAGAAGAGCCTATTATACTTATATTTTACTTTAAATTAGTATATTTACTTAAAAATTCAGGAGAAACCAGGTTTCTATTTCAAATTGCTTGAATTTGGTGATTTTTTCCATTGCGGTTATCTTGTGGTTATCCATGATAACCGCAAGATAACCGCGTTAAAACCGCATTAAAAACCGCACTACCATCGCTAGTCACCCAATTAACATAGAGTATAGTTTTGTACAGGTCGAACTCGCGGTTGCGACCTGTTTATCTCCTAAATAATAGGGGAATTCCTGTAAGTCCCTCTCCCTTTCTCTTCTCCTGATGTCTCTTTATTATTTCTAGTTTCTAATCTTTAGGAACTTACGACAATGTCTCAGTCCCAAGTATCCTTTTATTCTGATTCCTTTATCAATCCCGATCTTCTTCAATCAGATGACCTTCCTGATTTACCAAGCAGTCAACCAACTGTGACTTCTATTCCTTTTACTCCCCTCCGCGATTTTCTTATGCGCCGAAGTCACTTGAACGTGTCGGATCTACACTTCGAAAGTTCTGGATTCTCTATGCTACTAAACCTGAGATGGATGACTCCCGGAAACAATTCGTGGAATGGTGGTTAACAACTACGTTTGGATTGAACTCTCAATGCCGAGATAGCTTACATTGGGATGGGAAAAAACATCAGTGCTTTGGGAGCATTTTGAACAGGTTGCACACGAGAAGACTGGCGAGCCCAAGGTTATGTGTAAGCGGTGTTTTGCAACCCTTACTCATCCAGGTTATAAGCGTACGGGAACCTCTGCACTTAAAGCACATCTGAACGGTGGTACATGTCGCTTAGAAAAAAAAGAGGCAAGGGATTGACCAGTTAATACGTGAATCAGTACGTTTTGAATATTGTTTTAAAGATATAGAGAGAGACTACTAATATTAGTATTATCTAGCCGCGTGCACTAACAAAGGTCTTTACCAATGATCTTTTCCAGCGAAGAATTCTTAACTTTATTACCACCGCCCGTCTCCCATTTCGTATTGTTGAACACCCAGAGTTTAAAGGCCTTCTTGAAGCTGCCCAACTCTCTGAATCAAGGCTTGATATTCCTTCTGCGCGGACTATCCGACGACTTTTAGACAACACTGTCCAGGAAAGGCAACAAAATGTGCTTAGCAAACTTCCAAAAGGAAGCTATCTCTCAGTTGCACTTGACTGCTGGACATCTCCCTTTTCCCAGGCATTTATGGCAATTACTGGATATTTTCTTGATCAAGAATGGAATTACTGCGAGGTCCTTCTTGGTTTTGAGCATCTCCAAGGATCGCATACCGGTGCTCACTTAAGTCAGACTGTGATTCGAATACTCATGGAACATAATATTGATAATCGTGTATTATCAATTACCACAGATAATGCGTCAAATAACAACACCATGATGGTAGGTGTCCAAGAGATGATTCAATCGCAAGCTCTAAGTGGGACTTCTGTCTTCCGAATTCCATGTATTGCGCATGTTATCCAGCTTAGCCTAAAGGATCTACTTGGAAAGATAAAAGCAAATCCAACAAATAAGGAAGCAGAGACTGAGTGGTCTGATTCGCGTACACAGTCACTACAAACTAGCTCTCGGCAGCCTACAAGGAATATTATGGGAACCTTAAAAAGGTAAGTATATCTTCGCGCTCTCTTTATACTTATACTAATATATATTATCCTTAGATTCGAGAGCTCGCTGTCTTTATCAATGCTAGTCCACAGCGCAGGGAAGCTTTTCTTACCCTTCAAACTACTGAGCCTAAGCTTGTTCCGATCCAAGATGTTCGCACACGCTGGAATTCTACCTTTCTGATGCTTAATCGTGCCAGGAAATTACAATCAGTCTTTGATCGGTATTGTATAACATATCAACATATTCAATTTAAGCTAGATGAAGAGGAATGGCGCCAAGTTGAATATTTGCTTCTGATCACTAAGCCTTTCTTTGATTTTACTAGTGTATTATCAAAGACCAGAGATGTTACAGTTCACCATGTCTTCAGTATCTATAATCGGCTATTTAATCATCTTGATGACGTTGAGAAGAAACTGAAACGTAAAGCTGTCCCATGGAAAAGGAGAATGCTTCAGGCACTTCAGTCAGCAAAAAAGCTCTCAAAATACTACACTGAAACAGACAATGAGTCATATGGCACAGTCTATGCGATTGCAACAATTCTCTGTCCATCAAAGAAGCTTCGATACTTTGATAATGCGGATTGGAGAGGAAAAAATGAGAAAGGAGAGGAAGTCGATTTCATGAAGCATTACCGGGAGGTTTTACAGAAGGAGT